TGGTGGTGGTGGTGGTGGTGGTGGTGGAGGTTTCCTGGGGGTATCTATTGTTGGGTTACGTGCATGTGCATCTTTTTGTTTATTCTTAGGAATTTTTTCTTTTTTCTTTGTGTGTGCATGTATGTGTGTGTTCTGTATGCGTGTTATGTATGCATGTGTGTAGGTGAACAGTGGTGGCGGGTGTTATGGGCGCTTAGAGGGCCAACCAGGGTAATGGGTAGTGGTGTGTGAGTGGGAAGTTGAAGTGATGACTTTTGTATGATCTGTATAACGTGACTGATGATCCAAACTCCAACAGAAGGGGAGGTGTACATGGAGATGTAGGAGTTATATACTTATCCCTCGGTTCAGAGACGTGACTTGTATGGACGAGCGAGCGGAGCGAGGCATGTACGCGTAGGAGAGATGGAAAGGTGGCAATCATCTCATATAGATGAGCGAGCGGAGCGAGGGACACTCCCGGTAGGGCCCGGTCGGAGGCAAGATCGATAGAGGGCGAGGGCATGTGATGGGAGATGTGTGAGCTACATCTATTTCCAGATGCTGGACGTAGCAACGCCACTGGCCTTTGCATCTTGGTACGTCCTGTCAAGAGAGCTGTACATCTGCTTGATGGCGTTGATGCGGGTGGTCAATCCGTCAGGGGCGGCGGAAGTAGCAGTGGGAGTGGAGGTGCGAGCGGGAGGGGCGGTAGCGGCCGCGGTAGCGGCAAGCTCATCGATGGACATGGCCGTGAAGAAGCGGTTGCGACGATTGTACAGCGGCCTGCGGGCCAGCTGGTCTTCCGTCTCGGACGAGGCCTCGGACCTGACGCGGAAGACCTGCTGGAGGATGTCGATGTCGTGCGGGATGGCAAAGAGGCGTCTGCTGTCGTCGTGGGTGAACAGGTGGTAGACGCGGGTGAAGCCGGACCATGCGATGGCGCTGAGACACAGACTGCACGGCTCGTGGGTGGCGAGGAAGATGCAGTCTGCCGATGGGGAGGGACGGCCGGGCACGGACGTCGGCGAGGAGGATGGAGTGGCGGCTGAGACTGAGGTAGAGGAAGAAGGAGTGGAAGAAGAAGTGGAAGCGGAAGCGGAAGCGGAAGGGAGAGGAAACGATTCCGTAAAGAATTTCTGGATGCAGTTGACCTCGCCGTGGAGGAGGGGAGATGCGCGCTCGTCGTTCGTGGCCACGGTGAGGACCTGGAGGGTGCGGATGTCGAGGATGGCGGCGCCAAAGACTTTTGATCCAGACGCGACAGCGGTGCGGGTGAGGGGGATGATGTCGTTTTCTATCGTGGAGAGGAGGGCGTCGCAGAGGTCCTGGGGTGTGTGGTTTGTTTCTGACATGCTGTCTGTCCTGCGCTCTTGTTTAAATATATATCTATATATATGTCTGTTGAATCTGCAAAGGTCTTTCTATTGATGAGTTTTGCAATGTTTTTTTTACCTGCAAGTTGAATGTTCACCTAACTCATCTTCATCTTGACTACGGGTAAACTTGAAACACTGGGATCTAACCATGTATATATATATATATATATATATATATATAATATGATACGGATATACAAGCACCGGCGACCTCCGATGCCGGCACACTCTCCAGGACGGTGGGCGCCGATGATGCCGAACTCCGGCACCCTGCTATCTACATGCCCTCCGGGGGCCCTACCGGGGGTGTCACTCGCCTCGCTCGCTTTCCCTACTTGTACATAATTGATGCAAACCTTGTAAAGCTTTTTTTTTTTTTTTTTTTTTTTCAAAAAAAAAAAAAAAAAAAAAAAAAAAAAAAAAAAAAAAAAAAAAAAAAAAAATTTTTTTTTTTTTTTTTTTTTTTTTAAAAAAAAAAAAAAAAAAAAAAAAACTAGAGTTCAGTGTTCAATTTATTGCTGCCATGCGCAGGCCGTCTAAGCTGGTATTACATAATCACACCAGGATGAGAAAATTCAACTCGTGCACGTCGACTCACCAGCATCAATTGCTGATGAAGATTACGGGACTGAAGTCCTGTTGAGAGACGGGAAACTCATTGTAGGAACAGGAGAATCAGACGCGTAACAAGACAGAGCCATGCACTACGTCCGCTGCCTACGCCGGCCAAAGGTGACCCCCTCCCGCGCCACATACACCATCGAACTCCTCTTCATCATCTCCACAGACCTGGGCGACTCTCTCCTCTTCCCCGACGAGCCCATCGACCTGAGCGTGACGGCGTACACCGGCCCCGAAGACGCAAAGGGCACGCCCCTAGCATCCAAGGGCCAGGTATCGTGGAAGACGGGCCAGCGCGTGGTGAAGCAGGACTTCGGCACCCCGCCCACCGTGACGAGAGCCCTGTCGGCGGGGAAGACGGTGCAGCTCCGCATAGGCGGCCCCGGCAGCTCCTCCGCCGACAGCGCGCACGCGGTGGCGGGCTGCACGGCCGAAGATGACGGCCTCATCATGCCGCTCTGGGTGGCGGTGCACCATCCGTCGCATCAGCACGAGGAGCACGTGTCCACGAGGAAACTACGGCTGCCACGGGGGACGACACTCGAGATTGCGGAGGACATAGGCGAGCCGAAGAGTCTGGCGCGTCACGTCTGGGACGGGGGTCTGGCGGCCGTGTGCGGCCTCGCCGAGGGCGGGGACGTCAGTGGCGGCCCGTGTCTACGGCTCGTCAGGGAGATGATTGCCCGCGGGGGGAACATTCTCGAGCTGGGATGCGGCGTGGGCGTGCTCGGCCTGGGGACGGCGCTCGTGGCCGACGCAATGCGGGGCACGTTGACGACCGCCCGCACATCCGTCGTCATGACGGACCTGGAGGATGCGGAGGAACAGGTCCGGTCCAACATGGGGCGCGTCCTGCCTCGTCTCAGCCGGCATGATGAGGAGGGTGAGATCGGGGGCATCGAGCTCGTGTATGAGAACCTCGACTGGGAGGACGGCAGCCGGGGACGGTTCGGACCGGCCGTCGCGTCGAGATCGTGGGATCTGATCATGCTCAGCGACTGCACGTACAATGTCGACGTCCTGCCCGCGCTGGTGGGCACGCTGGAGGCACTGCACGCGGCCAACGTGGCGCGCGGGCTGAATGGCGGGACAAGGGTCTTCATCGCTACCAAGCCCCGTCACGAGTCCGAGACCGAGGCCTTTGATCTGCTGAATACCAAAGGCTGGTCCAGGTTGACGGAACAGACGATTCCGTTGCCTGTCATGGGCGAGGAGCCACAGAGGGTGGAGCTGTATCTGTACGAGAGGAGATGAATGGAGATCAAGGTGATTGATCATCTAAGATGATGAAGAAAATGAAAGAGAGCAAAGAAGAACACACACACACACACACACACACACGTACAGAAAAAAAGAAGAAAAAAAGAAGTAGAAAAAGAAGAGGGTGAATGTTGACGATGTAACTACGAGCTGATATTCTGCCATCCAACGGAAATGCTCACTCTTAGACAAAGACTGAAACATGCATCTTGGTAGAGAGTCCCATGTGGCGGCAAGACAGCAGCATCTCGGGAGGCCTGCAGCATGCCACTCGCGCCTTGGCGTCACGACTAATTATGAGTCTCTGTATATGAATCTTTACGAGTCTGATCTCGTAAATCACAATACGACCGTTCCCATCTAGACTTGAACCGATGTGGATCGGCATGATCTTGGGGAGCAATGTCGACTAGGTGCTGTGTACAATCTCCGCAACACGAAGGACACGGCACAATTACTACATATGAAATGCATGCACAGGTTCCACCCGCAGGAGACTGTATCTTCATGACTCACCGTGAGTCCGCAAGTTCATGACCATCAAGTGGCATCAAGGTGTCATGAGACTCGGTAGGATTAGAACGTTGGGTCTCTGAAGAGGCCATAATCATAGTACGAGTCAACTTGAATACATGCATTATATATATATATATATATACATCGATCAATATTCCCGCGACCATGAAAACGGCATAGTACGAGTCCCTCGGAACTCGGAAAGGTTGATGGAAGGGTTAAATCCGGTGAGAGATTCCAATTCCTTCACTCGTCCTCTTGTCCCTGGCTTGGATCCACACACACTGCAGATGGGAAAGATATTTTTTCTTTTTCTTGCCCTTTGAAACTCCCCGAAAAATGTAGACCGCCATAATGATTCGGGACCGTGACAGCAACGGTCCCGCTTAGATAAAACAAGGAAGAAAATAAGGAAAATACTACGTATATACGACATTACCATCTCTGTTCCCCCCCTCTTCTTGTCTCCATCTTTTCTAATCCTTTCGTCCAAGGACATCCCCGCCCACTCTATTCTACCTCGTAACCCTCGCCGTCTAGCCTGTGTGCCTGTGCGTCCGGGATATAAGTCGGCGGGGCCCTGTTTCCATCTTTCTTTCTCTTACTTCCTAGCTCTCTTGCCTTCTTTCCCTCTGTATTCCCTGTGTTGTGTCTATCCACCACCCTCTCTCCCGTTGTGTGTGGCTAGGTGTAAACAGCTTTGCATATCTTCCCTCCGCACACACACACACACACACACGCACGTTGGGGTATAAAAGACGTACAGGGAGAAAAGGGGGAGATGGACGAGCACGCCCACGAAAAGGCGGACGCTAGTCACCGCATCGAAGAGGTCGAGCCGGCCTCCAGGGACTCATTATCAGCCTCCACGGCCAACGACGACAACGGCTACAACGACTACGACGATGCTGATGACCGTGACGGCCTCTCAGTTGCCAATGCCGAGGCCGAGTTCCAGGAGCTCCAGAGAGAGTTCACCGGTGTATCTCGCGCCAGCCGCAGGGGCGGAGCACATGACCACGGCAACTCTGAAAAGGTAGCGACGGGGGCGGGGGCGGTCAGCGAATCTGATGCTGGGTCTGTTTTCGACCTGGAAACAGCACTACGCGGCGAGCTCCACGCCAGCAGCGAGGTGGGCCGCGACAAGCACATTGGCGTGTACTGGCGCGACCTGACGGTCAAGGGGGTGGGTGGGCGGGCCAACTACGTCGAGACGTTCCCGGACGCCTTTGTCAACTTCTTCGACCTCTTCACGCCGCTGGCGAGGAGGATGGGGCTGGGCAGGAAGCCGGCCGAGGCCACCATCCTCCGGGGGTTCTCGGGGGTTTGCAATCCCGGCGAGATGGTGCTGGTGCTGGGCAAGCCCGGCTCCGGGTGCACGACGTTCCTCAAGACCATCGCCAACCAGCGGCACGGGTACTCGGGGGTGACGGGCGAGGTGCTGTACGGGCCCTGGACGGCCGAAGAGTTCGGGCGGTACCGCGGCGAGGCCGTGTACAACGCCGAGGACGACCTGCACCACCCGACCTTGACGGTGGAGCAGACGCTGGGGTTCGCGGTCGAGACCAAGATGCCGGCCCGGCGGCCGGGAAACATGTCCAAGGCCGAGTTCAAGGACCACGTCATCACCATGCTGCTCAAGATGTTCAACATCGAGCACACGCGCAGGACCGTCGTCGGCAACGCCTTCGTTCGCGGCGTGTCCGGCGGCGAGCGCAAGCGCGTCTCCATCGCCGAGATGATGATCACAAAGGCCTGCGTTCTCTCGTGGGACAACAGCACCCGCGGCCTCGACGCCAGCACTGCCCTCGACTTTGCCAAGTCGCTCCGCATCCAGACGAACCTGTACAGGACCACCACCTTCGTCTCCCTCTACCAGGCATCCGAGAACATATACAACCTCTTCGACAAGGTCATGGTCATCGACGACGGCCGGCAGGTCTTCTTCGGCCCCACCGCCGACGCCCGCGCCTACTTCGAGGGCCTGGGCTTCGCGAAGAGGCCCCGCCAGACCACCCCAGACTACCTGACCGGCTGCACTGACGAGTTCGAGCGCCGCTACGCCCCCGGCCGCTCAGAGGCCGACTCGCCCCACAGCCCCGACACCCTGCTCCGGGCCTTCGAAGCCTCACCCCACCGGTCCGCCCTCGACGCCTCCATGGCCGCCTACAGGTCCGGCCTGGACGCCGACGCCGACAAGCACGACGAGTTCCGCCTGGCCGTCCGCGAGAGCAAGCGCGCCGCCTCGGGCCGCTCGGCCTACCAGGTCGGCTTCCACCTGCAGGTGTGGGCACTCATGCGCCGCCAGTTCACACTCAAGCTGCAGGACCGCTTCAACCTCACCGTCTCGTGGGTGCGCAGCATTGTCATCGCCGTCGTCCTGGGAGCCTTGTATCTCAACCTGGCCGAGACGTCGGCCAGCGCCTTCAGCAAGGGTGGCCTGATCTTCACAGCCCTGTTGTTCAACGCCTTCAAGGCCTTCTCCGAGCTGTCGGGCACCATGCTGGGCCGGCCCATCGTCAACAAGCACCGCGCCTACGCCTTCCACCGGCCCTCGGCGCTGTGGATAGCCCAGATCTTTGTCGACCAGGCCTTCGCCGCCACCGAGATCCTGGTCTTCACCATCATCGTCTACTTCATGACGGGCCTGTACCGCTCCGCCGGCGCCTTCTTCACCTTCTACCTCATGATCCTGTGCGGCAACATCGGCATGACGCTCTTCTTCCGCATCGTCGGCTGCGTCAGCCCGGATTTCGACTACGCCATCAAGTTCGCCGTCGTCATCATCACCCTGCTCGTCACCACGTCTGGCTACCTGATCCAGTATGACGTGCAGCAGACGTGGCTCCGGTGGATCTTCTGGATCAACGTGCTCGGGCTTTCGTTCAGCGGCATGATGATGAACGAGTTCAGCCGCATCGACCTGAAGTGCACGTCCGAGTCGCTCATCCCATCGGGTCCCAGCTACGGCGACATCGAGAACCAGGTGTGCACGCTGGCCGGGTCGACGGCCGGGTCCGACGTCATATCGGGCTCCCAGTACATCCGGCAGGCCTTCCAGTACAACCCCGACGACATCTGGCGCAACTGGGGCATCGTCATGGCCCTAATCGTCTTCTTCCTAATCCTCAACGTCGTCCTCGGCGAGCTCGTCCGCTTCGGCATGGGCGGTAACACGGCCAAGGTCTTCACCCGGCCTAACCGCGAGCGCAATGAGCTCAATAGCAGGCTGGCCGAGAGGCGCGAGGCCCGCCGCGCCGATAAGTCGGACGAGCAGGGCGCCGGCAGCACGCGCATGAACTCGGAGAGCATCCTCACCTGGGAGAAGCTGTGCTACGACGTCCCCGTGGCCGGCGGCACGCGCCGCCTCCTCGACGATATCTATGGGTACGTGCGGCCGGGCGAGCTGACGGCGCTGATGGGCGCATCGGGCGCCGGCAAGACGACACTCCTCGACGTCCTGGCGTCGCGCAAGAACATTGGCATCATCACGGGCGACGTGTTCGTGGACGGGGCCAGGCCTGGCCGGCAGTTCCAGCGCTCCACGTCGTACGCCGAGCAGATCGACCTGCACGAGCCGACGCAGTCGGTGCGTGAGGCGCTGCGCTTCTCAGCCGAGCTTCGCCAGCCGCACGGGACGCCGGTAGCCGACCGTCACGCCTACGTCGAGGATATCATCCACCTCCTGGAGATGGAGGACATGGCCGACGCCATAATCGGCACGCCCGAGGCCGGGCTGACGGTCGAGCAGCGCAAGCGCGTCACCATCGGCGTCGAGCTGGCCGCCAAGCCCGAGCTCCTGCTCTTCCTCGACGAGCCCACTTCCGGCCTCGACAGCCAAAGCGCCTTCAACATCGTCCGCTTCCTCAAGAAGCTCTCGGACGCCGGGCAGGCTATCCTGTGCACCATCCACCAGCCCAACGCCGCCCTGTTCGAGAATTTTGACCGGCTCCTCCTCCTCCAGCGCGGTGGCCGCACCGTCTACTTCGGCCCCGTCGGCACCGACGCCCGCGTCCTGCGCTCCTACCTCTCTCGCCACGGGGCCGAGGCGGCCCCCACCGACAACGTCGCCGAGTTCATGCTTGAGGCCGTCGGCGCGGGCAGCAAGCCGCGCATCGGCGACCGCGACTGGGCCGACATCTGGGCCGGCAGCCCGGAGCTGGTCGAGGTCAAGGCCACGATCGCTCAGCTCAAGCAGGAGAGGACCGGGGCCGCCGCCGCTACCGCCGCGGCAGAACGTGACCAGGAAAAGGAGTACGCGTCCCCGGTCGCGCACCAGATCGAGGTGGTGTGCCGACGCATGGTGCGGTCGTACTGGCGGTCACCCAACTACCTGTTCACGCGCATCTTCAATCACGTGGCCGTGTCTGTCATCACGGGCCTCACCTTCCTACAGCTCGACGACTCGCGCATCTCGCTCCAGAACAAGGTCTTCGTCATGTACCAGGTCAACGTGTTGCCGGCCCTGATCATGTCGCAAGTCGAGGTCATGTTCCACGGCAAGCGGGCCATCTACTTCCGCGAGTCGTCCTCCAAGATGTACTCGCCGCTGACCTTTGCGACGGCCATGACGCTGGCCGAGCTGCCATACTCGGTCTTCTGCGCCGTCGTCTTCTTCCTGCCCATCTACTATATGCCGGGCTTCCAGGCCGACTCGTCCCGCGCGGGCTTCCAGTTCCTCATGGTCCTCGTGACCGAGACGTTTGCCGTGTCGCTGGCCCAGGCCCTCGCCTCCCTCACGCCCAGCGCCCGCATCTCCTCCCAGTTCGACCCCTTCCTCATGATCACCTTCTCGCTCTTCTGCGGCGTCACCATCCCATACCCGCAGATCCCGCACTTCTGGAAGTCCTGGCTCTACCAGCTCGACCCCTTCACTCGTCTCATCGGCGGCATGGTCGTCACAGCCCTCAAGGGCGTCCCCGTCCACTGCAAGACCGGGGAGCTCAGCTCCTTCTCCGCTCCCGAGAACATGACCTGCGGAGAGTACATGCAGCCTTACTTCGACGCCGGCGCCGCCGGTTATCTCGTCAGCAACGACACCCAGGACTGCCGGTACTGCGCCTACTCGGTCGGCGATCAGTTCTTCAAGCCCCTCAACCTGTCCTTTGACAACCGCTGGAGGGATCTCGGAATCTTTGCTTGCTATATTGTCAGTAACCTGGCTATTCTATTTCTTGCGGTGAGCTCGGACCATGCCCTTTCATGCCCCTATTCCATTTCCACATCAGATTCTCAGAACTGACCACAGTCTCCAGACGCGTTTCGTCAATTACAACAAGCGGTAATTCATCATCATCGGTTGCTATTATTCAAAAAAGGTACCTTGATTGTTAAAAAAAGTATGAAAATTCAAATGGTCGGAAAAGTATTCAGTTAAACAAAAAGTCATTATATATATTATTACTACGGAGTACACGCATAATCACGGGCATGACATGAATGAAAGGCGCATATTTACCTACCTACTATCATTACTAGACTGTTTTTCATTTTTTTCTGCTCTCTCCCCGAACGCTTATATAATCATAATTCATATGATATAGATTGGGTCGTATTTACAATCTCATCGTACGAGTATCAATATGAAAAATTCTCCCTTGTTCGCCTAGTCTACCCGTCCTTGGCGCATCGTTTGTTTGTCGGGAGTGGCGTTTCTTCATTGTCAAGGATGACACACGCATTGTGCGTACATTGTGGCGAAAATATTATGGAGTGTGGCACCATTATCTGCTCTTGGGCAGTCAAAATGGTCGGTAATAAGACCTAAAAGACCTGGACACCCAAAGACCGACCCAAAGAGCCCAACGTGCGTATATAATCGCCACGAGCACGAGGTTGCATCTTACCGTCTTTTTGTCATTTATCGTCATCATTCCCCCTGAACACATCATATCGACAATCTACCCCTTTTTCTTCCCTTCCAATCGTATCACTCCCCTCCCCCAATCGCACCCCTAATGTTCAACACGAGCATTGGATAACAAGCAGTCTACACACACTTACGTCACCCATGTATCAATAGACACACGCGCGCCCATCATGTGTATAGTCTTCATCGCAACGACACATCCAAAATACCGCCTCATCCTGATTGACAATCGTGATGAGTTCGTTCTGCGGCCTACATCCCGCCCTTACTGGTGGAAGTGCGCCGACCCTCTACGCGAGGGCCATACAGTTGATGTCCTGTCTGCGCGCGACTTGCAGCGTCCCGAGCGCGGCACCTGGCTGGGCATCACACGCAGCGGGCTCGTGGCCGTCTTGACCAACTTCCGCGAGATCGCCTCTGCCGATCAACCGGGTCCGGCACTCCACGGCAGGCGCAGTCGGGGCGGCATGGTGACAGCATGGCTGGGCCAGCCGCCAGATGAGGGGGTGCGCTCTAGCGTCGCCAGGCTGGTGGCTGATGGCGAAGGTGTCCAGGGCGTCGGTGGCTTCTCCATGGTGTGCGGAAAGTTGCGCCCCGGAAAGGCGACTGAGGAGGACGACGATCACGATGGCCTGGCCATCCTGAGCAACCGCGCGGGATCGCTCGACGACGTGCCTATTGTCAAGTCGCAACACCGCGGAGTATGGGGCCTGACCAACACGGCCCACGACAAGTCGCACGAATGGCCCAAGATCTCGAACGGCCTAGGCCCCTTTGAAGACATCGTTCGTGCCCACGGGGAGGCCGGTGATGCCGTGGACGAGGACGACCTGATCCAGCGGCTGCTCGATTTCCTGACCACCGACACCCTGGAGGGCTGTGAGGGCAAGACACTCGAGGACAACGTTCATGACCTCAAGAACAGCATCTTCATCCCGCCCCTCGGCGCCGAAAAGCAGCATCGGGAGATGGAGGAGGCTCGCGCGGCCGGCGGCGGCGCAGCAAGGGGCACCTTCCTCGCCCACGACATGCCCACCCCCGAGCGGCCAGACGACGAGGAGCCCGGGATGTTCTTCGACAAGGGACTGTATGGAACGCAGAGACAGACGGTCATTCTCGTTGATTACGAAGGCAACGTGACCTTTGTCGAGAGGGCTCTGTGGGATGCCCACGGTCATCGGTTGGAAAAGGGAGAGGGGGATGTCACATTTCGTTTCAAAATTGAAAAGGAGGAGGAGAAATGAAGGGACGCGTGGAAGTAAAATAAAAAATAGAACTGGAAGGCGAGTCTATGCCTCCTTCCCTAAAAAACCAAAGCAATCAACCTGACCAGCTGTCGGGCAGCTGGCAGCCGGCGCATTTCAGGTAACGTCACCTGGTGGCACCTGCAAACTTACTCCTTCCCCTCCTGTGACGTGACGTGAATATCTCAACCGCGTCAAACAGTAAATGTCAACAAATCATCCACGGCTAGCTACACTAGAACAAACAGCACACACATTCTAGCTTATCCTTCACTGCTTTCCTCCTCATCTCTTGATATACCTTGTCCATTCTGTGCCCTCTACGAAGGGTAGACGAGGCATGGACAACTTCCCAGGACGACCTCGTGCCGACAATCAGCTTACAGACTTCATTCTTCTTCACATCTACCTGGCCCGCATCCTGGCCCAGTCCTTCTGGATCTACCACAGACTCATCTCGACCATTGTCAAGATCGTCCTGTTGGTGGCATACCACGCTGCTTTGTCCCGGGGCACGCCCGGATTGCGTCGCGCAGCCTCCAACGCCTGGCGCTCGGTCCGTATTCTGGCAAGGCAATTGATCGAGCTCAACGGCCTCGTGGGACATATACTTCGGACACCTCACAGAGCGTTGTCTGTTCTCCTTCGTGACTGGTTCTGGTTTCGCCTCGCCGTCGCCATTGTCCTGTTCGGGCGCGTGTTCGAAATCATTTTCCTCCCGCTCCTTGCCGGCATCGTCTATCATTGGAGATGCATCACCCGGCTGTGGTAGCCTCACCGAGAACACTGAAGCCCAAGAAGTCGCGTACGGTCTCGTGGCTCCTCCGAGCCGGTTCGCGGACAGCTACAGCACGCCCCGTCATATCGGCGCCCATGGGACCGGTAAAAAATTCGAGAGGCGCCGACCTGCTCAGGAGCGAGACCCTTGTCGTCGTCGACGGGATAGATGGCTGTGTTGGCCAGGACCGAAGGACAAGCCATATAGCTACCGCTCATACTCTACAGCCGCTCGCAAGCAGCCCGACAGTGGCGAGCTCCGACATGACGGTATCGCCTGAAACGCAGACTCTTCTCGGCACGATTGACATCAACCAGATCACAAAGGAGCCCGCGGGCCCCGCCTCTACCGGATTTTACCAGCCACGGTCTCCTGCAGGCTCTCAGACGGCATCGCTGTTGACACTGAACAGGGATTCAACATGTCAACATGAGAACATGCCGCCCAGGGAAGCCATTTGGACGCCGAGCTGTCAGCCCGTGAGTCGGGTCCCCAAGTCCAAGTCCATCAACACAATCCATCGCATCAGGGACTCCAATAGACTCAGTGACATGCATGGGTTTCCCTCTTCAGCATCATCCAGTACTACAATTATACATTCGCCATCGTCGGAACAAGAGTCTGTACAGGATGCACTTCAGACCCCCAGCCGCTCGTCTAGCCAAGGGGATACGACCCTTTTGCTCCAGGTAAATGAGGCCCAGCCTTCAGCCTACTGGTCCGGCCGCTTCATGAGTCTCTACGACAAGCTCTCCAACCAGTCAATGACTCCTATACTAGAATGCCCCTCCATGTCCTCTCTGTTGAAGGGGCCGCCCCTGGCTCGCCACGCTACCTCGCGTATCCCCTTTTCTTCGTCGCTGCCCAACGTGGGAAATATGGAGATGCAGATGGCCGCGGACGACGAGGAAAAAGTCCGTCGTATTTTCCGTCGCCTCGAAACTTCGTGCTCCACCGCCGAGGCACGCAACTCCCTGCATGACTGGCAAGGTGTATACTCTCGTCGCAATAGGCGCAGATCGTCGTCGCGTCATCTCCACCCGCCGAAGGAGAATGAGAACCGCCGCGGAGGCGTCGTGCTCAAGTGGCTGGACAGCGTGCAACGGACGAGCAGGAGGAACTTGTCAGCTCTCCGGGAGTCGTCGGCCTCGGCGGCCCATCCCACTAGAAGCAGGGTAGTTGCAGATGCAAAGGAAAAGGGGGGCTGGAAAAAGTGATTTAGTCAGTATACTCCCTTGTTTCATGTTTTTTTATTTCTCTTCTCTTCTTTTCTTTTGACTTTACCTCATTTTTTTTTACCATTGTTTGATTAAAAGAAACGGATTGGGTTGAGAAAAGGAATGTTATTGAGTTTTCTTTTCATTGTTCTCGTATGAACTCCAGGTACTAGCGTAGTCTGATACTACTAGTACTAGTAGTATGATATTCAATTCGTCCTCTTGCCTCTGCCAAACGCCTATTATATTCCATGTCACCCTTTTGTTTGTTATACATGTAATCTTTTTTGTTCCTTTTGTCAGATTCGTAGAGTATTTCTTCCCAGCGAAAGGGGAATCTAATCGTCCACCTTTTTACGTATGCGGAGATAGTCACGAATCTGCTCATGTTTGCTAGCAAAGAACATGCCCGTCTTGTCATTCCTCCAGACGAGTACCCCGACTTCGTTGGCGAACCCGGCGATGGCGAGGTACTCCTTCTGATCCTCAAAGTCCTTGAAGAGGAAGCCGCTGGTGGTCTTCATGCGTTCGTTCTCGAGCTGCCAGAGGCGGATCTGGTCGACTACGGTGGGTGGCAGGACGGGTTTGTCGGTCAGGGCGGCGGTGCGGTGCATCTGGTCGTGGGCGTGGGCGGAGAGGTAGGCGATGATTTGCTCGGCCGTGATGCCAAAGTTGATGGCCTGGCGGATCGATGTGCGCGACAGGCGGCCGGCCACCATGTCCGGGAAGCGCATGTTAAGGCGGCAGAAGAGGGCCAGCACGGCGATCTGGAGAGTGGACTGGGTGTAGGCGTAGATGCGGTAGTTGGTCTCGACCACCACGCTGCCCTTTTGGTCGGCGCCGGAGCCGAGGGGTCCCGCTGCTGCTGCTGCTGACGATGATGATGAAGAGTTGTTGTCGGCGCCGGCGCCGCCGCCGGCCGATGCAGACGGAGGAGTAGAGGCTGAGTTTGTGGCGGCGGTGACACCCTCGCTTATGGTGCGGAGACCGCTGCTACTGCCGCTCGTCAGGGTGGTGGCCAGGCGGGTGGGGAAGAACATGGAGCGCTTGTGGTGGGGCACGTGGATGAGGCCGAAATCGACGAGGGAGGGAAGCATATTCCTGCGCTGCTCGGTCAGGGCGTTGGTGTCGTAGGCGCGGCCGAGCTCCATGCTGGCCAGGACGAAGAGGAAAGAGAGCATATCGACAGCCTCAAGGCCGGCCTCGCGGTTCGTGTCCATGGCTTCGAGCCACAGGAGAAGCAGGGTCCATACCTGCGCCTTGGCCTCCTGCAGCAGGAAGGTGAAGCCAGCCTGCGTGATGCCGATGCTGCCGCTGGGGCGGCGGTCCACGAGACGCCCCGCGATGAGCAGCTCCTTGACGCTCTTATTGGGGCCCGACACCTCGCCCGTGCCGCTCTTGTAGCCGACGCTGGAGACGACAAAGTGCAGTATGTCCTCCCACTTCTTGCGGGCGTACCGGTCCAGGAAGGCGATGTCAATCTCCGGGGGCACGGCGAGGGTCGAGGGCACTCCGAATGAGTTGTGCGTACCGCTGCCGGTTAGGGCTTGTCGCATCGAGTTCTTGAAATTGGTCGTCAGCTGCATCTCCTGCGGTCGTTCGCGAGACGGCGGCGAGATGTGCACGATGTGGAGGGATTGCAGGATGGACAGGGCCTGGTCCTTTTGTCTGTCGGGAGGGAGGGAGGCACGTGAGCGAAACCAGTCAGCAACCGCACACACGCCTTGATTTGCTTTATTTGATCCAGGTTGAGAGTATTTGTCGCCACTCACTTCTTCGAATCGGGCTTGACCCAGACATCAAGGTCACTGAGAAGCATAGGTTTGGGCATAAAGAGCATGCGCATGACAAACGTCTTTGCTGCAGGGAACATCGAGTTCAGCACTGGGACCTCATGGTCAAGAATGGTGACATTATATACGGGTGCATACCCAGATGCGAGAGCATTCGTCGAAATATGGCAAAGGCTGTCGACGGCTGCTGGTAGAGCTTCCGGAATGTCGTCCCGGGAAGCTTCTCCAGGTAGTCCGCGAGCTGCAGCGAGGGTGCGGTGCTGACGGACATGATGGCTGCTTCTTTCGTTCTCCCGCGTGATGATGCGCCAAGTCGTCAGAGGGTTAAGGGGGAGGGTACGCGTCTCTATCTCATGATCTCGACAGGGTAAGAGTTTTCCGTTGTCGTAGACGCACCCCCGGGACGTCACTTCATAGGACGGAGTGCGGTGAGTTGAAGATGGGGGAAGCAATCTTACAGTTTCACGATGATCAAGTTGTAGGACAGAGGATGTGACGTTTTTGTCGGGAAATGTCCGGATAAACGTGGGTGGGAGACAATGGTCGGCAAGGTCGAGAGATTACAGACGAGATAGTAAGTCATTTAGCTGGTACACTCAGTAGTCACTGTAGCTCTTGAGTCACCATGAGAATATATTAAAAGAAAACAAGAAAAGATTTTGTTTTGTTGATGCCATTGAAGAATTAGCCGATCCAGACCAACTCTAGGCGTCGTGGTTCATGACCATCCGCGCAATAGTAACCCCAAGCATAGCATCATACGTGGGTCCCTTTCTATCGTCATCTCCGGGAATCTCATCCGTCCCTAACCGTCCACCGACACCACACAGCACAGATAGCAGAGAAAAATGGCCAAGCAGCTCTCCCCCACGGCATTCACACGGAGCGTAATATTCAATTCTCACATTGCTCAGTACCAAAACCACTTCTAACATGGAAATAGGTTCTCCGTTCCTTCATGAAGGAGTCCGGTCTTGAGCCGAGGTTCGCCATTTCACTTGTTTCCGCCTTGCCTCCCCCCTCCTCCGGATAAGATGAGAATTGTTAACCGCCAGATCGACAATCCAGACTTCTTGGCTCCAACGTATGTCACTTCAAATCTCTACTCCGTTCGGCCGTTCCCGACTGACTGACGAAATCAGCGCTTCCGTATCCTCACCGCTGCCCCCGGGAAAGTCGACTTTGAGCTTGACATTCACAAGGATCACACGGTAACATACAGGCCTTTCACACTCTCGTGTGCTTCTGAAAGATTGCTTGTCTCTGACTTGAACAAAAAAAAAACATGTTGCAGAACCGTCTTAGGACTATCCATGGCGGCACCCTCGCTGCCCTTGTTGACCTGGGCGGCTCCCTGGCCGTTGCTTCGACTGGCCGCTTCGCGACGGGCGTGTCTACTGATCTCAATGGTACTGCTCTCTCCATATTTCCCCACAGAGCTATAAACGCTTCATACTGACCTTTCCGAAGTGACATACCTCAGTCCAGGTGGCCGAGAGGGTGATGTACTGACGGGGACTGCCACTTGCGACAAGAGTAAGTCTTCCTCTATTTCTCTCTCCCAAGGATATACCACTGATTAGCGCCTGCCTTAGTCGGCAGAACCCTTGCATACACGTCCGTCATCTTCACCAACAGCAAGGGACAGCTCGCGGCCAGGGGCAGCCACACAAAGTACGTCGCTGCTACTATGGGGGAGGATGGCCCGTATGTTGTCCCGGCAGAGGCCGTGGAGGAGTTGGAGGATGACGAGACAGGGAAGAGTCGTAATTGAGAGGAGAGTCTTGAAACCATGCATTGAGTTTATCTTGTTACCTCTGCAACACCTTGATAACATATGTATACATAAGATAAACAGCCTGATGATATCATGTGCCTTCGATGTCGTCGATATCGTAAAAAGCCCTCTTTCCAGATCCCAAACTCTAATGTTCCTTATCTCTTCCCGCCAAAAAAGAAAAAAAAATGAAAAGAAAAGCACCCAATAAATCAAAACGATGCCTGTTTTCTCTTCTTCTTCATGGATTTCGCAACCAATGCTCTGTCTAGGTAAGGCAGTAGCTCTATCCTTGGTGCACGAACCCATCAGCTTGGTAGTTCAACACCGTGATCTCCTCATGCGACGACGGTTATTGGAAGGGCGTGCTCATCATGTACTCATCTTCCTGGGCACCCACTCCGTTAGATATCTGAGGATGGCGCGAGTGCTCACACACAAAAATCGATGAAACATGATCTTGCGCATAAACGGTCGGTCAGTCAGTCGTGGAGGGAGGCAGATCAGCAGACCAGCCGGGGTTTCTCCCAGGATGCAGAATTTGGCAGAAGACTATATAAACTATGGATACAGTCTCCCAGGATCGTTTCGTCTCGGGGGAAGCCATAGGTAGCCAAAGGTGACTACAATGGCAGCGGGGAAGGTCACGAAGGGCAGGTAATGGGCACGTGAGTCGACATTGAACAGCGGGGAAGCGTGTGCTTTTTCTCCCAAAATGATTTAGACGCAAGAGTAAAAGAAAAGCCCGAGAAAAAAAAAGGCGAGGATCGGTGGTGCGAGGATTCAGGGATGATGAGGTTTGGAAACAGGTGATGGGCTGGCTCACTGGTAGATCATTAGCAGAGAGGCTGAGTGGGTTGGAGTTTGGGGGGGGAGGGGCTCAACTACAGCGACCCAGATGCTCCGTGTGGGCGTCTCTTCCAGCCCTCGACAGCTCTGTGTGTTTTGATTATAATAAAGTAATAATGATGACCCGGATGCCATGGCTAGAATTCTCCACTTCCACGACTAGGAGTTTATATATTCCTGGTCATATTACTACTAGTTTTAACCACTAGTATTACTGCTTCTACCATGTAATATTATATATTACTTACCAGCCGATGATCCGAAATGGTAGGAGTCGGCATGGCTGATCAGTTAATATTCAGTGATAAACCTCAACCTCTGATCTGAACGTGTGTTGCTTTTGCATCTCCCCATCCTCCTCACCATCATGACAATGGCTCCTTCCCGCTCACAGGCGAGGTTGCCTTCCATCTCGTCAGGAAGGTGCACACTGCTCCTTCCCTCTCTATGTGAAAGATCCGACGTGCCTTCCAGAATACATCACCTTCACTGCTGTTCCCCCCATCCTTTGCCAGCATTTTTCGTAGAATAAAAGGCCACATAACATTCTCAGATCTTCTTCATCTTTACCAGCATCCTAACAACCGTCCTACAGACCCTACGTATCTTACACACCCTCAAAAACGGCTTTCACATTTACCTTTGCTCTTATCATCATCTCCGCATATTTTTATCTTCACCCGAGCTGTGCTGAAATCCCAGTCCTTTCCCATACCACCTTGATCGAGCTCACCATGTCGACTCCCGGCGGCGATATTCCCTGCAGGCTCCTCCAGGTCATTGCGACCGCTATCTTGAGACTGTGCAGCTCCACGGCGGCCATGATCGAGTACACAATGTCCCTCTTCATGCCCTTGTGGCATCTCCTCGGCTTCTCCTCTACCCCCACGGCGGTTCTCAGGGAAGCCTTGGTAGCCATACTCAGAGCCTTGTCTCTCATGTCGGCCAGTCTGATCCAAAGAATTGCCGACGTGTTCCGAGACTTGGGTGGACTGATCCTAGGTGAGGAGGCAGATGACCCATTGATCTTCCGTTCTTGGTTGCAGCTGATTTGACGCTGACAATGCTAGAAACATCCTTCGCCGCCTTGATTGCAGCTTTGGCCATATCTGGAGTGACCCGTTGGAATAACAGCAATAGCAACAAAACCAAGAGCAGCAGCAACAACAGCGAGACGGACAGGAGTACGAGGAGAAAGGCACACTGAAGGAGGAGACGGCGGAACGGAATACGATGGAGCCCATGAAACGCGCGTTGGATCGTGGCTGGGAACATGCAACTTGGTGGAAAAGCGATGCGTTGCTGAATAGGTTCCCATATTTCCCGAGGGGCCAGCATGGGGGATCATGAGAGACTCTGGGGCATGATGACAATTCAATTATGATGACGTAGGGGTCGTGGTTGACGAACCCATAGGGTTTTTATGACGAATAAAGATTAGAATTACGTGAACAGGGTAGTACATATAACATCAAGAGAAGAAAAGACTATAGGTGAGATGATGTAGAGTGCATGCAACCCTACTTTCCCCTAAGGGAACCCCGGATAATGAAGATGAAAAGTCGCACTGCTTGTCGACCCCAAACGTACACACCGTTAGTTTTGATGTAATATGTGCGACACTAACATGGGGGAGCTGAGGTGCGCGTGAGGGAGAGAGAGAGAGAGAGAGAGAGGGAGGGAGAGAGAGAGAGGTGGGCATAGGGTTGCATAGACTAGGCTGGATGGAGGGTTGATTGCAGGCTTGTGGCTTACACGGGGTAGATTAAATAGTGATATCATAATACAGGTTGGATGTATGTCTAACTTCATAGAGAATCTTTTGCAGGAAATATTGAATCCGTCTTACTGGAGGAATAAAAAGAAGAGGAACTGTGAGGATAGTCAGAGGTTTGGTCAGTGTGAATCAAGAAGCAAGGTCACCGTCCCTTCGCACTCTGGGAAGAGAACAGGCATAGGTGTATATGTACTACGAGTATATTTCTGATCTCAGAAAAGAAGAAGATGAAAACCGATACGGGGAGGCAGTCTATCTGATAAATCGCAAAGCGAGGTAGCCGAGGAGCCTGTAACCGGCAATGATACCGACCATGATGCCCAGCCAAGTACCCTGGAGACCGGTGTCGATGCCGAGGGAGCGGAGGACGTCGGTGCCGCGGAACTGTCCTTGGGAGTTGAGGTCGCTGGAGTACATGCACCGGTAGGAGTCAGGCTGGCCCGGGACGGCGGCACAGTCGAAGGTGCGATGGTCGAACTCGTTGACCATCATTCCCTGGAAGACGTAGGCCTGATAGTCGATGTAGTGGAAGACGTACTTCCAGAAGGGGTTGAGGATGGTCATGGGGACGAGGAAGCCGTCGACGACCATCCAGAGGCCGTTGGCGAAGGCGGTGACGGCGAGGGCGACGACGAAGGTGGGGGCCAGGCTGGAGACGAGCAGGACGAGCGACTCAGCGGCGACGAGGTCGAGGAAGAGCCAGAGGAGGTAGGTCATGAAGGCGGCGCCGTCGGCGCGGAACCCGGTGAGCCAGTAGGTCACGACGGAGAAGAGCACGGAGATGGCGAACAGGAAGGGCAGGCCGACGGCGAAGCTGGACGCGACGAAGGAGAGCGGTCCTGCCAGCCCGTCGGCCCTCTCACGCTTAAAGGTGTGCAGGTCCTCCAGCAGCGCGGGCACGTACGCCACCGACATGAAGGACATGAAGGCGCCCCCGAAGAAGATGGAATTGGTCAGCGGCTGCACGTACCTCTGGTCCGACCCAAAGCGCAGGAACACGGTGCCCATCAGGACGGCCAGCCCGAGGTACATTGCCACGCGGATGCCGTACACGAACACGTCGCGGTACGCCTTGAGCAGGGACCGGTGCATCAGCGTCACCGGGACCATCCACGCGCTCGGTCCGGGGAGAGACGTGCGCGACAGGTCCGTCCGTTCACCCGGTAGCGCGAGGGCCGAGGTGGTGGTGGTGGTGGTGGTGGTGGCCTCGGAGATGGATGCGCTCAGGGCGCGTCGCTCGGCGGACTGGGACCACCTGCCTACCAGGTCGTCCGTGCGGGCCACCACGCTGCCGTCCCGGTCCAGGTCCGTGTTGATAAGGTCGAGGAGGAACTCGGCCGGGTTGATGGCCGGGGGGAGCGGGTGTCCGGCTCCGCCAAAGTACGAGGGCGCGTCGCGCACGCTGCCAAAGTAGCATGTCCTCCCGCGGGACATGAGCGCCAGCTTGTCAAAGAGCTGATACGTCGTCGTGGAGGGCTGATGGATCGAGGCGACGACGACGAGCTGGGTCCAATCAATCGATGGGTCAGATAGCAGCACTGCATGGAAGCATCACATCGGTGTAGTGGTGTGATGGCCCACCGGCATCTTCACATCAAGGTGGGACAGGGAACTAGGGAGGGGGAACATGCACTCACCCGGTTCCGCATGCCGACTTCCTTTATGTAGCGCATCACCTCGGAGCTCAGGGCCGAGTCCAAGCCGCTGGTGGGCTCGTCGAGGAAGAGGACCTTTGGATTCGTCACCAGACGGCTGCATATGCCCAGACGCTTCTTCTGGCCTCCGCTAAGGCCCTTCCTCAGCGGCGTACCCACAATGGTATGGGCCTGGGACTGGAGTCCGAAGCTGGAGATGAGCTCGTCGACTCGGGCAAGGGCATCCTTGCGCGTAACGTTGCTGGAAACCTGTCAGTATACTCTCTGGTCTGGTCTGATCTACTCCGTGCTCGGGAAATATCGACATGTACTATGTATTATGCAGCATGACCCGCCCTTCTTGAGCGCCGACTCTGCACAGGGGCGGGGGACGGGAGGGGAGGGAAACATGCGGGGATACCAAGGTGATACTGCAGAGAGAGAGAGAGAGAGAGAGAGAAGATAAAGAAAGGGATGGGAAAAAGAAAAAGAAAAAAAAGACCAGAAAAAAAGACTAACCTCGGAAATGCCAACCTAGCGGCGAAAATGACCGTCTCACGAACAGTGATGCTACCGATGAGCGCATCCTCCTGCTCTACGTAGGATGTCAGGGTCCTGACAAGGGCAGGGGTAGCCTCGCTGTCGTTGGCCATGACCTGGCCCGTGGTGGTGGCGCCGGCAGCTGCCGTCCTCCGCGACAGGGTGTTGAGGAGGGTCGTCTTTCCGGAGCCGCTGGGGCCCATGATGGCCAGCATCTCCCCGGCGCGGACCAGACCCGAGGCCTCGGCCAGGATGTCGATGGGCTGACCGGTCTCGCGGTCCTTGACGACGACGCGCATGTCGCGCCACGAGAAGGTGTCGATGGCATTGTTGACGAGGTGTGCTGTGGGCACTGGCTGCAGCTCCAGGTCCTTATCCTCGTCTCTATAAGGGGAGTTGGAGTTCGTGCCGTTCCGGTGACCCATCATATCTCCTACCTGTTCTTGTCTTTCCTTCTCTGCTTCTCTCCTCTCTCTCATGTATCGGTGGTATGATGATGATAGTACCCTTATGCTTGTTCAACGATAGTGTGTAATACGTTGCGGGTATGTGTGTAAGTATTGATATGTAGTGACACTTTCTCGTGGGAATGAGCATATGTAAGCTGTGCAGATATTGTATCGCAACATCAATGTAGTATTATTACACAAGGAGAAGAGAAGAAGTAAAAGACGTCATCCGCTATATATATTGATATCCATCATGCTGTACATTCAGCTGAATTAGACAATTGGTTTGGTGTGATATTGCTCTGTACACAAATGTCCATCCGTACACGTATTTGGCTTCGGCGACTATCCAAGATAAGATGCCTACTGTTTTTTTCTTCTTTTTCGAAAGCCTTTGGTTGGGCACGAGTGCTGGTGGCGGTGGTCTACTGGCAAACTCCATCGAGTACCTCGTACCATCTGACGGGTGTCTCACTTCTTCTCTGAGCAGATAGGTTTTGTCTGGCCATGTGGTCCCACAGCGACGCTGTAAGACAACAAGGAAAGGAGAGAATGAGAGAGAGAGAGATAAAGAAAAGAAAAATGAGTGGAGAATAGACATGTATTAGATTAGAACACGCTCTGGCAGACCGGGGGGGGGGGGGACAAGCAAGTCGCCGAGGCTTTCAACTCAGGGATGTGGTAGGGGGAGGATGACATATGAAGAAAGCGGTATTACTATTCTTATTTCTTTGACCTGAATCGGGAAGTAAATATATTGACTTGAGGTGACGGCGACCTGGGGATAGGAGGGGGGTTCGTATTACGGAAAAGTTGCCACGGACTGCAGGTAGAAAAGTCTTACTCCTAGTGATGTAGCACATACATATACATATATGCATATATGTATATACATATACATATATGCATACATGATACAGCTGCTTGCTGACTTGACTACCGTAACTAGACTCTCCAGCAAGGACTGGCCGAGATTCCCAGTAGTAACTGATCAGTGACGAAGAGGCTGGAAAGTCCCGTTGCCGTTCACAATGCAATCATGTTCGGGGAACTGCACGGGATACACTCTCACAGCCGGAACTCCACCATTTCCCAACGAGGAATAAAGCAGAGTGCCGGAGAGCGTCCCCCGGGCGTAGATCCCCGGCACCGTCCCGCTGACGTCGGCGACCTGCGTCTTCTCTTTCCCTCTCTCCACTGACTAGTAATAATGACTTGGTATAGTTACTCCATATTATCACTACGTATCTTGCAAGTACTCTCAGTACATGTACTAAGAGTACTCCTAGTACTCGTACTCCTAGTAGTAGTAGCATGTATCTTCCCTCCCGTGTACCAGGTATTCAGTCTCGAGCATAACCATCTGCATTGCAACCCGAGTACCTGACTTTCTGTGACCTGTACTTGCAGTCCCGGTCACCTCTTAATGCTCCATCCGTTATTCCCCTCTGAGGTACAGAATGACACCTTTTAGTAGATACCGACGTCGCCGACCCTGTGGTCCCCGAGTTCAATCTCAAAACAAACCCACATACAAGAACGCATAGACGCAACGCACTAGAGTAAACGGTCGCATTCATCTCGTATTTTTGTATACCTGTACACCGGCGAACCGAGGATGGACGGCAGAGAAGAAAAGGGAGAGAAAGAGGAAGAGGAAGACAGAGTCGGACTCCTTTCTCCCCCCCCCAATTTATTTATTTATAACACACACACACACACACACACACACACACGCACACTTTGCCGAGATAGGAAATACGAAGCAATTGTCTATTTCATATCCTCCTCACTCATACCACTCTCAATCTCTCTCTTATTCCGTTCTGCCCCTAAACCCATATTCCCATCTACCTTCTTCCCCGTCTCTCCATTTCCGTTATCAATGGTTTATCCCGCCTCTTCGAGACTATAATTGTTCATGTTCTCGAGAGCCTTGTTCTCACTCCGTACTCTTCAAAACATGTGTAGTACCCCTTTCCTCCACTTGTCTTGCTCTTAGCACACGCTCGGTGACGAGTTCAATCCTCATTTTATGAACAACTCTGTCCAGATCTCAACCTAATTTGAATCGTCTTTGGTATTCGATGGTGTTTTGGACAAACTTTCCGTCTTCCTTACTCCCTCCCTCCCTCCCTCTCTCCTTCGCTTCCTCCTTCACCTTATCCCCCATTTTCGTCAAGAAATCTCTCCCCCGTGACTCTGGGAGCATGATCGCAGACAGTCCCGGTTCGATGTACGACACCCCGTCAGCCATCACTTCTGCTTCGTCGTCCAACTTCGGCACCTCGCAGCAGGCTGCCGTTGACAACCAGAAGCCTTCGTCCGGCCAGCCCGGTAAGGGCCATGAATGTCCCCCCACTGCTTGCATTCCCTGTGTAAGTGCATCTAGTTCCCTTGTCTTTCAACACACGTGGGAGCCTTTTCCTTTCCAACCCCCTTCCTTTTTCTTTTTTTTTTTCCTTTTTTAACAAAGCACCCCCCCGATACTCGAGGATCTATAAACTTGTGGTGCGTGCGGGCTGGACCTACACCCCCTCCCCCCCCCCCCCCCCCTGCTCGCCCTCCTCCTCCTCTTCCTCGGGCCTACAACACGCACACTCATCTTGATCTTCACCATTCTTCGCATTGCCTAATCCTGACCTGCACCAGCGAAGAAAACATCTCAAGTGTGATCGGGGATTCCCTTGCATACGGTGCGCCAAAACTGGTTCCGAATGCACCTACGTCGCGTCCCGTCGAGGAGTAAACCGACCCACGGACGCCGTCTCCGTCAAGAGGGGCGTCGGTGATGCCCTGGGACTGCTGAGCCCCTCGTGGGCGTCCGCGGGCCCCTTTCCCGGCGCCAGCTCCCTGCTCACGCTATACCGGCCCGTGCGCGATCCGAGCCAGCAGACCGTCGACGCCACGATGGCCCAGCGCTGCCTGCACTCCTTCTACTGCGCATTCCATCTGGCCCACCCGTTCGTCGTGCCCGAGAAGTTCCTGTTCTTGCTGGCGGGGCAGCCCTCCCTGGAGCCCCTGCTCGCCTCGATGCGGTGGGTCGGCTCGCTCTATCTGGCCGTCAACCACGGCGTGCGGGCCACGCTGTTCAGCGACGCCATCGCCGGCGTGTACGGCAGCGGCTCTGGGGCGGCGGCGACAGCGACGGCGCCGCGAGATGCCCTCCTGCTGCAGGCGATGATGGTTCTCCTCGTCGGCCTCGACGGCATGTGCGAGTCCGACATGGCCAGGCGTATCCTCGGCGATGCGTCGCTGATCGCCACCGAGCTGTCCGCGCACACACGGTCGTTTGCCTCGGCACACGGCCAGGGTATCCCCGTACTCGAGGAGAGCCTGCGGAGGACCTGGTGGGATCTATACGTCATCGACTCCATGATTGCCGGCATGCATCGCGCCAGCTCCTTTGCCCTGTTTGACCTGGATACCAATGCTGACCTGCCCTGCGAGGAATGGCAGTACATGTCAGGCGTGAGTTTCCCACTTTACCCTCGTCGGCTATGAAACCTTCCGTTGCTGATCGTGCTTTCGCGTGGGGGACCAGAACATACCCGTCGCACCGACGAGCCTCAGCAGCCTCGAAGCGCGCGACTTCAGCGACTCCGCCCCGCTGTCATCATTCGCCTACCGCGTCCTGTGCGCGCGCAACCTCGGCCGCTTCCTGCGGCTGTCTCCCTCCCCGGGACCAGGTGACGAGGACCTAGCACAGCTGGAGGCGTCCCTGACAAACTGGCGGCTGCACCTCCCGCCCGCCAAGCGCGACGCCGTCGGCATCAACGGCAGCTCGGACGAGATGATGTTCCAGGCGCAGATGATGCTCCACGCGACGTCCATCCTGCTGCACCACCCGCACTCGGAGATCGACTCGGTGGCTGCGCGCAACGTGGACGCATGCACGTCTATACCGGGGGAAGGCGTCGGCGGCGACACGGCCGTCATGATGCGCGGTCCGGCCGTGGATGCGCACGGCGCCTCCAGCTCGGGTGGCCTGTACAACACGCACACGCGACACGTCATCACCGCCGCCGACGAGATCGGAAAGCTCATCACCCACCGCGCGCCGATTCGGTCTCACACCCCCTTCTTCACCTGCGTCATCGTCCTCGGCTCGGTCGTCCAGCTGAACAGGTGGGGGTCCCAAGGTCGCATGACGATGCCCCTGGAGGACGGCGACGGCACAGACTGCATCGACGGGGGCGGCCGGGATCAGGAGACCCGTCTACGCGACCAGGTCCGGCTGGGGATAGGTGCGCTCACTCACATGGCCGAGGTGTGGAAGTCGGCCGCCACCGCGCTCGGTCAAGTCAGAGGTGTGGCGAGGGAGCTCCATCAGGCTAAGCAGCAGGGGAGAAGAAGGCAGGGTCAGCAGGATGAAGCCGATGCTATGCGTTTCTGCCTCACCATGGAGGACATTTTTGGAGATGATTCCCTCATGGCCACCATTGGCTCGGGGGGAGCGATGCCAGACCCATGAACGCCACCACGCACGCAAGAAATATGAACAACAAGAAGCACAGACAAGCCAAAAAAAAAAAAAAAAAGGCGAGGGTGAGAGTGGGAGAGAAAGGAAGAGAGAGAAAAGAGGGGAAAGAAAAATCATGAAGCCAAGAAACGATGATGCATAGAGCGTGGGTCTCCTTTTCTAGAAGGATTGATATTGAAGCATAGACAATCGGGGGGGAAGCAAGGGGGGATTGCATCATTTGACCACGAACTTATGACATAACGTAACATGTACGGGATACGGTGTACTACTAAGTATTGCCATGTATTGCATTTTTTGTCTCTCTCCCTTTCTAGGAATCTATTCGTTCATCTTTACTTCCTCCTTATCTTTGTCAAGAGAATGACTGCAGCATTGCATGCATATGTCAAATACCATGTGGCGTAACATGTACGTACAAGTTGGACATTTGGTTATTCCATGCCCCCCACGACGGCTGGAGACGTTTTGAGATGTCCTCCAACCCGTACCGACGATTGATTTGGGTATAGATAGATATGTTGGATCATCCCGACGAGCTAAGTGCCATGTCTCTGCATCTAGCTTTCCGCGGGAGCTCCCTGGGCTTCCGACGGCCCCCACGCTACCCACCTCTGTGTGATTCTGGCATGGCAGCGCCGTGCAGTCGTATTGTTTCCATTTCATCGTTGAAGCGAGTTATTATCTATCTCGGCCGATGAAGGTGGCGACACCATATGGCCATGTCGGGACGCGGCTTCAGGGAGCTGAACTGGGCAGCCTCGATGCCGTGATATCGGCGACGGGCCTCAGGTGAAACGGATGGACTGGATGCCAAAAACGTAGCCTCTGCTTGGGAGAGCCCGATCGCAGCATTGCTTGTCTGCTGTATTGGGGATAGGATAATACGTTTTGTGATTGAAGACGGGGCGTAACGGGCCTTCTTTCTGACAGCTCAAAAGAGCACGAAATCTGCATAAACCATGTTACCTGCGCTTCCGTGCTCGTACGAAGAGTCAAGGCCAAGATGGCAACGGCTGTCACCGCGCACCTCCTTTTGGCCCATCTCGGTAGTCCATTTTAGATGAAGGAGAAGACGCGACACTCACGGGAGAAGACGCAATATCGTTTCGAAGACGCAATAGCGGAGAAAATGCACATGGTATTGCCCATTGTGGGGTTTGGACCAGGGGGGGGGGGAAGGTTATTATACAGTAGTAGGTTACCAAACATATAGTTTTACTGTCTCGATAGCTTATAACCGGCCGAGAACATCCTATTATCGTGTACATACATGAGTACACCGGCGTCTGTGAAGGGGAGCGACAGACAAGCTTTTCGTTGAATGCAGGCTTGAAAGCTGTCGGATAGATGGTACGTGGGATCGATATGCTGTAGGAAGAAGCATCCTGTTTCGGTTTATGGACAACAGGAATTGTCTGAAATCTGCAGTAACTCCGTACCCGGATATGAAAATATGAGAGAATCCTTGTGTACAACGGCGTCCGTACCGATTTGACCCACTCTGTAACCCGAGATAACATCACCACGCCGCCGGATTGTGCAATGCAGTTGTATTCGTACTGTCAAGTACGTCGAGGAAACCTGCCACATTCTCTGCGTGCTTTATTCCAGTCGAAGAAAAAAAAAAAAAGGGTAACAGCCGTACGTCACCCAATCATGGTAGGTTCCTTGCCAAGAATGGTAGATAGGACGAGTCCAGTCTTATACGGGGCCGTGATCTTTCAACGGTGTATTTGTATCTTAAGCTGCCGGTTCCCTTGATTCTGTCGCATTGAGAAAACAGATCGAGCCCATTCATCCCGTCCCTCCCTCCCTTTCCCAGGCCTTCCCAACGGCAGTGCTTGCTTTTTGCTCTTCTCTCCCAACATGGCTGGACCCGTGAAGAAGAAGTGGTACAACATCCAGTGGTTTTCCGACACTGACACGCCGGAGGAGCGCAGATTCATCATCAAGCTTGATGCTCTCATCGTTCCCTATGCCGTCCTATCATACTGGGTCAAGTACATTGACCAGTCTAATCTGAGTATGTGTACCCAACTGACTGGCACCCCGAGCTTCGAAAGAAAGAGAGAGAGAGAGAGAGAGAGAGACTGCTTTGCTGATAATCTCCCAGACAATGCATACGTCGCCGGACTGAAAGAGGATCTGGGCTTCCACGGCAACGAGCTCGTCCAGCTCCAGACGCTGTACGTGGTCGGCGCCGTGGTCGGGCAGATCCCCTTCTTCTTTCTGCTGACCTACATCCCCATCTACTGGCTACTGCCCTTCCTCGACGTCGCGTGGGGAATCTTCACGCTCCTGCAGTTCCGGGTAAACGGCTTCGCCGAGCTGGCGGCCTACCGCTTCCTGGTCGGCTGGTTCGAGGCGCCTTACTTCCCCATCATCCACTACATGCTCGGCTCGTGGTACCGCGGAGACGAGATCGGCCGTCGCGGCGGAATCTTCTACCTCGGCCTGTCGTTGGGTACCCTGACGGCCGGCCTCATCCAGGCGGGCGCCTCGGCCCGCCTGGACGGCGTCAACGGCCTGGAGGGCTGGCGCTGGATGTACATCATCTGCTCCCTCATCACCATCCCCGTCGGCTTCCTCGGCTACATCATCCTGCCGGGAACGCCCGACCAGCCCAACCGCCGGGTGCTCAAGCAGAAGGACATCGACATCGGGGAGAGGCGGCTGAGACGCGTGGGCCACAGCTCCCACGGGAAGATGAAGTGGGTGCACCTGAAGAAGGTGCTCCTCAGCCCGCAGTTCTGGGGTATCATCGCCGTCGACATATTCTTCTGGCAGTCGGGCACGCACAGCTCGGCCGGCTCCTTCCTCCTGTGGATCAAGAGTCTGGATCGGTACTCCCAGGCCAAGATCAACGAGCTGGGGACGATCGCACCCGCCCTGGGTATCTTCTACACCCTGCTCGTGTGCTTTTCCTCGGATCTCCTGATCGGCCCCGCGTGGGCCATCACGCTCGCCCACTTCTGGAACGCCCTGGGTCTCATCATCCTGACGATCTGGGACGTCCCCGAGTCGGCGCTCTGGTTCGCCTACTCGACCATCTACGCCTCCGTCTCCATGTCGAGCGTCTTTCACGGCTGGGTGAACACCCAGCTGAGAGCGTCCCCGGCCGAGCGATCGTTCACCTTGGTCTTGATCAACGCAATCTCCCAGTCTACCACGGCGTGGACGCCACTTCTCACCTATCCTACGGTTGAGGGCCCTAGGTTCCGCAAGGGATACCCCTTCACTCTGTCGATGTCGCTGATCCTCATCATCTGCACGCATGCCCTTCGACTGTACCTGAAGCACCGCGAGTAAGTTTATGAAAGTCAGAACCGTCATCGCACAAGCACAGGCTAACCGTCACCCCCCCCCCTCTCTCTCACAGCCCCCAAAGCGAACATCCCGCCGAGATAGTGGTCCCTGAACCGAGCGTGTCGGAGGAAGAGGCGGGACGCTTGCCCGCCGATACGAAGAGGGGACCGGTCAACGAAGTAAGAGGGCAGGAGAGCGATTAGGATATAGATAAAACTGGAGGGGGACATGGCGGATTTTGAATAAATTATGGAAAGGATATGCACTTCTGGTAGAATTAGAAAAGGGATACATTGCATGACGATATGAAGCCCTGCCGTGTGTAGGCACGTCCGAAGGCGGACCGAGATTGTATAGTACCGGATGGCTTATAAGCGCACCGATCGGGTAGTTGCTAAGATCGGAATCCGTCACGAACAATGGCACAGAAATTGAGATCCCCATCAGTAATACTGAAAAAAAAAAATTCGCTGACGTTGAAATACATTCGCAGCGTCGACGGATACCCATTCAGAAACTGTCACCACCCCTGCAGTGCGTCATGATTGATGGTTGCCGTTACTGATATTGCGAGGACGCTGTTGAGGTTTGCTCATATTGCCCGGCTCCTACTTCTTCCCCCGACTGTCATCCGTACCATCACTCCTCAGCTGCCATCTCAAAAGGTCGCTTACTCCCCGAGTAGCAGTAGAGTAACAGTAACTGATACCACTCTATTCGTAGTGAAGGTGAGAATTCTTATACACGGCGGCGGCCGTCAAGAGGGCAGCTCCGTGAATTGTGACATCCGTCCCCGCGATAACGCAACACCCCACACGGATGAACGAATGGCCCAACCCATCCATACGAGGCAATATCGAACCAGAAGAGGGGGAGGGTCAAGGGCCGATTTCAAATGCAGACAAGGTAACATTACCACTAGCTATCTAGTGGTAGACTGGAACAGAAGTGGTTGATAAACGAACTTGAAGGCGTGATTTTTTTTTGATTTTTTTTTTAAAAAAAATATTTTTTTAATCTGGGCCCTTCCCCTTCCCCCACCGTGCCTCCGATATCGATCTCGAAGTTCGTGCCAGGGTATAAGTATCACGAACTGCTCGCCGACATGCAGCTTGTCATGAGCACGTAAACCTGAGCTTCATAGTCCCCTCCTTCCAGCTATATATACACCGACAGCTCGACAACACCATGGCTACCACCCAAGCAGACCAGCAGAACGGAACCAACGATGGGTCGAGGAAGAAGATCATCATCAACGCATTTGACATGTCTACGGTCGGACACTTGTCACCGGGACAGTGGAAGGTAAAAGCCATGAATACCTTGTTCATTCCTTCAACATGTTCTCTTCTTTACCTCCCCCCCCCCTCCCCTCCTTTTTATCTTCTATCCCATCTTTTCATCTTCTTACGAGGAACTTTTGCAAGGAACAGCACGTATACTGACACCGCGTAGAACCCCAAAGACAGGTCCGCGACCAAGCGTGACCTGCAGTACTGGATAGACCTGGCCAAGCTCCTCGACAAGGGTGGCATCACGTCCCTCTTCCTTGCCGACACCTACGGCGGGTACGACACGTACGAGGGGAAGCTCGACAACTGCATTCGCCGTGCTGCTCAGTGGCCCATGACGGATCCCACCATCCCCATCTCGGCAATGGCGGCCGTCACAAAGAACCTTTCCTTCGCCATCACGGCGTCTACGTCGTTCGAGCCCCCTTTCCTGCTAGCAAAGAGGTTCTCCTCCCTCGATCACTTTACGAGGGGACGTATCGGTACGTACACGGTAACTCCGGCGGCAGAGACGTAAGGTGGCCCGGTGCATATGATCTGACAACCCGCAGGTTGGAACATCGTGACGAGCTGGAAGAAGGCGGCCTTCAAGGCCATCGGTCTCGACAGCCCCATCGCACACGACGAGAGATATGAGCAGGCTGACGAGTATCTGCGTGTCCTGTACAAGTGAGCTTATGCCCATCACCCCGGATGCAGAGACAGCCTTTCTAACGCGCGACCAGGCTCTGGGAAGGCTCTTGGGCGGATGACGCCGTCGCTCCGGATCCCGAGAACGACAGCTACGCGGACCCGGACAAGATCCGAACTATTCATCACCACGGCAAGTTCCTCAACCTGGATACGCGACACATCGTCGACCCGTCTCCCCAGAGGACGCCGTTCCTTTTCCAAGCCGGCACCTCCTCCGCAGGTCAGACCTTCGCGGCGTCCCACGCCGAAGGAATATTCGTATCTTCCCACTCGCCCGTGCTCCTGAAGCCCAAGGTCGCAGCCATCCGGAGCCGAGCGGCAGAGCTGGGCCGCGACCCCCAGTCGCTCAAGTTCTTTGCCACATTCACTCCCATCGTCGGGCGCACTGACGAGGAGGCCCAGGAGAAGTACGAGGAGCTGAAGAAGTACGCCTCGACGATTGGCGGCTTGGTCCTCGTGAGCGGATGGACGGGCATCGATCTGTCCGTGATCCCCCTCGACCAGGAGATCACGTCGGCCGACTCGCTCGAGCCGCACAAGGTCCAGAGCATCCTCGACGCGTTCACGGTCACGAGCGAGAAGGTACCAAAGTGGACGCCGCGGGTTATCGCGGAGAAGGCCGCCATCGGAGGCCTGGGCCCTGTCGCCGTCGGAAGCCCGCAGACCGTTGCCGACGAGATGGAGCGATGGATCCGCGAGGGTGACCTGGACGGGTTCAACATTGGCTATGTCACTACACCGGGCTCGTTCGAGGACCTCGTCGAGCTGTTGGTGCCCGAACTGAGGAGGCGCGGAGTGTACCACGAAGCCCCTCCCAACGAGAAGGGACAAACGCTACGCGAGACGGTGTACGGCGCCGGCCAGGCGGGCTTGCGCTCCGACCACACGGGAGCGCAGTACAAGTACGACGTGTACAGGGAGGAGTAACTAGCTGGAAGAAGCCGCTGCTGCGCGGCAGGGAGGCAACAGTTGTCACCCGCGAGATGGCAATGTCCGTGCGTATATAGCGAACCTGGCAAGTTTCCCTTCGTGTCGTATTCGCATCTGGGTTTGACTGTCGCAGCTCCCCGAACCACGTGCAGGCCCGCTTGGCGCTGGGGGGAGATGATGCCCGATGTTGACGTGTTCTGCATCATCTTCAGCCGCTCGGCTTCAACAGCCGGACGGTTCGCTAGGCTGGCCAGAGGGGCCGTCTTGCCAAGGTTCGACCGCGCTGCCGGTGTGCCTTGATTGGGAGGGTCCAAGCCTGTCCGTTCCCTGGTGGTTCTGTCCGAGAGGGGAGGAAGACCGAAAATCCAGATGGGTCAGGGACGTGTGCATCAGGGTAGGTGGTAGTGCAGAGAGAAAGAGGAGGAGGCTAGAAGCCATCTAACTCCTACTCTACTGACTAATCAACCGCACGATGACGGACATATTCCCTTCATGTGATGCTGTTGTATTCGACCGACCCGGGCCTGCCAGTCTATCGCGTGGAGGCAGGTGCCCGGGGCGATTCCTGCTGTGCTATATCATGTGTCGCAGCCGGGGTTCCTATTTTCCAGATGCCTCGTGTGGTCAATAGCGTCTGCTTTGATCACTGATATATCTAGATCAATTCTAAAGTACGTTTTCACTAATCAGAGTGATGGAGAGTAGTAATAGTGAGTTAGGGCTCATAGCTTCTTCTTCGCTTATTGATCCCTACTACATATTGCACCCCATTCTCGTTTTATATATATATATAAGTAGGTAGTAGATGCGATGCTGCCACTATGAAAGGCGTGGAAAAATGGGGCTATTGTTGGCTGCGATAGCTTCATTGTTGGCAGCTGCGCGCAGCCGCGCGTGGGGCAGCCGCCCAGGCGTAAATTAATAACAAATTCATAACAGCAACAATCTGCAGTATACTCCGTAGCTCTTGTGGGATTTAACCAGAATTCTCTACTTCTAGCCAACGACCTAACCAACGGCCTAGGAAAAAGGAAGATAATGACCCTGACCGGTTACACGGGCAGCGTGTTCTTGGGGGCTCAGAATTGCTGCTGCCTAGGACTCCCAGTTTCGTGCCCCCCAGGACTGCGACACACGTAATCATCATTATTCTACGAATACCTTGCCGAGCAGTGGAGCTGTACCCACTAGCCACAGCTGCGAAGCCACAGCGCACACCGCTGCTGCGCTCTGAGTTTATCCGGTATTGATAGCACAAACGGCCGTCAATACGAGAGGATCGTTCTAGACATTTGATATGACGACGACCTATCAATATTTCATACGTCACATCATCTCTTTGTTCATCTGCCATCCCTGTACGAGCACCAATAAGCACGACTCAACCGTCGTTGGATGGCTGCCAAGACTTGGTATCTCTCTTCCAGGACGAAGTCGATCCGCGTGAGCTCAGCCTCAACCCCGCCACTACGCATCATTACAACACAAGGACTCGTACAGCACAAGATGCACCGGCACAAGATGCACCGGCACAAGATGCACCGGCACAAGCCACCTTCACGAGCCCATCACACTCATTCGGGTCCTCTCTTCTCGCCCTTGAAGGGGCACCGCATGTCGGGCGTGTTCGGTGGCCATAGCGAGATTGCCATGACAGTGTCGTTGCCCACGATATCACCGGCTGGAGACGTGAAGCCGTATCGGCTAGAATGCTTACAGATTGGTCGATTGATCGGCTACCCGCATCCTTGATCTACCACCGCTTGCCGTAGCGGTTACGACAAGCGGAGCATCCTAGAGGATGGGGAACCATACGCTGAACGGACGAGGCGTCTGGTGCCGTGGAAAGCTGTCCTCCCTCTCCCTCTCTCTCCTCCCATGCCTCTAGCCTCTAGATGTATGACTCCTCAAGGTCACACGCTGCCTTTGTCAAAGGAGACAGCCTCGCCCCACTCGCCTGCAGCAAACCGGGCCAAGAACCAGTTCTGCGGCGATAAGGTGGGGTTCTGATGTCGTCACACGTCATCACTCTCGAGGGCAAGCCTCTGTCATTGTTTTATCCCTCGTGCCACCACAAAACCGCTGGCAACTATTCTCCCCTTTCCTGTTTCTTCATCTTCTACTGCTCTCCATATACCATCAACCTCTTCAGTTCCACGCGTCTCTGTCTCCCTCTTTCAAAGTAAGACGAAAACAGGGAAAGCTACGTTACCGTCCTATCAACAACTTCCAATCATGAGCCGTGTCGGTCGCTTCGATCGTGATCGCCCCGATCGCTACGACTATGACGACGACATTGTTTCTATGAGGAGTGGTGGCGGCCGTGGCCGTGACCTTCCCGACAACTACAGCCACCGCTACGAAACTCGACCCAGGGCCTACGACGACGACATGGTTCGTGACCGGAGGTATTATGACGATGAGCCTCGCTTCCCGCGCCGGGAGCTCGCTCCAGAGTATGAACGTCGCGGCCCTCCTGTTCTCGAGAGGGAGCGCGAGTACTTCCGGGATCCTTTCCCTCCTCGCCCGACCATGGTCCGTCGCCAGTCGTCACTCGACACGTACGACCGCCGTCCGCTGCACAAGTTGTACGAAAAAGAGGAGTACCCCCCACCAGCCCGTCGCGAGGACATCCATCGGGAAGATTTCCGTGCCCCCGCATACGCCGACATCCCCCTTCCCAAGACCAGGCAGCGCAGGGAACTAGAGGCCCCCCCCCCTCGCAAGCACGAGGACCACTACTACGATGACATCAGGGTCGCCGAACCTGATCACTACGGAGATGACCGCTACCTCTCGTACCCGGATCGCATCCGGGAACGCAAGTACGTCAGGCGCGATGACCGCAGCTCGCCCTCCCGGTCTCATCGATCTCACTCGACGCATGCACGGTCCAAGAAGTCGAGGTCGACGACATCCGAGTCTACAACCACCGGCACTACACGTTCGTCCTCGGCATCGAGCAGCAGCAGCAGCAGCGGCGGAACCGCCATCCAGGGCACGTACCCGAAGCCGGGAAAGACGAGGATCCCTGCCCGTCTCGTCTCCAAACGTGCCATCATCGATATTGGCTACCCGTTCACGGAAGAGGTCCGTACATCCCCCCCCCGGGTACGATTCTGACCACTTTCGAGTACTGACAAATACTAGGGTACCACCATCATTATTCAGAAGGCACTGGGTCAGGAGAATATCGATGCATTGCTCAAACTGAGCGAGGATTACAAGAAGAGTAAGTGGCGAGAGCAGCGATGAGGGGATCAGAGGAGGGCAAGCTGACTTTGGCAGGCGAACAAGAAGTTGCCGCAGCACGCTCGTCCGCCGGCGACTTGGACGAGCGCAGGGAGGAAATCTTTGTGCCCCCACCCCCCGCGCCTGCCCTCCCCCCGCCTGCTCCGGCGCCTGCTCTAGCGCCCGCTCCGGCGCCCGCTCCGGCGCCTACTCAAGTCATTCAGTATCCACCGCCCGCTCCTCCTCCCGCACCGGTAGTCATCGAAGCTGGCCCGAGGAGGAACGTGTCTCCATCGCGTACTTCCACTACCGGCACAAGCTGGGACGCGTATAGCTACGGTCACCACCACCACCACCACCACCCAGAGGCGTCAGCACCCGTCCCGATTGGCCCGCTAGCACTCGCCGAGAGGTCGAGGTCGCGGTCTCGGTCCCGCGAGATACGGCATGAAATACACTCACTGGAGCGTGAGCTGGCCCACCGAACCAGGTACGAGCCCGTCAGGAGCGAGCGCGAGCTGGTCAAGGCCGAGAGGCTGCCAAACGGCGAGCTGGTCCTGTACGAGCAGGAGGTTTCCAGAGAGCATGTTCCCAAGCCGGCTCGCATCGAAAAGGACAAGAAGGGTCGGTTAAGCCTCAGTCTTCCCCGCCGTTAGTGAAATAACGGTGTACGCGGGAGCCACAATCATATACGTATGCTTGTCTCTGTTGACGAATGCGGCTGACCTGGTGAGCAGGACCGCCCCCGAGACTTGTTCGTGCTATGCTGAGCACCTTGACCTGATGATTCCTCTCTTCCCCTATCCTCTCTTCCCTGTCTTTCTAAAGTGTTAATCTCTTACTGTTTCTCCTACTGTTTTGGGGGAAAAAAATAATGAAGCGTGCAAACACGAAATAAGGTGGAAATCTGTGGCGTTCAGAAGACAGATGCCGGTGTCGGTACTACTGTCTTGACCTTTTTGTCGATTGTCACGATCGTCTACGGCCAAATCATGTCTCAATATGTGTTCTTGATATTTTCTTTTCTTTTTTTTTTTCTTATCCGATGTCTGATAAACGGGGTGATGGATATTACGATTTTTAATGAGGGCAGAAACAAAAAAAAAAAAAGAATTGACGACCTATTGTTTTAGTAAGAAAAGTAATAATATTGGATGCCATGTGCGATGACTTTTAGAAAAATTCCAGTTCGTTAACTTCCCTTCCCATATTATATCCTAAGAAAAGGGAGCCTTGTATCGTCATACTCATCTACCCGTGATCATCTACCCGTACGTATCTATACTGGACAATAGGCGTCGCAAACCCGTGATGGCATATTCCAGACGCATGTCCAGCATCTGCGTCTGGATCCCGCGTGGGTTCTCGTCAGAAGTACATGAGAGTCATCTATCGTTAGGCCCTCGAATCCATGGAAACAAGGGATCTGTCATCCGATAGTTTTGATGAGAGCCTGATTAGTCGATACCACGGTGCATGCACATCACTCGGCAGCTTTCGTGGCATCACCTTGTCGACTCCGTAGCTCACGGTGCCAAGTCTCAAGTCTCTGGGACTCGTAACTGTGGCGGTAGCCCTCTTTCGGCCTTCCCCTACTGTCTCGATCCCCGACCGTGTCCTCCACAGTGGGGATCTTCCGGCCGCGCTTATAGCAAAGGCCAGATCTGACTGGGGGGACTCATTGTGAACGCTGGTATCGAGGTCTGGTGGTGGGGTGGGGGTTGGGGTTGGGGTTGTAGAGTCCGCGCATATAGTTCGGTCGAGGGATGGCGTACATGGCTTCATCACTCCCAAGATGATCTGGTGAAGATGCGATTCCGTGATTACTCACTCAAGAACCTGGCTGCGGCGACGCCGCGGGTGACGTTGTCTGTGCTGCGTAGACTGCACCGGATTGGTTACATGTATTGATATGTGCGCATGCAGACCGCAGCAGATGGAGCTGATGGCTCAGAGCCGTCACCGTTTTACTCGCCAGTCTAAGCATTGACCGTTACACCCGACACCATGCAATGGTCCCCCAGAGATTGTGGAATATGAACATCGCTTACCAAAAAAAAAAAAAAAAAAAAAGGGGGGGGGGGGGGGGGGGGTTATGGGGGATACGTACATGTGTTTAGCTCCGGAGGCATATGCGTAACCCGTGTTTTTTTTCTCCTGGGGAAAGCCGAGGGAGATCCTCTTGTGGGCTCCTGGGGTAGGCGAGACAAGTTATGATAATGATACCTAGTCGGGTGCTTGGGTCTTAGGGTTGAAGCATCATACCACGCAGTCGGGGTCTCGGGGTCTTCCAAGGCTGTCTAGATAATGTGAGCCGTACAAGTATTTTTTTGTTATCTTTGAAAGAAGTCCACCCTCTCAGCACTTTTCCTTTTCTTTGCTTTTCTTCTTCTTCTTCTTCTTCTTCTTTGCAATCTCCTTGGTATCTTGTTTTTGTGCTATGTGCTTGGCAGACTATTTCCCCGGGCACAACTTACACGGCCGACCGGTACACCCGTCTGGTTGACAGGCCGACGGGCCGCGGGCAGTCCCGACAAGCATTCAATGTCCAAGGATCATCAGTCCATTTACGGCAATTAGTGGTGGGTAGCATATTGAAGATGTCATCGGAACCTTGGAAGTGCCGGAGCGAAAGCTACGTGATGATATATTACTACCGACCGACAGGACTCGTCCCAGAGTATCTCAGCTTGGCGCTGTTGCTGTTGACCGGTAACACTAACGTCATACATCAATGTGCCGCGTAGTTGATCGCTCCATATGGGCTTTCATATTCGGACCCGTGTCTATCAACCTTATTTGCTTTTCCTTTCTCCTCCTCCCCGAGTTGCGGTGTAGTCTGCCATCGATACCGCTCACTTGCCGTCGGGTCATGCTACGACAAAGGGCCGATTGATGATGCAAGTTGATCTCCCCTCCCCCACGATTAAAGCCATGCACGTCATTCTGTGAGATGCCTCCAAGCAGGTGCCGTGGCCACGAAAGACCATTGGCATGGACTGCAATACGAGTGGTATGCACATTCTAAACGCGTATCGATGGTGATCTAAAAGATCCGTGGGAACTTGTGACTATGGCAAGTGTTTATCACCAGATGGAAGCAGTAATAGGTGAACTCCCATTGGAAGTGTTATCCCAAGACCGGTGATCGGGTAGAGTTAGCGTCGACTGGTCCACAATACGTCATAAGCCGTAGCCGTGGAGCAGATCGCAGACGAACAGCGCAATGATCTACGTTAGAAACGAACCCAGAGACATCCAGGCTGAGAACTAGTCTTAGATGCTCGTACGCCGTTACACCACATGGAAGGATGTAGCAGAGACGCATCCTTACTTCTTTTGTTTCTTTCCCTTTCTCTCCTCCTCTCTCTCTCTCTCTCTCTCTCTCTCTCTCCACGAATAGTTTACCAGCCAACGGAGGGGGAGGGCCACTGTCACGGGATCACATACAGATATATATACTCTGCATCGTGAAGTAGCTGGGTAACATATATCAAATACAATGCGTCTTCTCAGCCTATCCACCTGGCTATACATCGCCACGACCTTGGCCGAAACAGCCCTGTCATTAAAAAATGAGGAGTGGATCGTGGGCCAGGAGGTCAAGACGACATCCGGGGCCATAGTCGGCCACGGATCCGGCTGGAAGCCTCTGGTAAGCGAGTATCTAGGTGTCCGCTACGCCGAGCCCCCGGTCGGCGATTTGCGGTTTGCGGCTCCACAGCCATACCGCTCCAACGACACTCACAAGGCCGCCACGGTGACGGACAGCTGCCCTTCGACCTCCTGGACCAGCGCCAACGCGACAGTCAACTACGAGAGCGTGCTCGGCGCTGTAGCCACCCAGCTGGTCGGGGCGGGCGAGACCTTCTCGGAGGACTGCCTCGGCCTGAGCATCTGGACAATGCCGCAGTTCGGAGACAGGTCGAAGGCGGTGCTCATCTGGGTCCCCGGCGGGAGCTTCAACAGCGGCAGCCAGGCACTATCCGCGTACAACGGCGCCGGTCTGGCCAATGACCACGATGTCGTCGTCGTCACCATCAACTACCGTCTCTCCATCTTCGGATTCCCGGGTTCGGATGACCTCGATTCCAACCTGGCTCTGCGTGATCTGCGCCTCTCCATTGAATGGGTCCGTGATAAGTAGGTTCTCCATCCTCTTCTTTTTTTTCTTCTTCTTTCAACCGAAATCGAAACCGAGAAATCCCGGGAATCAATTCTCTCCGTTGACATCGAGAATCACTGATATAGCATCGAACAGTTTGGCGGGGACCCATCGCGCATCACCCTCGTCGGCCAGTCGGCGGGTGGGCAGCTCGTCGATACCTACTCATACGGGTGGCGTCGTGACCCCATCATCAACGGCCTCATCATGATGTCCGGCTACGTCTTACCGTGGAAGGCGAAGGTTACCCAGCAAGATGCCGCAGCTCAGTGGAGAAGAGCCGTCAGAGCTCTAGACTGCGAAGAAGGCAACGGGGGCAGCGACAATGCAACAGAGTGCATGCGACGCAAGCCGTGGCAGGAGCTGGCCGTGCTAGATGACCGGAATGGCTTCATATTCGGACCCACCCCGGACGAAGAGCTTGTATTCAGCTACCCGCTGCCGCTTCTCGAGGACGGCAAATTCGTACCGGTGGTACGTTCATACTTCTTTGCCAATTCCATCCGTACTCTCATGTTTATAATGCCATGAAAGAAACGCCATCAGCTGACCCTCTTCTTCCTCCACACGCAGCCTATCCTTCTCGGGCAGACAGATGACGAGGCCACCCTGTTTGACTCTCTCGGAAAGAGACAGTCGTTCACGGCGGACATTCCATGTGCGGCACGCATCATCGCAGCTGCGCGTGCGAGGCACGACATCCCGGCTTGGCACTACATCTACGCCGGAAACTGGCCCAACATGGACATCGGTATCGGCAACGCCTGGCATGCAAGCGATGTCCCCATGCTCTTCGGGACCGGGGAATTCCTCACCCGCAGGGCTAGCACGGCCGATGAGCGACGGCTGTCCTCGTATATCGGAAATGCATGGACGTCCTTCTCCAAGGACCCTCATGGCGGGCTGGATAGAATTTCCTGGCCGGTATTTGACGTCTCAGACAAAGGTGAGTGCCATCTGCGCAGGATTCGGCCGACAGTCTTCGATATGGGCCGGGAGATAACGAGGAAGATTTGCGTCTCAGAACCGACAAACATCGTCCTTGGAGGAAACCGATCTGCCAACATCACCTTGGAACGCAACGACCATTGGGTTGTGAACTGCACTGGTGAACGGGGGACTCTTTAGTTCTGTCATGAAGTAAGACGTTGTCGGGGTTTCTAATGTGGCGATACCTCACTGCTGGCTCAGCAGATGGAAAGCAGCGCACACTTCCAGCTATAGTTTGTTCACCACTGGGGTGTTCCCGCACATCTAATCAAGAATGGTGCTCTCCCTTTCCTTATTTCCACTATTGATGTCCTATATAGCCCTGAACAGGGCGACGATTGACTCACCTAAAAGTAGACGATGTGCAATCAAGGGTTCGGATGTAAAGCGGGACTGGAGAAGGACGGAGAGCCGGCCCTACACTGTGGTGTCCATGTGGGCCATGGGTATTACGATGCTCAAGTTCCTTTCCAGCAAGTTCCTTTCCAGCGAGCTCCTGTCCTGATAGAGACGGGTGCATATGATCTATCCGATGGTTTCGCGCGTCAAAATAGATGGGCAATCGGTGTAGTTATGGATCCTGCCCTGAGGTGGCCGACTGAAGAAGTATTTACTCCCCGCGCTTAACGCAGACACATCGACATATCGGATCGTGGCCTGCATTTGAGGCTTCGGGTAGAAATTGATCTTATTCCGCATTATGCACCCGTATGGCCATTCCGATTACCATGTTACGAAGTTCAATACTTGAGTGCTGTGGTTGATCAAGGTTGCTGGGTGGGAAAAAAAAGCGGAATAAAGACATCTGCATCCCCCACGGGCAAACATTCACTTCTCTTCATGATGAAAAACCCTCGCCCAACAATCCTACCGATGTCCTCCATATCTATGCAGAGCCCTGTGCACCTCTCCCCTGCCCTCCCTCGTACATCCGAAAGGAGAAGCAGAAGAAAACAAGCTGTCTGGAGACTATCATACGAACTGCAGCTGATCCCAGCCCACGTGATGTTTCAAGTCATCTTCGCAATGATCAACAAGATCATCTGCAGCGCAACCTCCTAGACGGAGCAAATCTGTACTCAGCTAGTCTGGATATCCGAACTCATCATAGATTCTGGAGATGTGCTCTCGAGGGATGCGGACGCCCTGCAATCGATCCTCAACCGATAAGCGCCCAGTACGGTCGTAGAGTTGAAAAAGCTTCATGCCGAAGATGGATGCTGCCTCTTCAAGGCTGCGGGTCATCTCCGGGCTACCGGAGATCCTTTCACTGTCCCAGAAGACGAAAGCTCTCTCACGTAGGGCCTGGTATCGATAGGTACTCGCCTCCCAATAGACATCCTGCCCATCACGATTGAAGAGGCCATAGCCGGCGCCTGCGGGCGGCCGATGAGGGTCATGGCAATCCTCAGGCGTAAGCACATGCATGATGGTGTCTGGGGCGTCGTCTTGTGCATCTATAGCCTCTGGGAGGAAGCTCTGATACCACGCCGGATCGAGGCTTCTCACCATGTCTCTGCGTGTGCTGGCATCTGCAGTGATGAGCTGATGCATGAACGAGGACCCCAGTGACGCTATGAAACCGATAAGGGAGTACGACTTATCGCGCATCGCACTGGAGAAGTTGAGCAGAACGCTGACCTCCGTACCGTCAAAGAGCTCCCTGGGCTCGCCACCGTGATATCGCGATGGCAGGTCTTTGGCTACTGCGACAGTGTCGGCGGAGCGACAGACACCTGGGGCAGACATGGCAGCTTCTACGAGCTGCTCCTCAACTTGGTCAAACGCTGCGCCTGCCATCAGCTGAAAGTAGAAGTGAGCGCAACTCATCTCCTCGACCTCCCATGGTTCCATGCGGGATACGAAATGGCTAAATTGCGATTCGGCCGTGAAGAACCGATGGCGGTGTTGCTCATGCGGGTCATCGGGGGGAGGGTAGGCCAGGGAATAGACCTCAAGTCTGAGAAACGCTCTCTGGAACCTGGCGTTTTCTGACCTTGACAGGTCCAGAGCCTGCTTTTCTGGCATAGATGGCAGAGTATATGCGATCTGGTCCACGGTAGACAGATGGTCTCCCATGGCTTGCATAGCTCGAGAGGCATAGTCTCGGATGAAGGAGGATGTGCGGTTGTAGAGGCGGCACAGGGCCTTCAGGTTCTCCATATCGGTGGGAAACGTGTACCGACCACCCTCGAAATACCTCTCTACAAATCTCGCCAGGGCCTCGGGATCTTTGGACTGGCTCCCGTTCGGGGCGTTTAGAGCAGCCAACGCAGATTGTATGGCGGTAGGGTGGATCGCATTCTCGAGGATCGATGCGAGGAAGACAGACGGCGCGGCGGAGTAAAATGCGTGGCACCGGGAAGACGCTATTATGAGCGAGACGAGGTCGTGAGGGGAGTCTAGCCCCCGTATGATCACAGGCAGGAGCTCTGGCGGGAGATGGCCAAAAGACATTGGGAATGTCAGAGGATGGAACGATGGCGATGATGCCAAGCATGCAGATGCACGGTAAGTGGAGGGGGGAGGGAGGCCACGGTAGAGGCTGCGGTCGATTTACAGCCTTGTGGGTCTGGGCTTGGAAGAGGGTATCATGCCCGTGTTCATCCTAGGAGCCCGGGAACTATCGCGTGTATGCGGCAAGCATCTATGTCGTTTGAAACAGACGCCTAGAATTTATAAGTTAGATACGTTTCGATGATGAGGAGCGACCAAGAGCGAAAAAAGGTACGGGTGGCAACGTTAGTGAATTCGAAATCGCGGTGAAACCCCGGATTTCTTTATAAAAAACAATTAATTTTCTAGATTATTATAAGTCAGCACTTCTACTTTTAGAAACCCTCGACCCCAACCCCAACCCCAACCCCAACCTCCCTCCCTTTTCTAGAGAGAGTAATATATTAAATCTCTAGTTATTATTATGCAAGGAAAAACATATATATATATGATAATAACACAGTAAATCCAGAATTCTCCCTTTGTCCATGTACAAACACTAACTACTACGTACACATACACATTATATTACATACCCAACAACCTTGGTGCATACAAATACGACAAAAACGATCCATGAAGGCATCAACAAAACTGTTGAATGTGTCCAAAGTTGTGTTATCCGAAGATACTATAAAATGAGTCGTGGGTCCGACCCATGTTACTTGATGGACTGTAAACCCGTTGATTTCAAGCTATTTCAGGTTGGGCAGATATCCCATGAAAATGCATGCAATACTTATCTTACTATTACTCCTTACGCTGATTCCGACTCGTTGACCGAGACGAATCCGAGTTGACAATGCTTCATTTATCAAACCATCAGTAGCACTGCATACATGCAAGCCGGCCAGTCATGATCCACATCGTCGCCAATCCCCGAGCTCGTGGACAGTGCACATCGTCGCTGTGGTTCGAGGTCATCAAGCTTTCAACAACTGTACAGGAATAATATCATTATCTTCGGTACCGTAACGATCCTTGCCAGGTCCAGCTTAGATATTCGCTATCTGCACCTGGTATCGTTCTCAGCCCTTCTTTACTATCCCGATACCCATTTCCCGTCCCATGGTCCCTATCTCCAGTCCCTGCCTTCTCACCATGACGGGATTCATACGGCGTAGGCGTTCCGAGGACTTTTAGTTCCACTGTACTCCACGTCCCAAGCGGTTTCCACCCTTATGGAGGCTGGCGATCGAATCTGACTGCTGTCCGAGTTGTTTGATAACACGACCGTGACCCTGGCCTCCTGTGCATCCTTGACCATGTGATAATGGGAGTTTGGTCCCTCGATCCCGGCCACAGAGGACAAGGGAGCGGTGTCGTCGTCCCTGGACCGGAGAACAGACATGCCCCAAGACTGCTGCACACTCTTCTTCCTGGATTCCTCTTTGCTGCCTGTGTAGTCTGAGCCAGCGGAGGCTCGGGCAGCGAAACGCTTCGGGAGAAGGGCCACATACAGGGGCCTCAGAGTAGGCAGACACGCTATAGAACCGTCAGCATGTCCGATGAAAAGCCTGCGGAGGCCGGGTGTGTTCTGGCCATACCTGAGATGATGGCGAAATCTGCCTCCATCTTGGCCCACGTTGCCTGACCCACAACGTTCCAAGTCATGTCGGCCGAGGTGCTCTGATTGACGACAGCGATAAGACGCATGATGGAAGCCACACAGACGCTTTGGTCTCGGTCAGCTTCGGATGGATGGAGAGAGTAGAGTCGAGGGTTGAGGATCTGATGAGTGACGAGGAGAGCAGACAGTGACGGAGCACTTACAATCCACCCAGAAGAAACATGGACAAGACTGAGACCTTGCGGCTAAGTGAGATGTGCAGACTGAAGACGTAAGGAACTGGCAGCAGAAGGAGGAAGACGTCGATGAGGATGTTCGGTATGGATATGGCCATGAGAAACATGTTGGAGTCGACGTCGCAAGATGAGTCAATGGTCTTGTCCCAGATACCTTGCGTGGGAATGCATTGAAGGACGGTGAGCAGGAACTTGCCTCCCGTTAGCAGATACAATGTCCAGGAGTCGTAGATCTATAAGCGTACCACTGCAGTTCCCCACATGGCCACCAGCGCCGACACGATGATGATGGGGATTTTGATGCTCGCCTTTTCGAAGATGCGCCAGTATAGAGCGGCTATTGAGAACTTGACGAAGATGATAACCCCGGTGTAAGTCAACTCGGCCACGAAGAGGCCGATGAAGAGGTATTCGACTGCATTGGGACCGAAAGTTTGGATGTGGCGACCAAGACCGCGAGGAATCCCTGGACCTTCATGTTACTACTACCTGCTCCCTAGAGGATAGTCGAACTCGGGTATGGAAGGACGCTTACACCATACAAGATCAGCCGTGAGGCCGACAGCGCACACCTAGAAATCATGTGTCAACATGCGATATCCAAAGAGGAGCTTCACGAGAGATGAGATCATGTCGTTCAGGACAAAGATGTGTCCTGAACATAACATACCAACGCAATGACGATGAGCCAGTCATCGATCCAGAGGCCTGCCCTCTTTTTCTGGCGACACCAAAAGCGAAGGACGACAGAGAGGACGGCGAATGCAAAGGGAACCGTCGATGAGGCATAGAGACCAGGCTGGCGGTTCTCTGAGAGGTCCACGGCCCTCTCTACGTGCGAGGCCATCGCTTCATGCATAGTGTTCCGGCGTGCTGCAGAGGTCAAATCGCCAACGTTCAATGTTGAACAAGAATGTCTTTGCTCTTTGGAATTCAACAAAATCGGAGATGGAACAATATGAGATGCATGCTACGATGAATGCAGGAAAAGGCGAGACGGGAAGGATTCTCAAGGCTTAATACCCTGAAGATTCTCTTGGTTCGTCTCAAATCCACTATCAATTGCTACCTACCTACGTAGACGCATATCCAAGGCTCGTGAGGAGTAGGGATCAGCATCACGGATACATTGAGGAGAGTCCCTATCTGCCGTGCAGATGATTGCACATCCTGACATGCCGTGACAGACCCCGCTCGCCTCCCACCGGGATACAGCAGCATACGACGCGAATGGAACCGCACAATACGGATCTGTATGTGCTGATTCGAGGATGCATCTCCCGTAAGCCAACGCTGTAGTAGATACCTCCCACACCCCCACGAGCTTGACGGGCTCCGACCGAATATCTACCATACTCAGACTAGCACCTGTTGCATAGCTCCACAAACTGCTGAGAAGATCAACATGAGGGTATACTCCGTAAATGGTTGCGGCAGGTCAAGGTATCCTGGTTGAGCTATATAGCCTGATGGAGATAACTGCCATCTCGATTCTCCAAATCGTCAACTATTACAGCCCACCTGGCTGTGAAGATTGCTGTGGCTCTCTCCCGTGATAAGAAATCTCTAGTATTATTATACGACGCCGACTCATAGCTCGTCAGGACCTTTGATTCGAAGCGCCGAACGAGAGCATGGATATCAAGAACGGGTCCACATACATCTTGCCATCACATCACCAGGGTCACGTTTATGTACCTCCGTGGCATATCAATGTCACTCGGAAGAAATCCTTATACGTCAGTACTAGATAGGGAGGGAGCAGGGACGGGACAGAATGGGCTGCTCGAACGTTGTTGACCAAGCACACAGTGCACAAACCTCCCATGCCGGATCTGGACATGTACGTACATGGGTCTAACAGCCAGGGTCCGGAACCCGGTGAGACTAATGAGCACGTACCTTCTTCCCCACTGATCACGCCGGTATGTGTGGATCTTGATGGGCGAGAGGGATTTATATGAAACTCTGAAGGTGTAACATTTGAGTGCCGGTGCTACGTCGTAGGGCATACATGATATTACGTGCGGGCCAAGTTCCTCAAGGACTCAACTCGGACAAACGGGGACGGTACTGAATGTGTGAATCAGGTTCCAGGCCGAATGGGGGCCAGCCAACATGTCCATGTGGATAGATGTATGAGGACATGCTCTGGTAAAGGGGGTCTCCTATCAGCGAGATTACTAGTGAGACTCCGAGGTTCTGCATCCGACACGGCACCGGCCCACCCTGGTCCCCTGGTTTGTATCTGCCGATGCATCTGGAAATTGCGAGAAAGGGACATGGCCATCTATGAGCTGTCACCGTGCCTGCAGACTGACGAGCTGTTGGCTGACCTTGCCTAGGACCAACAACCGGCGACGACCCATAACCGACGTCGACCAAGCACGCGTGGCTCTCTCTTCTATTTAAACTGGTGCCGTGGCATTTCAACCGCACATTCGAGGGCCCTCACTGACATGACCACGAACAAAATGGCCTCGAACAGCTCTCCTGTCATCGTCCTCGTCCCCGGTGCCTTCGGCACCCCTTCTGGGTTCGATCAGATCCTGCCATACCTGAGAGACGCCGGCTTCTCAACCCGGCCAGGGGCATACCCCAGTTGCGATCCGCCCAACCCAGCCACGGCGACTTGCGCCGATGACATAGCGCATCTGCGAAACGACGTTCTCCTGCCTCTTCTTCAGGAGGGGCAGGATATCGTTGTCCTTGTGCACTCGTACGGTGGAGTCGTTGGCGGTGGGGCAGCCAAAGGCTTGGACAAGGCGTCCCGCCAGTCTCAAGGGCTGCCCGGCGGCGTCATCGGCCTCATCTACGTCGTCGGAAACATCACTCTGGAGGGAGAATCCCTCATGGAGGCCGTTGGCGGCGCCTACCCTCCATTCATCAAGCTGTGCAAGGTACGTAATCATATCGATGATTGACCCCCCCCCCCCCCCCCCCCCCCCCCTGCTTCCCATATGCGAGCACTCGTCCAATACTGGGGCAAGGTGGCACAGCATAATTGACACAAGATGCGTGTGACACTCTTAGCCTTCGGAACACCTCGCCCTCATAGAGCCGGCTATGGATGTTCTTTACAATGACTGCGATGCTGCGCTTGCCCCTGTGCTGGAAAAGTCCCTGAAGCCTCATGCGCACCTGGCATTCGAGACGAAGGCCACAGCGCCAGCCTGGGCGGACTTGGCATTTGATGGAAGGCGTACATATGTCCGGACTATCAAGGATGCCTGCAACCCGGCCATCCTCCAGGACATGTGGATCGAAAAGTCCAAGGTGAGGTGGGACGTGGTCGACTTCGACACCGGCCACATGCCGTTCATCAGCCAGCCCAAGGCCCTGTCCGAGCAGATAATCAAGTCTACAAAGGGCTTCATGTGATATAGTCCTTCTAGACTGCTCTGACGTTGGAAGGGCCTCCTCCGCGCATAGGTTATATAGACACGAGTACAAAAGAGATTGTACATGGTTGGACAGCAACACATTCATCTAACTTATTCTCGATCGATTGAGCTCTCACAGCCCAGAAGAATACAACATAAATCGAAGTGCTGGGGGTTGTCAACCCACACACACCCTCACCGAAGATCATATACGAAACCACCTGATACCAGAGATCAGGGCTATTTTCCCAACCAGAGTAAGTACAGTAATATCCAAGTAATACTATCTGGTCTGTCAGACTCTCACACTTTTCCACTGAACAGTGTAGTCGGTCAATTCTTTCCAGCACGAGAAGTGTAGATCGTTGGATGTGACACGATCACGTCGGATTTGACATAACAAAGGCAAAAGTTGACAATCAAGAGATTGGTTTCTACCCTTTAATACCGGTAAAAAAATCTAGACGGAAAGACTAGAGATAAACCGCAGTGCACTTCAAATCCTCTGGGCGACCCAGACGATCTTGGGGACCCAAATCATGGCTCCCCTCCTAGTCTCCTCCATTGCCTTTTGCTCCAACTCAGCCGACACTTCGGGTGTCTTGAGGGCATTCTCTGCAAACTCTTTCCAGGTGCTCACGTAGCTGTATTGGGCTTTATCAGCTTAACATTCTGTGGTCTGCACAGATCTGTGCACATTAGGCGCTGGGGCTTTGGCTTACACGTCACTCCAGAAGCGCGAGATGTTGCCAGAATACTCATAAGTGTGGCGGTTAGCGGCAGAGTATCCATCGTCCTTCAGAATGTCGGTGAGGCGGTCCTTCCAGCTAGACAGATTGACCGTCAACATCTCCTTTTTCCTATTCTCTTTCTTTTCCTGTGATGTTTCCTCCAGAAGATCGGTAGGGATTGTGGTAGAATCTTACGTATCACGTCCCTTGAGCTGGGAGAACAATCTGTCCAAGTTGGGCGCCGATGTAATACCTGGGACGGTCTTGATCTGGCAATGAATAGTATCCACCTCGTCCCATTGCAGGTAGCCCCCCGACTTGAGGAGCTTCGTGAGGTTCTCGAGCACGGGCCGGGGATCGTCATTCCTGATGACGACGGTGATGAGACGAACGTGCACCACGTCAAAGTAGCCTACAAACTCGGCAGGAGGTTCCTCGAACAAGTTCCACGTGTGCATGTGCACATTCTCAGGGAGCCATGGCTCTGCAACGACCTGGTCCAGGCTTATGTCGAACCCATGGAGGTCAACAGAGTCGGGCTTGTCACGGCCGAAGTCTTGGAGCCAGATTCTGAACAGCATCATCAGCACAGGTCCGTTTTCGGGAGGGTACCACCGAGAGGATCATCATACCCATTCCCGGTGGCCACATCGGCAACCTTCAAGTCTCGGTCGGCAACGGGAATGTCAGGGTGCGAAAGGAAACCGAGTAGGTCTTTCCAGAGGTAGTGCTGCGCCGTGAGCCTGAGCAGGTGTAAGAATAGAAGGAAATAAGCGTCTGCCGGGGTTGGAGGGAGTTTCATACCTGGAGTTGGCATTGCAGTCCCTCATCAATGCGTAGGGATCCTTGCTGTTCATGTAGGAGCCGTTCCACCCGTCGGGCGAGTGACCGTTGGTTTCAGTCGCGTGCACCATGGTTGCTGTCAATCCGAAGAAGGTTGCCTGGATCGGTCAAAAGATTTCGTCTCTTTTTTTTCTTTCTCCACAAGTGTTAGAGCTAACAGGTCTAGAAAAGAATCAAGGATGGAGGAAAGCTTGTGATCAAGAGGGAAACATTCGTTCGCGAAGATACGCTGCTCTTAAATGCTACTATCTCCTCCGGCCAGAGCTGTCCAACTACACCACCGCGCGCCGTTTTTTTATCCTTCTTCTTTCTGGCTGTGCTGAGAACGACTATACTCCACCTACCCGCATCGTATTATGCGACACTCTCTCAGTCAACCTTGACCCTAAGATTCTCTGGCTGAAATAGACATCACGATGTAAGTGTGTCCCACTCCCGGCCCCGGGACTTAGACTAAGCCGATGATGGTCAGCGGGATACATTACCCACTTCTGGACAGGCTTGTTTTATGCGTATTCCTCTGTCTCCACCACCGATCATCGGTTTCCTTTGTGACAGCGTGGCAGGTTGACACATCCGCATACGGTAGATCCCCCCCTCCAATATCCCAATATCCCACTATGCCTAATGCCTCCCTACTATATGCGGTAATGCCATGTAACGAAGTTTGCCTTGGCCGTATTATGTGCGCATCGTATGTAGTAAGAGTGAGCAATACACCAACGTTGCATGCAAATAACAGGTTTGCCTATATATAAATTGCCATTGTTACCGTAGATCAAGGATTGCGCTGGTAGTCTTCCGTCTTTGTCAGTGCAATGTTTCCAACATCAAGGAAGCGCACGCATATGTCGTAGGTGCTCTGGGCACAGGAGATGAGAGCACGTGCAATTCCCATATCTGCTCAATGTGGTCTAGGGGTATATGCGGAGGACCCTAGCCCTGGCTAATGCAAAGCGACATGGCAAGGTACAAATCCCCAAATCCCCAGTCTCCTCGAAACCCCTGTACGAGGGTATGTTCGATAAGTGCGAGTACCGATGGGTCCTTACAATGTGGAGTCTGGCAAATGTCCCCTCCCCCCCCCCCCCCCGGTCGTCTTTGCAAACATACGAGGTTGTAATCTGTGCGTTGTATTGCTACGGAGTAGAACCGGTATATATATCGGGGGGTCCAGTGGTTTCTGTCCAGACATAGCAGAAGACAGCTCAATACGTACTCCCGATCCAACTTATTTCGCAAACAAGGGAAGGTAAAGCGATGCTCTTCTTTCCGCCGGGTTTTGTGCGCTTTCAAAGTCGTTGTTTGTTATGACAAGTTATCATTCCCCGATATACCGACCTCTCAGATTCACAGACTCCATCCCTGGTCCGCGAGCGAGCATGGATTCCCACACCACCACCGGCACTTCACCATGACGCTAGAAATATGAGTATATATGGGGCTCATGGCCCTGCGTCAATCATGCCATCGAATTGCCGTACCACATGTGCACGACGATAGGACATGAGAGTAGCAGGTAGTTCTAAGGGCATACCACTTGGTCGTTGGGATATCGACAGCACCCATCCAATAAGACGCACTCGCTATCGACGCTCGGCAGTCGACGTCCCATAGACAAGATAGATAGTCGGGCTCGAGACTGAACGGTTTTCTTGGCCTGGCCATCGTCAACCACCACCGGCCCACTCTAGCAACTACAGGAGTGCACCGTACCGTACCCGTACGACGCTGCTCTGATAATGGCGGATGTATGCCCGTCACTCACCAAAACACGACTCTAACGCGGAGTGTAGTGAGCCTCGCTGATGCAGCTACATGCATGCCCATCAACGCTAGCGGTATCCCATCAATGCCAGTATACGCAAGTATTACGTGGTGAAAGCTGATCCCGTGAGCTGTCTGTTCCATACTACGTGCGTCTGGAGGCGATGTAGGGACGATGACCTATTCTCAGCTCATGGGGGTATATTCAGATATGCCCGTACACCATATACCCTATCCCTGTGTAATGAACTGGGGGAGTAAGGTTGCAGCTGGTATGAACATCTCAAAAGGGATATTTTGGTGAATGCATGCGGTGCGTCAGAAGTATCACATACACCTTCTCTGTCGGGGGATTACCGTCACCTTGACGCATACTCTATCCAGACATGTCAACTAATATGTCGCCTGTATAAGTATGTATGCACGGATCGTTCCGTATGCGCGTCTACCACGACGGTATAGGTAGGCCGTTCGTATGAGTAATATTCTGATTGCAGCCCCCTGCATGCTCCCTCCATGCATGCATAAACATGTACATGCAGTACGTGCATGTACGGAGTAGGTATACAGTAGTCAGTCAACATATCAATACGGCGCCAAAGGTCCAGCCGTCGTCGAGAGCGAACCCCGGCTACCTTCTCCGCCATAGACGCGAATCTGCGCACGCACCACCACTGCCAGCCGATGGTTCATCGACGCCACTCCCGCGAGGTTGATGTGGGCGGGCAAGTATGGAGACGGTGCTGCCGTGACGCAGGGGGGTGATGGTCGATGCTCCTGTCCGGGAGCCTGTGGGCGTTGCGGAGGGACTGTACGCAATTACGTAGTGCGAGTGATGGTATCTTTGTGACAGAGGAAGATCACTTCTCAAGACATTTCTCACGAAGATGACCTTGACCGATCCAGTAATGCAGTATAGTCTCGAACCCCAAGGGCAGGCATCGCTCAGACCAAGGTCGCAATACTCAGCTGCTGTCATTGGGCGCCGCGGAAAATGACATACAAGGTGGTCAGAGTGTCACACCACCTTGTCGGAGCTCAAGCGATGTGACGCAGCCAACATACATCTTCTCTCTCCTCGCTGCAGGTAAAGTGCATGTACGAAGACTCCGCCTAGATGGCGAGAAGGACCCGATTCGGGTGCAAGTTATTCGAGGACGATGATCGAACCTAGATGGAGCTAAAGCTCGGGAGCAGTTGAGGCCGGTATCACTAGACATTACACCCTTCCGTCAAAACTGCGGGAGATGCTGAGCCTTTGGGAATGCTGCAATGCAGACGTGTAGTGTACACAGGTTAGGCGAACACGTGAGCGTCGATGTTCGACATACACACACATATACGCATACCCAATACGTAGCTACAGTACATGTAAGCTCGGGTGATCTATTACCGGGAGCGGGCTGGGCCAACGATTATAGCCATAGCCTGTAATTCTTCCGTGGCATCTGGCTAGCTATGCAAACATGTAGGCTCCGTAGACGTATTCTCTCTTTGTGCGATATTCCAAACAATGCAACGGTACGCCGCGCGCGAGGGATCATGCCCTGTAGTCTCCGTACGCACGTCCGCCGCGCGATTCGGCAGCGTCGTAGAGGCTCTGGATGTCCTCCTTCCACTGGGCCTCGTACGGGCGGAGGATGCGGCGGTCGTACGTGACCAGACCGTTGACCTCGCCCTCGACGTCGGTCGTCTGGGTATATACTGCGCCGCTGCAGGCGTAGCGCTCGGTCTGCTCGCGGATGTCGCGGAACAGAGTCGATGATCGGTAGTTGTACGAGTCGAGGTCCTCGTTCATCTCGTACGTCTCCGGGATGGAGTCGATGGCGGCCTGGACGTTCCAAAGGCTGTAAAGAAGAAGGAAAAGATCGTTAGCGTCCGATAGCGGCAGGGATCAAACTGAGGATGATGAACGGTGCATATGAGACATACTGATCGATCGACACGTTGTGGCCGATGCCTCCATATTCGCCCTGGAAGCCGATGCGCTCCGCGTCGTAAGGGGTGTTCAGCCGCGACCAGAAGGGAGTTCCGCACTGAGGGCTGGCGTACTTGTGGTTATCCTGCAGAGAGAGGGCATCAGTACTGATGTTCCTATCGGGGGGTCGTTGGATGGCAGGAGATCTAAACATACGTGATAGTCGCCGAACCCGTGGTCACGCCATCCGGTGACCGAGTCGATGAGCCTGGAGGGGTCGTGGTCGCGGACAACCTGGGTGAGCAGCTCCTCAGGCGCAGGGAGGGTGGTGAGCTGACCCCAACCCTCGTTATAGATGACCTGCCGACAGCATCCAAGTCAGACGCCCATGTTTTTCTATAAACTTCTCAATCTCACGAAGGCTCCAGACGTACCCAGGTGCAGATGGACGGGAAGCTCTTGTGCTGGTCAATCATGATCTCGAGCTGGCGCTGGAACTCGGCCTGCTCTTCGGCGTTGGGCTGAGAGGAAGGAGGCAGGCTGGGCATGTCCTGGATGACCATGAGGCCGAGCTCGTCGCAGGCACGGTAGAACAGGTCGGGCTCAACCTTGATCTGATAGTCGGAAGAGAAGCACACACATCAGCATATACATCCGACGCAAAAGGCAGATCGGAGTCCGGGCGGCGGGCAGGTAAGCGGCAGTCGATCAACTCCCACGCCAACCCTACCGCGCTCCCGAAGGAGAAGAAGAGGAAGAACTCACGTGCTTGCGGACCATGTTGAAGCCTAGATCCTTGAGAAGCTTGAGATCCCAGACCATGGCCTCGTAGTTGGGCGGCGTGTAGAGACCGTCAGGCCAGTAGCCCTGGTCCAGGGTGCCGAACTGGAAGACGAACTCGTCATTCAGGAGGTAGCGCGTGATGCCCTCGACCTTGCCCTTGGAGACGGTGCGGAAGCCAGTGTAGCTGGTGACCTCGTCGTCGCCCATGGTGACGGTGACGTTGTACAGCGTCGGGGAATCCGGCCACCACTCCCTGACGCCCTGGACGGTGAAGTTGAAGGGCTCGTCGGCGGTGCCCTCGGAGCTGCCAATCTCGGAACCGTCCTGGTCATAGATCTCGACCTTGACGTCGGCGCTGTTCTGGCCAGATGAGACGACATTGACGGTGACTGGACATCTCGACTGGTCAGTAACGCGTACACGGAAAGGCAATCTCTGCCTGCGACCGTCGCTTCGGCCGTCTATCGATTGAAGAGATTGATGATGGGAGGGAAGGGGACATGCTGCTGCGCTGAGCAGAGACTCACCCTCTCCGTCGAAAGTGGCAGAGATATCGAGGCGGTCAATGTAGTCTCGGGGGACGGCCTCGATCCAAACCTGCTGCCAGATACCCGAGCAGGGGCGGTAGAAGATGTGGCTGGGGTTGTTGGTCTGCTTCCCAACGGGAACGATCTCGTCGTCGGTAGGGTCGTGAACGAAGACCAATCTGGGTTCCGGCCCGGCGTGTCAGCGAGTCACGGAAAGGTCAGGTGGTAGGAGAACACAGGCTGACGTGCGCCCCAGAGAGAGTCCGATCTACTCACAGCGTGTTCTGTCCGCCCACGCTGACATCCTCAGTCACGTCGATGGCGAAGCGGTTGTATCCGCCCACGTGCGTCTCCTTGACGTTGCCATTGATGATCACGGTGGCCCGGTAGTCGACGGCCTCAAAGTTCAGAAGGACGCTCTGGCCCTCCCAGTCGCCGGGGACCTCAAACGTGGTCTCGTACCACATGTGACGGGTGTCGAGGACCTGGAGACCGGAAAGGCCGCTCTCTATGCAAGAGGGGACGAGGACCTCGTAGTCCAGAGGCCCGGAGGGGGGAGTGTTGATCTCGTCGTCGCCAGAGGCAGACCGCCACGTCCAGAGGCCATTGAGGCTCTGCCAAGCCTCGCGGACCATCTGGGGACGGGGATACTCGGGCCAAGGGTCCGTCCCGACACTGTACGTCCAGTCGGTATCGAGCGGAGGTTTCTTGACCTCGTAAGGCACCTGGGCACTGACCACGGTCCCCAGTAGGAGAACGCCGGCGAGGGCAGGAGCTGCCGATGGAAGCATGATGTCGTAGGCGTACCAGGTTTCACAAGGACCTGGAGGGAGAAGAGGGTGGAGAGGAGAGGAGAGGAGAGGAGAGGAGGCAGTACCAGGAAGAGAAAAGAAAAACAAGGGGGGGAAGGGGGTTGTCTATCGAAAGGTTAATATATACATCAGGCTGAGCAGGGAGCCAGAGAACCGGACTGATCATCTTCGTCACGCTCGACAGTCCCGAGGAGACCGTTGTGTTCCAGAACTCCCGGGACGAGAGATGAATAGAGAGGGAGGGTGAGATGAGATGGAGGGGGAGTACATCCAGGGCTGCTGAGGTCGACGCGTGCCGGGACTCGGGGGTGACGTTCCTGCCAGCGTCGGCGTCATGTCGGCGCGGCATTCCATACACGGAGGCTAAAAGGAATAAAAATATCAAATAAAAAAGGACAAGAATACCCGAAATTTGTCTCTGCTTTATCTGATGTTTCTTTGTATTATCTCCTCGTGTTTTCTTCTTCTCTCTTCCTATTCGTTTCCCGCACAGGATGATGGACGGTGGTGTGCTCTAGATCGTACGGGCACGCGTCACGCCCCTCCGTGAGGTTACATGGGAAGAAGCACATGCATGAAAGAAGAAGATTGATTCTATGAGGATCCCATGAGTAACTGCGCAGCTGACCCGTGTGGATCTCATGTTTGTTGACGGTTGTAATGTACGTCGAGGCTTTTTTTTTTTTGAGAAAAAAAAATAAAAAACTTCATACGACAAGGTGGCGGTCGACTTCTCAGCTTAAAAGTTGACGTTCCTCTTTCTTCCCTCGTCCGAAAGTAGACTCTCACCCCTCTGCAAGGGGGGGAAGGGGCAGTGCGTCTGCGAGCTGACTTGTAATAATACGAATCTATGCACCGGATACGCGAGAATACGTGTCTCTACTCATATGTGTCCCAGCCTTGGCAGCCCAGATCCGATGCCTAAACTGCGGGTCTGTGTTCAGTTGGGCAGGGTTGGCAAGATTGGTGTGTCTCGGGCTATATATCTTTCTTGCTCTCCTGTTTTCCCTCCAAGAGAGGTTTTAGCAACTTGTTCTGTCAACTTGTCTAGTCTAGTGCTGTGTTCAAGATGTGACATTTCGATAACATCAATGATGATGATATATTGGGACGCACGTGATGGAGGAGCAGTGTATGGAAACACAAACTCTCTCGTCTCCATTCCATCTCTCTCTCATCATGATGGAGAGAGTTTTTGGAGAAGAGAAAAATCATCACCTCATTCACTACTGCTCATCGAGATTACGAGTCCGACGCCCTGCAGGTTTCCGCTCGGCAGTCGGCTGCCCCGGGGGGGGGGGGGGGGAGGGAGGGTGATGAGCTACGGGATTTGGGACGGACGAGAAGAATATGGCGGGGGCGGGGTTAGGCTCATGCCCGATGGAAGATAGGCGAGATTAGCTGCAGATCCTGGCATCATCACTCGTGACACCCCCTGCCCTGCCCGGCCTCTTCCCCATGCTTCATCCGGCTGATGGTTGGCCTGCTCCCGTTCTGCTGATAATCATCGTTCCCCGCTGCTTACCGACGACGTTATACCCGGAGTCTCGGTCTTGGTCGTGCGGGGAACCCCCGGGGATCCCTTGTCGCCGAGCGAACTGTGTTATTTCCATGTGCCGAGAAGACGAACTGGTGTTGAGAGCTCGTGACGGTGTGCGAGATGGGCGCTGCATCGCGTCAATCTCTTGGGCGCACGCCGGGAAGAGAAAGTAAGCACAGAATCTCTACGCGGGACAAGAGGGGGACGGGACGGGAGGGGATAGAAAGACCTATCTGAGTTCTCCCTCCTTCTCTTCTCCATTTCCGGTGTCCTTGTCGGCCGAGGTGCGTGACACGTGTTGGTCGGACGGTACGCCCCGGACGTAGATCGAATCATGCGACCGTAGGTAGCAAGGACGGCAGAGACTTGCAGATCCTCCAGCAGTAGCGGCTCGGCTTCCGTCGGCGCTGGCTTCTCGCGATCAGCTGCTGCTTTCTACGGCACTCGTGTAGTCCGGAGAGGATGCCGTTGCAGCGTGAGGAAGGAGTCGGAGTGGGACGCGTACATGGGGCATGTAGAGTTCTGCCGCCCATCCTTGGTCGGTGATGCCGTTTCCACATCTTTCGACCTCTGCACCGGCTGTGCACGGGCGGTAGTCGGTGCACTTCCCTAGCAGAGTTTTATCGACGTCCCGCCTTGGCAACCCAATATTACAGCATTACAGTACTGCTCTCCTGTTCCCGGACCCTCAAGCCTATGCGCCATCAAGCCTAGGATACGGAGATGGGAACTCAAAACTTACCCACGGGCCAGAGCTGTCAGCTCATGCTACATAGCACTCGATAGTGTTCGTACTAATGACTAGTAGCAGTCGTACTCTACCAGTACGCGGGGAATGGCTGATGTCACACGAGTACGAGTTTATCGAGTCGTACTGATATAAGCAAACGGCAGATATGTAACGATACATGATACCGCCCCCCAACCAGGACTGGTTCCTGATCGTGGGAGAGAAAACTCGAGCATGTGCCAGTATGACGGCACGGATGATGGCATGCTACACGTGATGGTCGAGAGAGACGCGAAAGAATACACTCTTGGCGCTTTTAACCCTTCGTCGGGAAAGCCTCCCATCCGAGTCCCACCACCGAGACGGCGTTGGGTATGTCGTGTAGAGGGTGCAGCTGTCAAGTGTGCATAGCATGTGAGAGAAGGGGAAGAAGTTGGAACTGACGTCGAGGTGAGTTGCGACGTGAGAAGTCGATTGCGCCGCTGCAACCACCGCCACCGCCAGTCAACTCCTTCTTCACTCTTCACCCTTCACCTTACTTTTTTTTCCATTATTTGAAAAGCCTCGCATTAACTCTTACCCCAACTCTCCAAAACAAAGTCGATATACTTCCTCCCCCCACATTCGCTACATGGCCCACATCCGGTTGAACGATGAGGATCTCTCGGTCATGGTCCAGGGACTGGAAGATTGGCTCGATAGAGGTCAACGGCCGTTGTCGTTACGCATGATGAGCGAGTCTTTCAAGCCGATCGACGTCGTTGTCCCATCTACAAGCTACGTTGACGAGATGGAGGAACGCCTCCAACTTGCCCGTTATTGTCGAGACCAAGTCCGCCAGTGTGACCCGGAGCTAGCCAGCTACGAGCTCAACTTCATGCAGTTGTCTGTCATCCTAACAATCGATATGCATGACCTGCGAAACTTGAGTACCTCCCCAGGCTTGGTCCTCTATAGCGTTATGGGACATACCGAGATGTTTCTTTCCGCCGGTGAGTAACTATATAGGTACCTATATATAGATGCCGGCATCTCAACCTCTCCGCATTCTACCCTTAGATAACTTGCCCCTTTTTTTGCTGATAGACATCACTAGCCCGTGCCAAGACGCGGGTGCAGGAGCCGACACTAGTGGTCGATGTCAGTGTCGAAGAGCCGTCCGAGGATCCGTCCACTCTAATACCGGCGGAGGCTGAGTCTTCATCTAACGCGGCTAAGCGGGCACGGTCCGAAGAGCACGCTGAGGGAGGAGCAGGCGGGGGGTCGCCGCCGCTGCCGCCGCCAGGAGCCCAAGGTGCCCCTCGAGGCCCTTGGGGAGGGCAGGCGAGGCGTGCGGCCGAAGTGAAGCTGGTATGATTGAATCCCCGACCCGACACGCCGTTCTTGACTAGAAGAAAAAGACCGAGGGGGTGGGAAGACGATTATAGGAAAGCATGAGATTAAACCAACGGCACTTAGGTCCGGGAGCGGGATAGTCGAGGGTGTGTTGTCACTCACCGTTCGCATCCCGAGGCAGCTCACATCGTTCCATATGCCATGCTGAATAGCCCGGTCAGAGTGGAAAGGGCACGCACTTTCTTGACGCATTTCCTCGGGCGGGTAGCGCCCATGCTATTTAGGGAAGTGACCCAGGTACTCATCCCTCTAGATCCTCGTACCGGTCAGTTGGCGGTATCAGGGGGGGATTATGCGTTCAACATGATCTCCTTGAATAAGCACCTCCATTTCTACTGGGACCAGGCCATGTTCGGGCTCAGACCAGTCCGAGAGCCAGAGCATCGCTTCGACGGAGAAAAGACGAGGCTAGTCCGCGTCGAGTGGCGTTGGATGCCCACGGGGCTCTCCGCGGCGCTGGCCAAGAGCGCCCACGCCCTGCCACCTGACGAGGATACCAGGCCGTCCAACTGTTACCGCAAGGTCGATCTAGCCTCGGAAGGGCTCGGCGACTTTCTCTGCTCGGAGCTCCAGAAGACGACCGGAGATGAGATCTACGGCGGCGACGACGACGATGGTGATGGCGGCGGCGGCGGTGGCGGCGGAGAGGTTACCGACTTGCTCGGTCCCGGCGTCCCTATCGAATCCGGATACCGATTCGACCTGAGAGTCGCCGCTGCCGACGCGTACAAGATGGAGGCGCTTCTGGAATTCCAGTGGCTCTCGGTACAGATGGCGGCCATGTCGGGGGCGGCCGAGGTCCAGCAGAGCCTCCGCGATGAGCCTGATGATGAATTCAAGGCCATCTACCAGCGTCTACAGGCTAAGGCTATGAAGGAGCTCCAGGATGAGTATTCTAGGCTACACGGCTGGGAAGATGCAGGAGAATCGAGCGAGGAGGAGTATAGATCAGGACGCTAGAAGCGCTTCTCGAAAATTGTGAATAGATTCAACAAGGACAAGGGCCAGGACAAGCCGAAAAGCGACGAGGACAGGCAGACGAGCAACAAGGACAAGCAGAAGATCGGGAAGGAGCTTGCCAAGCCCGATGTTACCGAGGGAGAAAGCAAGACGGTGACTGATCAGCGCAGGCATGTTCCGTCGCTATCTTCATTGCGCACCAAGGGGGCTGATCTATCGCTCCGTCTACGTGGTGGACCTAGAACCTGATGTTTTCGGAATTTAAATGGTTCCTTTTTTCTCTCTTTCTTCTTCTTCTTTCACTCGCTTCTGACTAGGCAACAACTTCAACTTGTCGTATCATGTTGTCACCTCGTTCGTACCTTGTATCTGCCTTGATGTAATCGTGCAAATAATGATACTGTGAGCCTTATGGAGTATTCGATTTGTGTGCCTTGTCGTGCCGCGAGCCGCTTATCTTGAGGCTGAGTCGATCAATGTCGTTGTTTGAGACATTGACAATCTTGACGCCGCCAATCATCTCGGGCTCAAGGTCGGTCGTCTGGCTTGTTCGCTGGGTTTCGCGTCGGGGTCACGGTTTCGCGTTGGATTCGCAAACAGGGTCACTGATTCCCTCGGAGATATGAGAGCTCAGTGTGTTCATTGTCAGTGTTCTTGATGTATCATAACGTCCGAATCGCATACAAGAAGAATCAAACGACACTACCCCGAAACAGACAGAAGACCAAAAGGCCCCGCTTACTGACTTGTCTTTATATCAACGTCAACACTCACCCTCAGCATCGCCTCCATTCCTGCTCCCCCGTCTCGACAAACGACCTTGCCATCGTACATGATGCTCATCATCGACGCCTTGCCTCAGTCCACCTGCCTCAGCATATCCCCGACCTCCGTCCCCACCCGCCTCGGATGATGCCGTCGTCACCAGCGACTCCATCCCCGCAGCCCATCTGACGACGTGCCACGCGAGCAGCATCGCCGTGATGGCCGGCCAGAAGGCCAAGACGATGCACACCCTGCCTACCCACTGAAGCAGGTATAGCCGCCTCTGGCAGGCGGAGGGGTCGATCCCAAGCACCGCCTCGCGCCTCCGCACCTGCAGGGGCAGGTATAGGCACAGCGTGTACAGGACAAACAAGCCGTACATGACCACCACGAGCACGGTGACGACAACGTCCTGGGCCTTCTGCCGTAGCCGTCGGCCCGGCGTGAGGGGTATCTCCTCTCCCGTCGAGGAGTCCGTCGTTATGCTGTTGCTGTCGTCCGTGCTCGACGCGTTGCAGGCGCATTGCTTGCATTCGTTCTTGTCGTCTTGGCTCGGCTTATTGTCAGCCTGTCGATTGGCCCCCTGATTTTGGCCTTGCGTGTTCAGTCGGTTTGTTGTGGGCGTAGGCTGTTCTCCGACTTGCCGGCTAGTCTTGTCTGGGGTCGCCATCTTGGCTGATGCTCTGTTCTTCCCCCTTCTTCCCCGCAAGAGCTGACGAGCGTCAGGACGAGTTATAATGCTTGTTGCCGATGTAAGCGATGTGACGATGCGGCGTAAAGAGTGCTCCTAAGATGCGTGACGTACATGTACCAGTATCACCCCGGCTGAAGATGAAGAATGAGAGAGAACAAGACTGGATGCAGATGATGAATGTCGAGGTGCATGCTGCCTACTTCAGGAGCTGTCTTGAGCTCGCGGGTTCGCAGTTGCTCTTTCCTCCGACTGTACACAGGCTCCTACTCAGTCGGAGCCAAGACCTCTTACTCTTTGTTTGACAAGACGCCAACTATGCAAAGACAGAGGTAGACCAAGGGTTTCACGCATCGATACGTATACATGTGCAGTGGTTGTAATCCAATGCTGTATGTTTGTAGTTTTCTCCTTATTTACACCACCTTCTTCCTCCCTTAGGTATATATTACATTAGCAGGGAACGCCACCCGAAAGACTCCCGTGGAAGAGGGATTACTCCTTGGACACAACAAAAAGAGACCGAAGGGAACGAAATGGATGCCGGAGAGATAGGAAAAAGGAAAACGGGAAATGAGAAATAAAAATAAAGAAGACTAGCAACCAGGAGAGGGAGAGGATGAGTCAATCCACATCGGCAAAGTCGTCCTCTTCGCCATTCTCCCTCTTCCACTCGGCCATGTCATCAGCTGGGACCCTACCGCGCAACCACTGCAGCGTAGCCTCGGTGCCCCTGCTGAGCACATCCCACCTTGGAGCGCGGAACCTGTTTCCCGACAGCTCTAGCCTCTCCAGCCCAGCGGATCCGCCGAGCAGGCCAATCTTGGGGTTGAGCCGGCCAATATCGTTGCTTGAGATGTCGACAATCTTGAGGCCGCGAATCATCTCGGGCTCCAGGTCGGCGATCTGGTTGTTCGATGCGAGGAGGATCTTGAGCTGCGGGAACGTCTGCCTCAGGCTCCACGTGGGAAGAGCGCTGATGCGGTTGACGGACACGTCGAGCTTCTCGAGCGAGGGAGCGCGGAGGTGCTGACCCAGAGGCTCGAGGCTGGTGATGCGGTTGGATGACAGGTTGAGCTCCTGCAGCGAGGGGAGGTCCATGGGCTCCGTCAGGTAGGTGGAGCCGGCCAGTTGATTGCCGGCCAAGGAAAGGACGGACAAGGTCTCGGCGAACGAGACGAGTGGTGTCGGTATGGACGAGAACGAGTTGTACTGGAGCATCACCTGTCTGACCTTGTGGCCTGCCGCTACCTTGGCCACTATAGCGGCGTTGAGCGAGGAGGACTCGGTGCGTGACCGATCCAGGACGCCACCCTGCTTCACGGGCCACATCTGCTGACTGTTCGAGACCGTGGTCGACCGTGACCTCACCGCATCGACGCCACTGTTGACCCGTGAGTGGGCAGGCGAATGGGGCGCAGATGTCGGCGGCGTTGCGAAGGCGTCCATGTCCGAGTGGCTGTCGTCGCCGCCATCGGGAAACGCCTTGGCATCGGCAGCGAATCCCGACATCGTGGGTTGTATCACCTCCGCTACCGGCGGCTCATCGTAGGGCGGTGGCGGCTCTAAGCGGGCGGCCAGGATATCCTTGACCTCGTCTGTCGAGATGGAGGCAAATTTCTTGTCACGCAGCGGGTTACCGCTCAGCCGGAGCACGGTGAGGTTGTCCATCCTGGCCACCTCGGGAGGCACCACACGGACGTCGTTGCTCGAGAAGTCGGCGTGGCGGAGCTTCTCCAGCGTGGTGAAGCTGCTGGGGATGTCCGAGATGTTGTTCTCGTCTACCATGAGCGTGAGCAGGCTCGTCCATGTAGCCATGTCCGGCAAGCCCTGCAAGCGATTCATCGAGAGGGAGAGGGCGTGGAGGACGGGGAAGCTGATCTCGGTCCCGAGAGGTACGAGGCTCGTGAGACGGTTTGCCGACACATCCAACGTCTGCAGCTGGGCAAGGGCGCCGATGGGGTCCTCGATCAGTGTACCCGACAGCTTGTTCTTGCGCACCTGCAGGTCAGTCAACGGCAGTCTGGCCAGCTCCGCAAAGGGCAGCGATTCGAGGCTGTTCTCGTTCAGGTTCAGCACACGCAAACGTGGCATATCGCCCATGTTGGGCGGCAGGGCAGACACATCGTTCTCACGAAGGTCAAGGATCTCGAGCGACGCTAGCTTGGTCAGGTCAGGGTTGAGAGGGCCGGAGAACTTGTTCTTGGCCAGTTTCAGGTCACGGAGCGACGTCATCTGGGAGATGATGTCGATGCTGCCGTTAGACAGACGATTTGAAGTCTAAAGCAATGACGCGACAAAAGGTTAGAAAAAGTTGCCACCAGGCTTCATATGCTGTGTGCGTGCGTGTATGTGTGTGTGTGTGTGTGTGTGTGTGTGTGTGCGGAATCTGCCACCGAGTGTTCATTGATAACTCACCAGGTTGAGAGACGTCATGTGTTGTAGACGACGGAATCCAAGTGGCACGTCGGCAAGGAGATTGTTGTGCAGGTCCATCGTCTCGAGACCGCCAAAAATACTCCCCTGAGCGGCAGCCTCGTCATCGCCGCCGGCAAAGAAGTCTGCCGAGGCGATGCCAGGATACACATCCGGAAAGGCGGCATCCTCGAGCTTCTCTAGCTCATTGTCGGCAGCGATAAGCCTTGTCAGGTCAACGCTCTCCGCCCAGGAGCCACCGTTGCCCGCCATGTCGTACATGTTCATGACCTCGGCGGGAATCTCCTTGAGTCCCAAGGCGGCAATGTTCAGCCTGCCCGTTGTCCGGGCGGCCGCCACCTTCTCCTCGAGAACCTTCTTTCCCGGGTCCACGCCCTTGTTGAGGTTGAACGGGTCATCGTGAGACATGCCAAAGTCAAAGCTATCGTCACCAGGGACTATGGGCGCCGCCTCACCAATGTCACTGTCCACGCCGCCATCACGGCCCGCAGAACGCTCTTCCTGTACTGTGGCGGCAGCTGCCCGCTTAGCAGCCCTGGCCTTGGCAATCTGATCGCGCAGCGCTGCTGACGACTTGCGGCTGGATAGCACACGCGGTGACACGATCTCGTCAGCCTGGTCTGTGTTCGCAGCGGCAGGCGCAATGGTGCTATCCCACGACCCCGAGTCGCCAGTAGCGGCGGCGTCAATGGCAGATAGCGATGGGTTCTTGAAGAGCGCGCCGGACGACGCAGGCGGCTTGGCTGGCCGGTCAGCTAGGGAGCGAGACCCGCCAGCTGCGGAAGAGCCCAGTGCGCCGTAGGGCTTTCTGGGTGCCTGGGATGGGGTAGAGGGCGGCATTCTCGAGGTCGGTGGTCCCCCGAGAGACGCGCGCGAGGCTACCTTCCTGACGGATGGTACGTTAGGGGGCGTACCCGTGATAGTGGCCAAGGATGTCTTGAACGAGCTGGTAGTCGAAGCGCGGAAGTTGAGCTGCAGCGGGTCAATAGTGCCAGAGCTAGAGCCCGGGCGACTGTTACTCCTGGCCCTGGAGGGGACCCTGCTCGAACCGTCCGAGTTGTGTGCCGATCCGGGCCTGGACGCCGAGCTATCAGCACGGGACCTGGGCCGTGACAGTGACCGGTACGGCGACTGATCATAAAAGGCCGACGACTTTCTCCTCGCGGCGGGGGAAGGCGGAATGCTAGCCAGCGTCTCCACGGTGCGCTCAGCAAGCGACATGCGCGACTTGCTCGGCGTGAGCTGGACGGAGAGCGCGTCAGAGCCATCCTCTGGGGCAAGATCATCCTCGCGGAAGGCGTCGTCGGAGAAGAGGGCTGACGACCGTCTCGACAGGCCGGCCGTTCGTTTCCTGACGATGGCGTCATCGGTCTGGGGTACGGCTGCTGTGCTCCTCGTACGATGGGGCGTGGTGGCTGATGGCCCAAAACCGGGCGACTGCGGAGTGTAGGGCGATTGCGGGGGCAGAGAGCTTCGAGATGTCCGACCGGACGACGACGAGAGGCGATCACGAGAGGCGACGTTGCGCAGAGACGGAGGCGGCGCACCGCGGCGACCGGTGGTGGTGCTGGGGCGGAGCTGGTCTATCGAGGCAGTGGACCTGAGCCCTCTCGAGGGAGGGATCCTGGGCAGAGGTGCCCGGGCCGAGCTCAAGCCGCCGGCAGTGACGCCACCCGAAAGGCTGTCTCGCGAGGGTTTCGAGCGGACAGAGGCGGCACGTCCAGGAGTCGGCGCAGTCGTCGTGCTCGGCCGGGGAATGGCAGAGGAAGGTACGGGAAGCCTGCTCGTGGGGCGGGCGATGCCGCTCTTTCGCGAGGGGGTGCTGCTGCCCTCCATGATGAACTGGATCGATACGTCCCTCCAGGTACAGACATGTGCGTGGGACGTATTAGGTGACCTAGTTGGGATTGAGGGTTTGGAGGTGGTGGGTAGTTGGAAAGGATTGGAGCCTGGACGACGCGTTTCCAGTATTGACAGGTACGGCAATACGAGAGTAAGGTCAATGCTTAATAGCAGTGATACCTATACGAGCAATAATACAGGTAGACGTGTGCTCCGTAGCGATAGTCGCTTCGGAAGCTAACGCGACCCCGACGCGGCGCGAGAGAGTGTTGCGACTCAGCCTTGACGGAAAAGGGAACAGACGTGATGCTCTATTCAGCCTGTCATTTTTCTTCTTCTCCTGCCTCCTTTTTTTTGGCTTGGCTTGGCACAGTTGATAGTAGAGGTTGGGGTCACGTTCTTTGGTCAAAGGGGAAGCAACTGAAATGGACACGACTGAGATTTGGGACTGCAGCAATTGAATCGTGGGCCGATGAACTTTAGAAATTAGGGGTCCTTTCCCCTGACAAGGGCCCTTAGAACCAGGGGCACGGGTGCTACATTCCAGTACTCTGACATGTCTATGGGCCATGCCTCCTCTATGAATCCCCCATACATGCTGCGGTTTTATTCTCAACTTCCATCATGATATCGTATCGTCTTCTTCATGTCTAATTCCTCTTATGGATCCTACGGTGCATGATCACGTCCTGTAGACACCCTGTTTTGATGAACACGATGCAGACCCTAAACATCGACGCGTCTCGTTGTTCCTGGCAACCGATCGGTTGTTTACTTCGCGTCGCGTGTATTGACGTTGTAAATAATGAATCTTCTATCTTAGTACACCCACTTTTGGAACACCCCCCTTTTAGAACACATCTCTAGTTACCATCACGAGGGAAAAAACGAGGATATCATGATAACGATAGGTAGGTCCAATTTGACTTTTTCTTACCGGGAATTTCACCAAGAGCCTCGAATTCGTTAGGCATGACAGACTGAAGGCTTTTATCTTCTCTATTAGCGAGTGTTAGGCCCGTTATGCGACCCTCACGTGCACCCCACATCTTCTTACTCATCATCACCCGCACCCACTCGCATCACCAATATCACTAATCTGTACAATTTATTCGAAAAAACAATCATCGCTCTTGCGATCATTGCGATGATTCCCGATCACCACGAATCACTACTATTATAATCATACCCTAACGCAATGATCACCTAGTATATAGTCAACCTAGGTCCTCTAGTTAAAATGCTCTTTTCACCTTAGTTATCAATACAATAGTCAACGCCTCTATTTGAATAAGCTCCTCAAGCACCTGCGACTATAACTGCCTCATTGCTCAGTTCGACATGCTAACCGCCTCGCCATAAGACCGCATCATCTATGACTACCCTGTAGCTCATAGTTGACTCCCAACGTCACACGGTGGCCCCACAAGACATCTCATCACCAAGGGGATAAGGGGATAGCCCCTCAACCATCTGCCCACCAATGTGACCTGGAATGATCCACTGTTATCCGCCTTGGCTGCTGGGGAGAGGGAACAGGTCAAACTTCATAGATCCAATCGTTTTATAGCTTCATGTTGCATCTACAGATTACCTACAAAGCATACGTACGCTAGACTACGTACTTGTACGTTTACACGGTGGCCCGATCCATACCGTTGAACAGACTGACAAGCTGACATGGAGAGTCTCTTGGGTTGACGAGAGATAGCTCAAGAAGTCTGAATGGCCTCGATAGTTCCCAAAGTTCAATCTTGTGCGTGTGAACCCGATTTCTTACTCTCCGTTCCGGTCACGGGTCCGGATATCATATGATAAGCCCTCTATAGTATCCCGTCCTGGACGGAGTTTGCAAGTCTCTTTCCCATGTCCCGAAAGACAGGATTGCCTTGGGCCTCGCAAACACTCAGCTGGCCGCCGTCACCAGACGCCGCCACCTCGGCTCCATCCATTTTGCCGTCTCCTATCGCTTACTGAGGGATGAGGCGTATGTTCACCGTATCCAGGCGCTGGCCGGGACCGGGCTAGACATGTATGTGCGCAGTATCAGGATCCACGATAGGCTTCCCGATACTAATGACCCCGAGAAGATGCGAGCATGCATGAGCCAGAGGAAGAGCCCCCACGGCGCGCGGGACACCTCGGGTGTATTCGACGACGCGAGCAGGATGCTGCATGCGAGGGATTGCTATTGCGCCCCGAAGCCATACTCGCCCAAGGACCCGGCGGATGTGGAACGCGCTGTGGAAGCTGCCTGCCGACCTCGTCGGCCACCACCTCCCCAACCTGACTGACTTCTTCTTTGAAATCTTGGGCGAGGTGCCAACGTGTTTTTTTTTTTTGGAGGCGCTCCACGCCCGCAAGGAGCCTCTCCTGGTCCGCCTCCACGTCTCATCCTTTAGCCTCGGCAGCCTCTACCAGCATAGGAAAAAAATGCATAAACCGATCCACCTGGACGAGCTGACGTTTGCGACATCCCCATGTCTCTACAGCATCGGGGTCACCTTGGGCCGACACTGATGGCAATAGACGCGTCGGCCTCGTTAAAGACGCCGCCGTGCACGTGGTCTTCGCAGGCAGCGCCTAGCCTCAGACCGGCCACTATGCGATATGAGTTCCCGCCCTACAGTGCCGAGGTGCAAAGGGCTCTCAGGGGATAGCCGGACGTGCTGAATAAGTGGAAAGGGTGTGATGGACAAGGGTCGATATAGAAGCGCCCGTTGACGAAGGGCCTTCTTCGCCGACTGCTATGTAGATAGAGCAGATTGGGAAATATTGAAGAGGTTACTGACCTGAGCGAGCCGAAGAGTCTACGTGTCGAGTATATAGACGCCAAAGCGATATGCCTACTGCGTCGACTGGCCTGCGGCGGCTCTGGATGCTACTCTTTCCGATGGCTAGACCTTAACGTAACCCCGGCGAGTAAACGTAGCGACCTTGGCCATCATCTTAGAGCTATCTCACCTCTTAGTAGCCTCTACTCTCCTATTATCAAGGGGGTATAAAGGAACGCGTCATAGTATGTGACGGACTAGGCCAGATGGAGCAAATGGGTAGACGCATAGAAGTGTATTTTGTGATGAGGAGGAAAGGAAAGAAGTAACTAAGAGATGTCTGATGGTAAGTTTATGATCGGTGTCATCGGAGCCGCGGCGGCGTCACGGCGCTGCCCTTAGGGGATTACCCGCCCGTAACAGTGTGTTATTTCTATTTTAACGAGGAAGATTATGGCTGTATACGGAGTAGGAGTTTCGGCTATACTAAGGATTTCTCTCTGATCGGATCGGAATAACTTATTCCGGTGGCTTATTCAGCTGTTTGTTTCGACAATTTGGAGGAATCAGAAAGCTGCGCCCGTGGGTAGCGTCACACATGTTCCATGGCAACCAAAAATGACGCCAACAGACACGCTTGCCCGTCTCCATTGTCCGCCATTTCCCCTCACACGCGCACGGGCACAAAGAAAGACGGGACAAGAAAGGAGACAGACCAAGGACGGGGAAGGATTTGTTAGCCATCTTCATATAAAATCTCCAATCTTCTTTTTTTCCCACGAGAATTCGGCCACGACGACGACTGCGACGATACTCAGTGTACTCTCCGACGTCAATCAGACATAAGGTACTAATATAGTACTAGTATCAATCATTCTTCACGGACGGCCAGACAACACCCATACTCGTGCCCTCCCTGCCCGACAACACCAATTGCTCCGGCTACCATCTGCAGCGACATATCCGACTCGCTAGTCATGTCTTCGGACTCAGAGTCCGAGACCAGGCGGCCCAACGGCGTCACCCCCATCGCCGGGACGCCGCCCCTTGAGCCCTCGACACCCCCAGATGCGTCGCAGGTGACGCTACCCTCGACAGAGGCACCGCCGTCACCGACCATCATCGAAGCCAGCCAATCCTTCCAATCCGACATCATCGATGGCAGCAGCGCCGTCGCCGCGGCAGAGGCAGCAGCAGCAGCCACCACCGTCATCCCCTCATCTCTCACCCCGCCGCCGTCGACACAGGTGCAGCAGCAGCAGTCGCACCAGAATGGCACCACCGTCCACGACGCCCGTCTGTGTCGCCTGTCGCCGTCGCAGGAGTCGAGCTTCGTCTCGCCGCCAGCCACGGTGCACAACAACGTGCGGGACCGTGACCTGCTGTCTGAGTACAGCCCCCCCTCCGCGGCACAGATGCGCGAGGCTTCGGCGGACCAGTTGCGTGCCATGCTCACCAAGTGCATCGACGAGAACAAGAGGCTCAAGATGGAGACGGCACACCATCGGCTGCAGTACAACCTGCTGAACCTGCAGGCGACCGAGGACGCGAAGCGGTCCGAGGTCGAGCTCGAGATGCTGCGCAAGGAGATCGATGCCCTGCGCGACGCCGAGCACACCCGCCAGGCCAGGCACGAGCTCAGCAGCTTCGACGAGGCCATGCAGACAAAGTACCTCGACGCCAAGGCCGACTGCGAGGAGGCCCTCTCTGTCATCGACGGGCTCGAGCGCCGTCTCAAGAACGCCAAGCGCATCATCCAGGACAAGGACGGCGAGGTCGTCCTCCTCATCGACGAGAGGGCCCGCCTGCTCAACCGCATCCGAGAGAACAGGGAGCACACTAACAAGCTTCGCAGCCCCGGCGGCATCTTCCACGCCGCCTCGAGGAACAGCCAGACACAGCACCAGCACCAGCACCAGCACCAGCACGAACCTACGCCCTCCTCTCACAAGCACCAGGCTGAGGCCCAGCCCCGCTCCCTCGCCGAGAACGAGAGCGGCCACGGCCTGTCCACCCTCATCGAGGCCCTGAGCCAGGACAACAACAGCGAACCGTCCACGCCCGTCGCTTCGTCATCGGCGACCCGGTTCAACCCCCGATCATCCGCCGCCACAGCGGGCCGACGTGCTGCGAGCGCCAAGCGCCACACCCGCAACGCCCAGTCGATGTCGTCCCTCCCTACGACGCCTATATCCCAGCCCCGCGGGCCCCACGCCCTCCTCCTACCCTCCGCCGACCTGGTCCCCCAGACGGAGCCGCCGCAGTGGCATGACCAGAGGCAGGAACGGCGCGGCGCAAAGCGTCGCGGCAGCCGCGAAAGCACAATCTCGGCCGAGGCCGGAGACAGCGAAGGGTCATCAGCCAAGCTGGCAACCAGCCGGCACCGCCACCAGGACCAGGATACGGACGTGTTTGATAGCCAGGCCAGTCGGGCCGCCACAGAGCTCCTGCGCCGCCAGAGGAGTCTTGACATGAAGGAGGCTGCCGACCGTCACGACGGAAGACTCCTTTCCGACCTACGCAGCGACGTCGATAAGCGCCGGGGCGCGGATGATGATGGTCAGGGAAGTCCGCTGAAAAAGTCGAGGGTGGGTGGTGGGACGCTCGAGCAGAGGCGGCTGGGTCTAGGAATACAACACGGCCAATGACGTGTGGTTATATGACCTATTCCTCATTATCCTTTTGGGCTGGAGGCTGCGCCCTTTTTTATGTCTTTCTATGTAGCATGCAAGGATGGATCTGGTTAACAACCGACGATTACCACATCAAGGAAAGGGAAGGGATATGGCTTAGAGTCTTGGCCATGTTGTATAGATGAACGAATCTAACGGCATCAATCTGCTACGCTCACTGGTTCGAATTGTGTTGCTGTGTGTGTATGTAGGTGGGTTGCGGGTCGTGCCGGTCGGGCGAGGCCGGTGAGAGATATGAACGGTTTCGATTGGTTTCGGACCTGTACGGCGAGGTTGAAAAGATAGGAAGGGGTGTGTTTCTACAGCGCACTTTTACCCAATACTGACTGAGCCAGCAAGCAGTTTCAACCAGTTCTTCGTACTGCAATCAAGTATGTCTCTGTAGAGAAGACCATGGCCATGACGGTAAGGTACGGCGTAGTACGAAGCACCGAGTACGAGTACGAGCAATACGATCACTTTTGCCGTCTTCAACCCCGGAAATGGGGTTTTACACCGGCGGGTGATTGCTTAGCCGGAAGTACCCACCACATGTGGAAACTGGGGTAGCTCCACGGCCAGCTAATACATGACCGACCTCCAACCTGGCCGTTTAACAAGAACCATGATCGATTGTCGCATTTCTGTATTTCTTTTCATTTTATCTCTTCTTCCTTCTTCATCGTCTATGCAACGGGAACATAGGAAAGGGGAGAGAAGAAAGAGGAAGAGTCATGATGCTTCCCCGAGGAATAAAATCAGTGCTGACCAAAACGGCATCAGACGTCGTCGTCCTCTCGTCAATCCGCACCCCCATCTGCCGCGCATACAAGGGCCAGCTCAAGGACGCCTACCCGGAAGAGCTTCTGTCGGTGGTCTTGCGGGCGACTCTGTCCGACGCGAGAGCCATGGGGCTGCGGGACGCGGGGGTGATTGACGACGTGGCAGTGGGCGTGGTGCTGTCGGAGCTGGGCGGGTCCAAGGCGGCGCGCATGGCCCTCAACCACGTCGGGTACCCCAACTCCACATCCCTTTACACGGTCAACCGAGCGTGCTCGTCGTCCCTGCAGGCCATCGCCCTGATCGCGGCCCAGATCCGCACCGGGGTCATATCGGCGGGGATAGGCGCGGGCATGGAGAGCATGACGCGCAACTACGGCAGCCGCGCCGTGCCGCAGGACGTGTGGCCGGCGCTGCGCGAGTCGCCAAACCGGCACGCACGGGACTGCGTGATGCCCATGGGCCTGACTTCGGAGAATATCGCGGCGCGGTACAGCGTGTCGCGGGCCGACCAGGACGCCTTCGCCGCTGAGTCGCACCGCCGGGCGGCACGGGCGCGCGGTTCCGGGGCCTTCGACGCCGAGATACGCCCCGTCACCACGCGCTTCCGGCCCGTCGACAGCGAGAGCGGACGCACGGGTGAGGAGGAGCGCACCGTCACCGTCACGGCCGACGACGGCATCCGCGAGGGCGCGTCGACCCAGGCCCTGGCCAGGCTACGCCCCGCCTTCCTCCCCGAGGACCAGGGCGGCACCTCCACGGCCGGCAACTCGAGCCAGGTATCGGACGGCGCGGCGGCCACGCTCCTCATGCGCCGCGGTACGGCCGCCCAGCTCGGCCTGGACGGCCACATCATCGGCCGCTTCGTCTCGGCCCTCAGCGTGGGCTGCGACCCGGACGAGATGGGCGTGGGGCCCGCCGTCGCCATCCCCCGCCTGCTCGGGCAGCACGGCCTAGACCTCTCGGATATCCACCGCTGGGAGATCAACGAGGCCTTTGCCAGCCAGGCCATCTACTGCGTGCGCCGGCTGGGGCTGCAGTCCGCCTGGGAGCGGGGGAGGGTCAACCCGGATGGGGGCGCCATCGCGCTCGGCCACCCGCTCGGTGCGACGGGTGCGAGGATGACGAGCACGCTGCTGCATGGCCTGGCTCGCGATGGTGGTGGTGAGCTGGGTGTTGTCAGTATGTGTGTTGGGACCGGGATGGGCATGGCAGGTCTGTTTGCGAGGGAGTAGTAGAGGAATGATTGATTCAAAGGGAATTATATTCTTGTACCATGCTCACGGCCTATGCTCCTAGTCTTGCGAAACCGACACTTATAAAAGTAGAAGCTATTTGTACCTTTGAAGGCGGCAGGTTCGCCCTCGCCGCCGGCCCTCTTGAATCCTGAAATCCGCCCTGTCGCCCGGTCTCTGACCACCCCGCCGCTGCAGAAAAACCCCCTACGCCGGGGGCCCAGCGCGATCAGCGCCTTTCCGACGCGGTTGTAGTCCCCCAAGAAGGTGTGTGCGCGGACGTCAGGCCCGGTGACGAGCCCATGGCCTAGCGTGACGCCCCACATGGCCGTCGACGCTGAGCCGATGCGGATCGCGTGAGCGGATGCATTCGTATCTCTCTGCAGCAGGACCGAGTAGACCGGTCCGGTGTACATTACGGGGTGGGCGTCGTCCCGGGTCGCAGGGAAGGCGAACGTCTTTCCCCCGTCTGCGGAGATGGGATGCCACGGCGTCACCAATATACACCTACTCTCATTTCGCCCGCCGATACGACAGATTATCTGGCCCGACACGTGTGTCTTGACGACAGCGGCCACCTTGCGCGGACCCACGGGCGTGCGGACCTTTGTGCCCCTCCGCAGCTTCCTCACGGCCACCGACTGGCCCGATGCGAGCTCTACAGGCGTCGACCCGGCAAAACAAGGGCCGTCAGCTCGGCTGTAGCGCGACATGGATATTACTCGGCGGTGCGTCGGCGGCGACGAGGACGAATCCAGCGCATATGATGTCGAGGATAGTCTCGCCTTGCGTGGCTGCGTCGTCGGGCTCGGCTCCGAGACTGGCAGGTTATCGAACGCTGAGTTGAGGCGGTCGCGGCACGTGACGAACAGGGGACTGGCGGCGCCGTACTGAAGTGGCCCCAGATACTTGAATGAATTGCACTGCTGCAGTCCGTTGGCGCCCAGGAAGGCAGGCAGGCAGTGCCTTCCCCATGTAGCCATGTATTCGTCGCTTCCTAGGGCGAGGAATACTTGTCCCTGAGGCTCCTCGCCGACAAGGTCCTTGAGCAGCGATATGTTGGAGGGGTTGTCGTGGGGTTTGTTCGCTGGGGGCGAGGCGACGAGTTTCTTGAGTTCGTCCTGGAAACCACATAACTTCCTCTTACCGAAGAGCACATGGACCCCGGAGCCCGGGACGGCGAGGATGTACGATAGGCATTGGCAGATGCGCGGCCGGAACTCGTGGCATGCCACGTAGGCATCTGGAAGATTTATTCCTGCCCGACTTGGGTCGCAGCGGGACTGCAATGAGCACGCAGTGGTCAGTTTGGGACCCTGCGGCTCATCAACGTGGATGCACGTAAGGATCCCCACGACTGTCAGCTTCTCGTCCTTGATATCGGAGGGAGCACCGCTGATGCTGAGGAACATGCCACGCGACTGGCCGTACTGGAGATTCCGCAGGTTTATCCTCAACTCGCTCTGCATGCCGTAGCTGGGAGCTGTTACCCGCGCCACGATCCCTCCGGTCATTTCTTCGAACTTCAGGGGTGGCATGTCCTCGGGAGGCAGCGAAGGATCTCTAGCAAAGGTAGACTGCACGTTGGCCACGGCACGGATGAAGACGGTTCCGACCATTCCCGCATCTGGTGTGAAGGCATATATCCCACCACAGAGCTCGGCTATCGACTCGAGAAGGCATGAGTCGCAATCGTAGTCGAAGGTAAAGGTGAACATCGTGGATGGTGGGCACGGCATGTCCTGCAGTTTGGGGATGACGCCTTGAGGGACGTTCCTGCATGACGTTAACGGACAGAAAGGGAAGAATGATTGATCAAGAGTACCCACATGTGGTTGGTTATACCGTCGGTTAGAACGACAACGGATGTGACACTCGGACTGTAAAGCTCGGGCTGCCTCATCCTGATGCCATCGAGGATGCCGCGCCACAGGTCAGTACACCCCTCGACGCTGACGTCCCTGATCCTCGCACGAGCAGCGTCCTTGTTTTCCTCCGTCATGACGGTGAGATCCTGTACGGCCTTGGATTCCGTGCTTGACACGACCACACCCAATCTGTCCTTCTCGTCGAGGATCTCGATGATGGCCATGGCGGCGTGCTTGACAAGGTCTAGTACCGACAGTCCCGTTCTCTCGGCCTTTGCACCCTGTTGATTCCGACACGCCGGTACTACTCTCTGTCAACATGATCAGCATCTTTTCCTGCGGAGAACCGGTTGAACCCGGAGGGAAGACCTACCACTGTCTATCCAAAAGAAAGTATCTGGTCTCTGCTGTCAGGGTCGTTATGGGGGCCAGGTACTCTGTGAGAGATGGCAGCCTTTTGTAGAGGTGGCCGCACCCTTCGATTAAGTACTATCGTGACATGTTGTTCAATTGGCGGTAGCCTGACTTTTGCTTTCAAAAATAGCCCCCCCTGCTTGGCCAGGAGCGAGGCCCATGTTGGGGCTGACTTGGGAGGGACACGCGGCCCCCGCCTCTGAAGGCGAGGGTCGGATACGATGAATACGATGAATGATCGCGGCAGCTTGGCAAACTGCCATGGCGGTCGGGTACTTTCAGTTCTGGCACACGATACTATCCGTCGGGCAGCATGTCAGAAAAAGCCTTGCGGCTATGATACGGGTTGGCGGGGTAGGCTGCCATAATCAAGGCATCACATGATTGTTGATTCGGGCGTGAGTACTGTGTCCGTGATTTTGTCAGGCCCGTGCGGCTTTCTCCAAGGCAGACAGACAGACACCAGCTTTGGATGCGTCTGGTCTCTGTCATTGTCATGGGGTAATATGGGAACGCTTCCCCTCTTCCGCCACATTAATAGTCTGATAAGCCTCGATAGTACTGTGGACGTATTGTATGACGGTTCCGGGCACATGACGAGGCTGAAACTCATCCATGACACTGGATTTGTGGATGATTCACAGCTCGCTTCCTACTTTCCGTTGCTGTGCCTAGTCGTATCGTGGCGTGACGCAGCTTTGCCGATCGCACCCATACATCGAGCCTCGCCCTTCAGGATCCAGAACGCCTTGGACAGTCCCTCGTCTGATTCATCGCTCGACCTTTGTACGGGCTCAGACTATTTTCCCTCGTCTAGCCACCGGCTCGGCCGCTCTGCAAACAACAAAAGGCCGGGCTCAACCCGTCCGCTGATACCTACCCGGTACCTAGAACCTTGTGCTTCCTGCTTGCGACAGCACGCGATGACCCGTAGACGTGAATACAGTGGTCTTAGCCTACTGGTATGTCCTGGATCGACGGGTATGTGTCTGATTGCTTAATGAAGAGCAAGGGAGGAAATCTATCTATGAGGAAATCTAGAGTTGTGAGTGTGGCAGCAGCTCCTAACTGCTTAGTCATGTCCAATATCGGGTGCCACAACCTATACTCGGCACCAATTCTCAAGGTAATCGTCGCTGTCATGATTGCTGATGCCATCCATAACGTCTAGTTGCCGATATTTCCGTGAAGAGATGCCTCCTGTTCTGCAGGGTGATGTCAGGATGCATAGGGAAGAGGCGTAGGCCAACTTTCACAAGCTCGCGATTCCAAACAGATGGTACATCTGTACTCGTAGCTACATACAGTATTCTGACCACCCGAGACTTACACATGGAGGTAATCGAATGCAGGCAATGACTGCACGCATGTAGCTGGGAATACTGATACATGAAATGTGAAAAGGTTCAATATCAGTGTGACACACGTTAAAGGGTCCTCTGTCCCTGTGACGCTCAATACAATGTCCTGATGGGCTCCGAGTAGGTGCACTTACACCACCCCGTACCAGATACTGCTAGATACCTGGGGAATCCCGCCCGATAACAAGAACTGTTCACAGACATGCCGCAGTCGATATATAGAAATACAATCACCTCTGGAGTTGTCGTACATGAATCCCTACGCATACGCAAAACGAATCTCGCAGAGAGTCAACTCACAACAATGTCCAGGCAGCAATAAAAGGGAGGGTGGGCGCCAAGAGGCCACCCATGCAAGCTAAGGCGCCCCATGCGAAGAAGATGACGGTGCAGTCCTCGTAGATGATGGTTGGGGGGAGCTTCTCCTCTCTCCTCTCCCCTCTTTTCATCTTCGGGCTGATACGGACGGAGAAGATGGTGAACGCGTATACTTTTTTTTCTCTCCTTCTGCACGTACGGAGACTTTGGAGTTGGGAGAGCGCGGGGAAGCGGGGGAGAGATTTACTCCGTAATATTGACATGTCAGCTTGTTGCCCATTGTTGGTTCTGGTCACCCAAATTTTGGTATTATAACTTGAATGTATTATGCGTCAACGCCCTCCAAGGTGATATGCCTGATTTGAAACGAATCTAGCAAGGGTCAAGTTCACCTGGATAGATGAGGGGTAACATCAGAGCGAGCACGAGCTGTGGGGTATCTGAGACGGCAGAAGGGAATAGGCATGCATGTATCATTACTTACCTGGGATGTACTCGTTACTCGTACACGTAATCATCAAGAGCATGAGCGTAACTCGTCCTACACATAATGGATATGGAGGGTACATGATATGGCGCCGTGGTAGAACCAACGGATCTCGAGCAGCCGACAAATGAAGTCCGTTCATCAGCAACAGGCTCTGACCTATCTCTCTATCGAACCCTCCACCCTCTCTCTCTCTCTTCCCTCCTTCTTTTTCTTCTGCTTCCCATGTCTCGCTGTGACTGCTGTAAGGCGCGACGAGGTGAGACGGAGTGATGTATGCTCTCCGGTCGCGACACAGGACCACGTTTCTCTCTCTGCTCGTGCCAGATTACCCACTTCTGTAGTCTATCATCGTTAACCTTTTTTTACGGTTAATCTCGTCGGCGCGCGCTTACCGCAATCAGACCGGCTACTTCTACGCGACAGAGTGATCGTCGGACGAGAGGAGATAGAGGCCTTGGCTCTTGGCAGACCAAAGAGGAACCTATTAGGATCTTCCTCCGTATTCCATTCCCTACCGACTCCCCTCCCCACCCCCCCTGGCCCTCCCAGCTTCCCCAATCAATGTCTGTTGCCATCCTCCACAATGACCGCCTAGTACAAGTACGGAGTAGATGCATGAGTTGAATCGTTACTCCGTCCAATGCAATATTAATACCACATGTTCGCAGTAAGTCATCATACAGAGAGAGTCGGTGTTACCCCTCCTTGCTACCGACTCGACCTTGACCACGCACAAGTACTCGTACCAGTACAGGCTACGCCGTATGCCTCCTCTACTCTAGATCTTCTCACGTCCAGACTAGAGAGAGTGAGAAGTTGTTTCGATTCGTCGGGGAGAGGTGAGGAATACCAAGCGGGCAAATCATTCCTCTCGTAGACGGACTCGCGTCCGTTGGTAGACCAGTACGATGACAAGGTACTATCTTATCACTATATAAGATACACTCTGTACCCTCCCCTGGCTCTCCGTCCAGATGGACCGAGCGAAGTGCTCCCAAGACTCGGCTCGGCCGCCATCACAAAACTGATGCCTGCTGGCAAGCATTGAAGGCCAAGGAAACGCGGCACCGACGACTTGATCAACCTTTCCGTCTCCTTTCTATCCCGTCAACGGTCAACGGCAGAAGCCAATTGACCTCTCTCTCGTCTCTCGATTGGCACAATGCCTGTCGGGCACAGCCACCGTTTCCCCACGACGCCAAGTTTTGCGGCCGTCGTCGTCCGTCTTCCGTCCGCTCGATGATGAAAGCCGTGCCCACAGTTCTTCGCCGTGGGGCGAGAATGAAAATACAGGATCTTGTATCATTTTCTTTCTATCCGGCGTACGCGCGGCGCGACATGGTTCCAGATCTGGCAGAGACCTAACAGAGACATTTCACCGCCGCACAAGAAAGGATCAACATTTCCCTTCCCCGTCGAGTGATTACCCACAGAATTGCTCATACAAGTGGGGACGAAGGAAAAAAAGGCTCTCAGATCAAACCGGTAAGGCTCAATTAAGCTTGAATCCAAGGTTGAGACAAAAATTATGGGCGATGCAACGAAGCAGCACATGGCATAGCGGAACAGGCAAAACATGTACGCTGGCTCTGTCATCCGTGGCACGTGGATTTCGGGAATGACTCTAGAGAAGAAACGAAGAAGGGAGAAGGGGATATCTAAGAGCGGATCACCAAGGGACCAGGGACAGGACACATCCGTTCTTGCTGTCGGTACGCGGAAACGGCATTGATAACCAGCGCCGCGACTGTAAGCCGGAAGGGCGCCGCAGAATGTTCTCCTCGGGCCTCTCCCCCACAACGACATGTTATGCCGACAACACGCCTGCGCCAAGTGCCTCTTACTTCAACTTCGGCACTCATCGGCCTACTTGCCTACCTTTTACATATTTCAGACTTACTTGTAGTGGATAGGTGGCGGCTGTTGGTCGTAAAACGTATTACCTGCAACCACATACGTCATTGGCGTAGGCCAAGAAGAGAGACTAGAGCATTTCCCGCATCACGAGATGGTTCCGGTTGGACTAGTTGGCTACCATGTCCGATGCCAAGGCTGAGAGAGAGCCAGGGAGGGTGGGCCGGTGTATTTCCTCCTCCACCTTGGGACTCGATCATTGTTACTGCTGGCCGGTGGATGACCCAGTAAAGAGAGTCGGTGCCCATGGGGGAAGAAAGGTCCATGTCAATGAACAAGGGAAGGGGGAGGGGGGGGGGGATACGAGCGGGGAAAAGGATGGATTATGGTGTCCCCATGCTTACCAGGGTCGGACTCATGGCCCACTTTGCTTTTCCCGTCATGGAGGTCAGTCTTACCAGCGAGGGAGAGAGGTACCGCGTCGAATTGACCGTATTAGCTGAGCACCCCAATTCCCGTCGGTTCCCGAATCAAGATTTCGAGTGTCCATGTACTCGCATCGTCCTCTCACAATACATCGACCTGGACTCTGGACGTGTGAGTAGAGGGAAGAAAGGCCAGTGTAGGACGAAGGGGGAAGAAGGAATCGAGAGAGGAACCACGGGAAAGGGCCATCAGCCTTTGGGATGTACGGTGAAGTTCTACACCCGAGGCTTGGCTAGGAGCACCTGTATCTGAAGGGGATGAGCTTTCAATCAGAAGTACTCACGACTATACATGCTGAGAGGGTCACAGATACGAGCACTCATACCACCAACACAACACGTCTTAGTGGGGAGGGCGCCGTATAGGAGGCCGACGGGATAACGGCAGACATGCTCTCCGCCATCCCCCGGACGCCAATACCCATGCAGTTGGCCGGCACCCCTGACGTGTTTCCTGCTCGTTCTTTACCTGCGAATGCATCCCGTCCGAGTATGACTACTACCGAGTATTACGGGGTACAATACTACAAGTTGCTCTCTGCACCGAGGAACTTGAAGGGCAACCAAGTACTGGTACATGGGGCTGGTATCATTACTTGCCGTGACCCTCCTCCTGCCTTCCCCACACGCTCCCATGCTCTCCCCCCGTCCTCTTCTTCTCGGATTACCGCTTTCTGCTAGCCGGGAAGAAGCTCGATGCATCGTTTCCTGTTGTCTGATTCCTCCTGTGGAACTACGTAATGTCGCCCAGATGTAAGGCTTGAACGGATCGTTTTCCGTCTTAAAGAACGGCTCTCCCCCCACACGCGTACACCCGCGTCAGTCTCATCTCATCTCCCCCTTCATCTTCTTCTACATACCCCGTCACTTTTTGAGATACGCGCCACACACAGCATAGTATCCTCTCGCTAACAAAACCGTCTCGACGATTGCTGGTATCCCACGCCGGGTCTGAGTCTGACCATCATGTTTGGGATTCCCAAATACTATGGCTGGAGGGGCAGGTCCCTGAACCTGGCCATCAGCTCCCTAGGCAGTCTCGATTTCTTGTAAGGCGCCCTCTCTCTCTTGGCCTCTTGGCTGCGTCGAAGACTTGCGTTTTGAGACCAGATTCCTGACAATCTTGTGCGGAACCGAACAGTCTCTTCGGTTATGATCAGGGCATCACTGGCGGCTTCTTGGATCTGCCGTCCTTCACCAAATATTTCCCTAGCATCAACCCAGATGAGGAAGGCATCGACAGGGCCACCCAGAGCACCCGCAGCACCAACCAGGGTATCACCGTCGCTGCCTACAACCTCGGCTGCTTCACCGGCGCTGTCCTCTGCATCTTCATCGGTAACCCTCTCGGACGTCGCCGCACCATCATGGTTGGCTGTGCTACCATGATCACCGGCGCCATCCTTCAGGCCACGGCCTACGACCTGCCTCACTTCATCGTCGGACGAATCGTCACCGGTATCGGGAACGGAATCAACACCAGTACCGTCCCTACCTGGCAGTCTGAATCGGCCAAGTCTCACGACCGAGGGAAGCTGGTCATGTACGAAGGCTCTCTCATCACTGGCGGTATCTGTCTCAGTTACTGGATCAACTATGGTAATTCCTATCCTGCATCGCTCTTCCCAGCGCTCCCCGTGAGCAGTTCATCTCTGCCTGGATGCTAATCTGATCTTTCAGGATTTGCCTGGATCGGGAAGAAGGAGGTCGCCTGGCGCTTCCCTATCGCCTTCCAGATCATCTTTGCCCTTGTCATCATCGTCTCCATTTCAAATCTCCCCGAATCTCCCCGATGGCTCGTCATGCAGGGCAGGGACGAGGAGGCCCTTCAGATCCTCGAGGCCCTCAACGACAAGCCGCGCACCGACATCAATCTGCGCAAGGAGTTTGAGAACATCAAGGCCACTGTCATCGAGATGTCCAAGGGTACCTACCGCAGCCTGTTTGATATGAGCGAGTACCGCGAGTTCCATCGCGTCGTCCTTGCCTATGTCAACCAGATGTTCCAGCAAATCTCCGGTATCAACCTTATTACTTACTATGTGAGTTGCAGCCTCTCTTCAGGTCGAGAAATCAAGCTAGACACGTCGGAATCTATGTTCTGTCCTGTCCGATGAGTGGAACAGAGGAGCTGATGGGAACTCTTCAACAGGCCCCCTCGCTGTACAGGCAGATTGGTCTTACCCAGAACAACTACCCCAAGCTTCTCGCTGCCTGCAACGGTACCGAGTACTTCATGGCCTCTTTCATCCCCATCTACATCATCGAGAAGGTCGGCCGTCGCCCACTCATGCTCTTTGGTGCCGCCGGAATGTCAATCTCGATGGCTGTTCTCGCCGGTACCAATTACCGCCTGACGCACTTGGACGACTCCCAGGCTGGTATCGGGCAGGCCGTGTTCCTCTTCGTCTTCAACACATGCTTCGCCATTGGTTGGCTCGGCATGACCTGGCTGTACCCGGCTGAGATTGTTCCTCTGCGTATCCGTGCCCCGACCAATGCTCTGTCCACCAGGTATTTCTTCTCTCTCCAGTTCTACACGTATCTCTAACCATCATGGCCCCACGTGCTGATATCGCCACCTTTTAGTGCCAACTGGATCTTCAACTTCATGGTTGTCATGGTCACTCCTGTCTCTTTCGACTCCATCGGCTACAAGACTTATGTCATCTTTGCTGTCATGTAAGCCTTCGATTCTGCCGTAGGACGGTCCTCACTATTGAGCATGCTCGGCTAACACCAGCTTCTCCACAGCAACGCCTTCATGTTCCCTTGCGTCTACTTCTTCTTCCCCGAGACCCGCATGCGTTCGCTCGAAGAGATGGACATGATCTTCAAGAAGAGCCACAGCATTTTCGACGTCACGGCCATCTCCATCAGGGAGCCCCACCGATACGACAAGCACGGAAACCTCAAGCCCGAGTACCTCGAGGACAACGTACTTCGTATCGAGGACGAGAAGACTGCCGCGGCTCCCTCACCTGAGCATATCTCCGACAGCGACAGACCCACTGCTGAGATCAAGCCTTAGTCTGGGGGAGGAAAAGGAGGCGCTGGGCGTCACAGTGGACAGGGGTAGACTCCCTTTGCTAAACTCATGACTGACGCATCGCGAACTCGTTTATTTTTTTTCTCTCCTCTCGAATATTGTATTCTCGGTCACATTTTACACATTTCTTTTTTCTTGATACCCGGCCGTGCCGTTGCATTCTGACGGGAGAATAGGAGGAATTCTCGGGTATGTGCAGACGACGGAATCCCCCGTGGGGGGAAGGGGTTGTGGAGGATGATAGCCGCTCTGGTGCGGAAAAGAAAGCCTGGAAAGATGTAGATGTCTTTTGATCACATTCATCTTTTCTCACGTGGCCGGGCTCCTTGCGGGCTTCATTCAGTTGATTCGGTTTTGGTACTCGAGCTGTCGGCGGTGCATACAATCCTTCCTACGGTATGTAGAGTCCAATTCCATTGGGATTATACATGTATTGCTGCAGGTACGACGATGATGACGGCCCAGTAAAGTGAGAATGTCTGCCACTGCGAATGAGGCGATACTAGTGAAGCGGAGTCTACCATGATAGTTCTTGACAGTTGGACCTTTTCTGACCTCTGCTCCCTCGAACTTGACGTCAAGATCGACTATCAGGGTGCCCAAGTTGTTGAGCGACTCAGAGAAGGCTGCGGAGAAGGAGGAAGCCGCCTCTTTGCCTGCCAAGAATAACTCCTGTTCCACGCACCATCCACAGACGATGATGAGGCTGGTCCGAGGGTGACACCCATTGTCGCATAGCCTATGTACCGTCCCCTCTCAGCGCGGGAAATGAGGTCTGCCGGAGTGGCGCTTCCCAGGGCGACTGTAGCCGCGCGGCCAGAGCTCTGGAGACGTTGAAGTGCAAGTAAGGAGCCGTAGCCTCTTGACAGGGCCAGATAAGATCAATGTTTGCTGCCACGTAGACAGCACAGCAAATCCTGTATGCCGGCCGGCGCCGGTATGTGCAAGAGGTTTCCAATGAAGAGAGGCGTGAATCCCTGGAAAACCCACAATATATATATATTTGCCCTCTTCTTTCACTCAATGCAATGACCTGGACCTGGGGTTTCTGCTGTGCAAACTTACAAGATATATCGTGACTGTCAAGTTGACGAGAGATATCGACGCATTCGAGCCTCTTGCAATTGACGGCAGGGAAGAAAGGTATATCGCGCTGGTGGGCGGCGAGGTTAAAAGGCCGCGAAGGAGACGAGAACAATGACAGGGGCGTTCTCGTGGTTCCTGTAGCCTGTGGACTGTGTAAGGCAGAAGAGGCTCCTTCTTGTGAGAGTCCGCCAACGATGGACCGCTGCAGCTCAACGTCCACTCCGTCATGGGGGAGGGCAGGTGAGTGTATCTCTTCAGTCTTCAGGGTGCGCTCCGTCATCATCATCGTGATATCTGCTCCTGAGCCTCGAGCGCTGTCTGTATCCTTGCTAGCCCTGCTAAGCAAGCATCCCGTAATCGTAAGTCGTCGACTACGGACGTAGACGCACTCTCTTATATAGCTTACAGGGGACGATCCGATATGGCTTCTTCCCCTTATGATTTGTGAGGATACAAGAATAGGCTTGTTTGTCTGTACGCAGTATCTCTGCGCAGACATTTCCCCAACAAGGACGACGCAAGCCGTTCCGCTGTTACCTGTGCACTCCAGTTGCCGTCTCGGTTCCGATACAGGCGTCAAACCTCCACGCAGGTTTGCGCAGAGTCAGCAGTGACGAGTGAAGCTTGCTGCCGAACGTTCCCGGTGACGGACGGCTACAAGCCGAAAACGGAGGGAGGACATGGCGGGATTCAAGACCTGCAAGGCAACGCGATGTTATGATATCGTCCCTGGGGGGTGAGATATCAACCCGATAACTTGGCACCAACTATACGAAAGAAAAAAAAAAAGACATTGTTGGCGCTGAGATAGATAGCGCGCTGTTCCCACACGACACGGAGGAGAAGTACGCCAAGATACGTGCCTCTGGCATTGCCCATAATGTTGAGAGGGTCCTCAAAGTCCGCCAGGCGGATGTGGTTGGATGGCCTCGGGCCGAGGATCATATCGGGGTATTCGGTCTATTGTGAAAGTGAAAGTACTATCAATCTACTGCTGCTAATGATCAATCGCTCGAGAATACCTCACACGAGGGAAAGGTAGCAGTTCTCGCAACTGGCGACGGCAACTCGAGCAGACGCCGCAGGCCTTCAGAACTCGGAGGAACAGCTCATGCCCGGTATGCATCTCTGCCAACTGCCTACACGTGTTTGCGAAGACTGATCTTCCTCTCTGGCGGCCGGAAAGAAGATGATTGAAAGTATAGCGTGCCTCACCTTCTCTTCTCTAGGCGAGCCCGAAGATGTAGGGGCCAAGTACGAGGAGATTCTCTCACGGCCAGACAGGACCGGCGAGGTGGAGACGTTTCCGACCATGCTACACAGCTGGATGGGCGCGCGGGCGAACCTGACGGATGGCAACAATGTCAAGGATTACGAGCGAGGGTACCCATAACGTTGCCGACTTCTTTTCGAAGCATCTGTGACAAGCGACCTGTCAACTGAATACGTCATGACTCTACCCCGATGAGGGCGGGGCCGAGTGATGGGACTAGTGATGATGGTTTTAGTAGCCTGTCTACCTACGTTGACCGGGGACTCCGGGCCGTCTAGTCTGATGTGCAGCCGTGAAGGAATGTGGCTAGGCAGGATGTGATGTTGGGTACGGGACAGCTGGCGGATGGTGATCTAGGAGAAGGATAGAATGGATATCCTAGCGACGGAAGAATAAGAGATTGAATAAAAACCAGGCTTCACATGAACATCCGGCCGGCTGCAACGCGTACCTGCACGAGATGCAGCCAAACGACAGGGAACAATGTGTACGTGCAGTTCCCAACCGTGGGAAGTCAAGAGTAGGACTTCTCTCTCCCCCGAGTCCCATTCTTATCCGGGAGAATTCCGCAACACATGACCACCCTAAACGGACGATCTTTCGGAAACCGGCGCCAAAGCTCGAGCCTAGAGAATGGCGTGGGGTAACGTAGCGTACATTGAGCTTGGGAGCCAAAGCAGCCAAGGATCGATCAGCCAAGGGTGTTTTGCGGCCGAGCCATCTCAACGACATAGTCGGCTGCGTATCAAGGGATAAGGGATGAGGGATGAGGAGGGGAAGGGGGGAGGGGGGGGGAGGGTGTGGTTGCGCCACGGCATGCTATCATGCAGGGTCCAGTTTACATTATGCGTGGTAAATAGCTCCTCGTGATGCAAGTGGTCAGGAAGGCGAACTGACAAAAACAAAGGCCCTATGATGGATGGCATGGGGATATGTATCTCGAGGATTGAACCAGTTGGGATAAGCCCGCCCTCCCCGCGTTTGGGACATCGGAGCCGATGCTGAGCCCCTCCCTCCCCCCGCAGAGAAAGTCCTGACCCCAGGATATTACATATCTGTACTGTAAACCGTTTCATTGGATATTCGCCGATGGGAAAAGGCAGCGACTTTCAAATGAGGTTGTCCCTTCTTATCTATAGAGTCAAGTCGTGACCAGTCTTGGAGAGTAATGGAATCAGGAAACAACACCATGGCCAAGAAAACACACGTGAATCGCGCGCGGGACGTTGCTCTACATGCATGCTGATCGGGGAGAAGTGGTTATAAGTATACGAGTGCGTGCCTGTCTCTTCTCAACCCTTTCTCTCTCTCTCTCTCTCTCTGTCCTTCGATTATCCTCTAAACCAAATCTCGCAACTTCTTCACCTCCACAGACATTGCAACTTGCAGCCCAATCTTCAACATCAAAAGAATCAACCCTCCCCCCCCCCAAGCAACACATCCACCCGAGCCAAGACGGAAGACGGAATAATGCCTGCCTACGAATACTGCTGCCGGTGCAATGGCATGATCGTCATCAGTACGACGTGCACCACCTGTGGACACAAGCAGTGCACCAACTGTCCTTGTACTTGATCGCACCCGCTATGCCTCTCTTGATGTGATGCATCGGCGGTGCATCTCATCAATCTACCCATCCGACATATACATGTCCATCCAAGCACACACGTACACACACACAAGACATGCACTCTCACACACACATGTTCACCCACAACACATCCCGCATCGACAATTCGACTCTTCCATCATCACTCTCTATCATTCGGGGTCTCCTCTTCACAGCATCTATCGGATGTATTCACCACATGCCCATGTCTCTGCATGCCTATACACGTATCAACTTGGAAATTGGGTGAGCGGCAAGACATGGGAAAAAGAAGAAAAAAAAAACATCGGCTTCCCACTTGTATGACTTGCAGTTCATGCCCTCGTACAAGAAGCTCTGCGACTCAGCGTGTCCTTCTCTCCTCTCATCCTCTCTCCATTATCGGGGTGGCTTTACTATGCATCTCTCCTCTTCTCTTCATCGCCTGTAATTTATTATCCGTTGCTGCATTTTTTTTTATTCCAATGAAATAATTGACTCTATATATACTCATATACCAAGTGCGCCATATTGTCATCTGTTCTCCATCCCGTCAACATTGAATAAACCCAGCCTATCAATGTTGCACCGTAAGATACCCCAAGTTCCAAGTTCGAAAAGTGCGCCCCATTGTGAGTGTGTGAAACAGAGAAGAGACCAAAGTGAGAGAATTTGAATGAAAAGAAGAGGAAACCATTTTACATGTTTGACAAATTGCCATGTACTCCAGAAATCAGATGAAAGACATGTAAAAATAAAAGAAATGGAGAGAGAAAACAAAAGAAGGGGGGGATATATATTACAAAATCTCGAGCAAACACAAGCATCATCACAAGAAGCCGAAGAAGTCACGAAATACTTCCCCGAGAGGGAGATTATGGAGGCTAAAACATTCCACGGGTAGAAGAACCGGAGGCGTCCCAACCGCGCGGCGAGGAAGGCGAAGGCTCCATCCTGCGCAGCCTCTGCTTGGACTGGGCCGGTGCATTGGCCGTGTCATCCGTGGCACGGGGTGACCTCCCCCCCCCGCCGAGGAAATCCGGCGTCGACGTGCCCGTAGGGGTCAGCCTGGTGGTGGGCGACGGAAGCGGATCCTGCTGCGACCAGCTGCCGGGAGACTTGCGACGGGGGTTGATGGGAGGCAAGGGCGGAGGGGCGGACGGGTGGCTGCTCGTGCTGTTCGCAGCGGGGCCCAGACCCATGGGGCTGTGCATACCCGGCGACGAGGCCGACATCGTCGTCATCCCACCGCCGACCGCTGGTCGGACGAGAGGGGACTTGAGAGTAGGGCTAGGAGCCGTCGCGGTGGTGGGACTGTATGCTCGGGGCTGCAGAAGTGGCAGAGGTGGCGGGGGCTGCTGCTGCTGCTGCTGGGCATCACGGGCTGATGATCCGGCGCGGACGCGCGGGAGACGGTAGGGCTGTCCGCTGTTGCTAGCCTCGGACCCGCTCCTATCTCGCTCCGACGCGGCCCTCGACCCGGGACGCGAGCTGTTGTTGTTGTTGTTGTTGTATGACACGGGCGGAGGTGGTGGGGCCTTCTGAGGCATCGGCGGCGGGGGTGCCTTGCGCCGCGTATCGCTGTCCGGCTCCTTCATCTTCTGCAGCTCCCGACGAGCCTGGCGGAAGGCCTTCAGGCCAGCGAGGGCATTGCCCTTGCCGCCGTCTGCGCTGGACTGCTCAGACGACCTGCGGCCGCCGTCATCCTTCGCCGCGGGGTCCGATGCCGGCGGAGTGTCGTCAAAGGGCGCCTTGGAACCGTGCTGCAGAGGAGGTGATGCGGCCGAGAAGGGCGTGCGCTGGCGGCTGTGCTCGCGGTCAGCCATGGAGCTCCGGCTCGACCTTGGACGCAGGGCCTCGTAGGCGTTGCCGGTCTGGGGTGGCGGGAGGTCATCGTCCGGCTGCTGCTGAGGACGGGTCGCATTCGGCGACGACGAACGGCTGTGCTCCATGTCGGCATACGACGTCAGCCTCTCCCGGACCCTGCGAGCACCTTCGGCAAGATGGCGGGCAAAGTCCTCCGTGTCCTCCTCGTCTGGCTGCTTCGAAGCATGCTGCGCCGGTTCGGCCCCCCACAGGCTCGATGATGCGCCCACGCTGCGGGAACCGTCCATCCTGTCCTGCGGCCGCTTTCCGTACTCGTAGGGCGCCTGGCTGTCGTTGTCCGCCACCGAGCTGTCGGCCGTGGCGCCGTAGATGGACGAAGCGGCACTGTCGTGGCGGAGATGCTGCCTGACCATACCGCTGAGGCCGGAGGCCGGGCCGAGTGTCGGCGAGTCCTCGTCGGGTACCGTGCCCTTGCCGCTGACCGTCGAAGCATTGTCTGGCGTGAGGGTCAAGGGCGACGGCCTGTTGGAGCCGCCCAGGGATGGCCGGAATTCCTGGCCGTCGTCTTCGTCGATCGGCAAGTTGAGCGTCAGCTGCGGGGGCAGGTCGAGGTAGGGTGCAGCGTCTGCCGCGAGGCTCATGTAGTCGTCATCCTCATCGTCGTCGTTGGTGTCTAGGAACGTGGCGCCGCTGGTCTCGTCAGCACCTCTCCGCGCCTCCCCCGTCTCCCGGACGGTCGGCTGCGTAGCTCTGGTCGGGGAGGCCACCGCGTCAGCGACGGGCGCGCGGTTGATGGACGACGAGGATCTCGACCCGTCGTTGGCATCGGCCGAGACGTTGGACCCTGCGCTGTTGCGGCCCGTGGTGGTAGGCGGAGTCTCGCGACCTTGCTGGAGCTGACGCTGGCGCTGGGCGTACCGGTTCTCGTCGTACTGCCCGGCAGGGCGGCTGAAGAAGCCGAGAGCGGTGGCCTTGCCCCTGTCGTTGGCACCGATCGACATGGACGGATACTCCCCGGTCTCGCTGATGGGTGGGCTCAGGGGCGGGAGCGAGGCCGAGGCATTTTGCTGGCCGGCAGGTCCGCCGGATACGGGGCTGGGTCCGCGCCTCAGCTCAAACAGCGGCTTGGCGCCGTTGCCGCCGTCGATGGTGGGCGAAGGCTGGCCAAAGGCGGAGATCGTGGTCGAGGTGGAGGACCGCAGATTGGGTGCGCTGCCCTTGGACAGGACGGACCGGCGTGCCATGTCCACGGCGGAGAAGGCGCCGACGGTGGGTGACTGGCCGTTGCCGCCATTGCAAGGGAGGTCGGGGGTGCGGTTGCCGGGGTTGTAGCTCCCCGTCGTGCGGTTGCGGGAGAGGGTGTCTATGCGGGACAGGGCTGACGACTGGTGGTCGTGCAGGTCCTGGTGGAGACTCTGCTCGTACAGGCGTCGGGTGCGAGTGACGCTGCGCTCGGGGATGTGGGCTGCTGCGGCAGCGGCGTTGGGGAGGGCGTTTGTGCTGCTGCCGCCGGTGTTGCCGGAGGCGGAGCCGGCCGCCGACGGAGGCTGCCAGTCCTTCAGCGACGGCGTACGCTGGAATGCCGACGCGATGGAGGTGGCGGCCGTGGAGTTCCGCGCGGCTGACGGTACCGACGACGTGGTGGAGCTAGTTTCGCGTCGGCGGTTGAAATCATTCGAGTCCGGCTGCGACGATGCTCCCAGGTCGTTTGCGGCGGCGGAGGCGTCCGACTCTTCGAGCGACAGTCTAGCGGCGGCGGCCTCCTTTTCCGACTGGCGCCACTTCTGGAAGGCGGACTGGGCGACGTCGTCGTCGTAGAGGGCCCTCCCGGTTCCCGAGGAGGTGATCTTGTAGATCTTCTGCCGTCCGCCAAACAGGTTGTTGCCCTCGGTCGGCTTGCTCCTGCCCATGAGGCTGCCGTTTGTGGAGGCGGCATCGTCGGAAGACTGGAAGGAGTCGATGCGGCCGGGCATGCTGGGCTTGCGCAGGGAGCTGACCTCGGCGATGTCGTCCAAGCCGGAGGGTCCGAGGAAGTCCATCCTCGACTGGCGCCTCGGCTGCAGTACGCTGTCGTCGAATGACTTGCCAAGCTTGCTGGTCGGGTCATCCTGCTCGCGCAGCATGGAGAAGCGGTTGGACAGACCGGTCATGAGCAGGCTGGTGCGGAAGTCATCGGTGGAAGGCAGGGCGGAGGCCAGGTCGATCTCCGGCTTGGGCTCCTCGACGGGCTTCTTGGATCGACCAAACATCTTGAATGTGCCTGGCGACTCGGTGTCGACCGACGGCCGGGGGGCCGCCGCCGCCGCCGCCGCCGCCTCCTCCTCCTTGGCCTTCTTCCGGTTCCTGAGACGGTTCATCCTGGCTGTGCGGATGGGGTGCTCGGGGGGTCGAGACGAGGGAGGACGAGGTGTTCAATTCTCGTCTGTCGCTTTTCGAGTATGACCGGCCCAAGGCGATTATGAGTCGAGGAGGAGTCGTCAGGTTCAGGTCATTTCCAAAGAGGGTAATCAGTTGATTTATAACGTTGTTTTCTCGACCGTTGCTGTTGGTTTTCCTGATTCGATGTGTCAGTCGGCTATCACTCTCCTACATAGAGCAGAGGGAAGACGGGAATCGGTTGCACCGTACGCACCGGTTGCCGCTGTCGGAATTGAAGAGCGCGGCACAGGAAGGGATGACGGAGACTGATATGTAGCAGGAACGAAGAAGGGGATAACTCGAGAGAAGGCGACAATGCTCCAGCTCAGCGGTGCATGATATAGGAGAGGTGAGCACTTGTAGAGAGAGAGAGAGAGAGGAATGTAATGTCGAGGAGTTCGGTTGGAGGAGTAGGCGAGAGAGATGTACGAGATTGCACTACTACCAGGTCAGGGGAGAAGTTGAGAAGACAGGCAAAAGCCGTCGTTGCACTGAAGTACAGTATTTTAGCTGGTCAAGAGAAGGAGGTACGAGCACGAGAGAAAAAAAGGAAGGGTAAGAGAAGAAAAAAAGAATTCGAAAAAGAAAGGAATTAAAAAAAAATAAAAAAAATAAAGGAATAAAGGAACCTCGGGAGAGGGGAGGCGAAAGGTGATGAGAGAGGGACCAATGTCTGCCTCTGCAGGGACACAAACGGTCGACCGTCGCTAGGGCCTCTCTCGCGTGTCCCGCCGCCAAAAGGGCAGGGGGGACGAGGCAGGCCACCACGGATTGGTGTGTGGAGTGTCTCAATATTCGGGCTCTTTCTTTTCTTCTTCCTCTTCCTGTATTGTCATGTCCTCCTCTCAGTCTGTCTCGCAGTATCTCCTAGTCTCCTTTGGGAAACTCACAGGCTCCCTTCCCGTTCAGCCCAGCGAGCATGTATACGGGCGGGTATATGTACGGGTTATACAGTGTACAGATCGGTGATGTGCGAGCGGTCCAGCTCGGCTGCCGTCTGTACCTATACGAATACCATCATATAACTATGCTGTAATGATGACTGGTTTCTTTTGCCGAATGTCTCTGCTCTCTTCCACTGCTGTGGAGAAGGAGTGAGAAGGCAATTTCACGTATCCGTTTTTGACATGTGCTAGATGTATTATTATATTACGGAGCGATACGTATAGTTGGTAGTATCGATACATGTGCTCGTAATGTCATTACTTATGTACCTACCAATGTATAGCCATCATTACCTCTAATGCTGGTGACATGTGCAGATCCGTATATGCTATTCGAGTATATGTCTCTTCGCTGTTCTGAAATGCCATCGCGACGAGACACACGTTCACATATGGTGAGCACGCGAAGAGAGAGATAGAGAGAGACGGTCTGAGAGTTCCCTCTTCTCTTTCACACCTACGGAGTGATGCTCGTACGGAGAGTAATGATGAGTGCATGCACGGAGTAGTATTATTACTCGTACTTATTACTCCCTACGAATGGCAAAGAAGGACTGGCAGAGACGAATGAGAAGAGAGGAAGGAAAGCGTGGAAGAGAAGAAAGGCCCACCAAGCAAAGTCTGGGCCGGGTCAAGAGATTGGTCGACGTACCGGGGTCCCTGGTCAGGGAACCGGGGGGGGGGGAGGGGAGCGCGTTCTCTGGTACGACCATTTGCTGAGGACTGTGTGGGTTTTCTTCTTCTTCCCTTCAGTTATTACTTCGTAATACTTGGGCATATTACAGAGGGCGTGAAGTATCATTACTCTGTACAGATTACGGAGTATGGAGCAATCTGTACATGGTACATGTACGAGCCGTCCGTACAGCCAGCTACTCGCACTCGGTTCATCCAGGGGCAGACGAGAAAAAGACTGGGATCGCTCCCTCTGGTTCGTCGTACTCCCCCTGTCCCTTCTTGACACATGCTGATACTCTCTCTACGCCGAGCGCTACGACGAGTCCTCCAAGGGCCTACGGTGTGATGCATGCTCGTATCGTGTACAGATTATACGGAGCAATGACAGTCCTCAGTCCTAGTCCTCCTCCAACTCCTCAGCTGTTACAGGCGACCAGACAGACAGACACGAACGAAACTCCATTCTCCCCCAGCAAACTCTTACACCACTACTCCGCTTACTCCGTCTACTCCGTATTACTTGTAGAGTGATAAAATCTGACCTGCCGGCCCGATCGTCATTGACTCTGACGGTAGATTAATCCATGACGCTGACAGGGCAGAGTGAGATGGAGTCAAGACAGGCTCATCTGCACTCGGCCATCCTAGGACGAGAGAGAGAAGAGGGAGAGGGAGGGAGGGAGAGAGGGAGAGACATGCGTCGGATAGAAAGTGAACAACGTCGCAGAGCACCCCCGAAGGCTTGCCTGCCTGCTCCGGATGCGCCGCTGGCAGCTGCAAAAGAAGATGTCCTTGTCCAATTGAGAGCCGAGTTGACAGCCTCCGCGTTGCCATATGTACGGGAAGTATTGCTATATAATACTGGTGGTCAACGCATGCAACGCCCGTCAGTCGTATTATTGATTCGTAGATTGCAGTGCGTGCAGGTATATGTAATGAGAGCCGGCATGCAGCCCGTCGTAACCGTTGTTCCTCTCTTCTCTTCCATCGCATCTCGACGTATGATGCCGACTGAGAATATGCGAGCAGAGCGGCATTTTCACCGACACGGACGCACCCACATACACGTACACATGCGCATCGCCCTCGCGGGCTATTCATCATCCACGAGCGTCATCGATGCTGTGAGCGAGTGTACGCCCGTCACGAGTCCGATCCTCCCCCCTTCCAACATCACCATGCTCCCTCCGGAAGGGGAGAAGAGGAGAGGAGAGCTTGCTTGAACTGCTTGAACCAAGAAAGAAGACTCCTTCACACACATGCACGTAGGTCACCCACCTGCTGATGCACGCTGCACACACCCACACCTACACGCGCCCCCTTTCCAACCCCTGTCACAGGGAGACCCTCGCCGACACCCGCGATCCAATCAGCACGTTGTCGTTCCTGACACTAGTCACCGATCCGCGGCTTCTTGGTGCGCATGGCGGACGACAGAACCGAGTTCGATGGGGGGAGGGCGGCGAGACGGAGGAGAATGGAACTCTGGAGAACTGAACCAACCCACCCCCCCATTTCCTTTTCTTCTCCTCCTCCTGACTCCCCTGGCTCTTCCGTCTTCCTCGCTGTCCAGAATCAGAGACAGGTGCAGTCACGAGACCACGACGTATTTACGTATACGACATCTCATTACCGCCCTTTTCTCATCCTTCTCCGTAATGCCAAGACCTTGTCAAGTTCCCTCTGGCATTTGCTGCCCTGTTGCATGTTGATGGGGTTTTAAAACACCTTCCGTAAAACAGTGTGCATGTGATATCCACGGCCGTGTCATCTTGTCTCTATCCTTTACAACTTCACCAGTAATCAGTACTCTTCTTCTCATGTCCCCACCCCCTTTCCGTCCATCATCACTTCATCCGTACTCGATCTCCCAACCCCATCATGCGCGCCATATCGAACTGTGAGAAGAGCAGAGAGCATCACTAGCAGCTGCGCGGATTACGGGCGTTACGTCGTAGAGGTCCGAGCATGATTACTCGTACCCGGAGCCCCCGCCATTCTCTGGGGGGCGGAAAGTATCGATCAGGCAAGGTCAATCAGCCGAGTTGGAAGATGAAGCGCTTGCATTGTTGGAGGCGCAAATCCATCCTGCCCATCCACATTCCACCCTCAACATGCAAATCAGCATGGAACGGACAGGACGAGTTTCATCGTGAAACCACATTACTGCAGCCTAGATCCAACTCGATCACACCTATCATCTACACACACCGGCCTGAACTGACTGCTTACTTCTATCCACCCGATATACACACTCGATACGATTGGTAATCGAACGGGAGGGAATCCTTTCAAGATTTTTCAATTTAATTCTTTTCAGTTTTTATTTAATTTATTTTTTTGCCTGAGCGCGATGCTGCGGCAACCTAGACGACAGCATGATTCCTTGGTGACGCCAAGCTTCTTTATTTATTCGCCATGAGAGAACCTTCCAAGGCACGATGGACTTTTCTGGCAACAGTGCTTGGTTCGATGGACCTCTCTATTCGAGTACTATTAAGATAGAAACAGATGATGGAAATTACACCAGATGGTGGGAATCAAAGAAAAAAAAAGAAAATCATGCCTTCTTCGCCTTCTTGAGACTGTTCTTGGGCATACGTGCTAGCCAGTAGACAAACAGGGCTGCAAACACGTTGAAGACGATGTACACCCACATCAGGCCAAAGTTGCGCCAGCGGTCAGTGTACTTGATATTGACGCTCGCCAGGTACGCGTCCGTGCTGTTCATCCTGCAGAGCTCGCAGCTCTTGGCCGCCATCTCGTCCTTGAGATAGCCACCTGCCGACTCGATGTAAGGGCCGAGGTACTCCAAGCACGTCTGGCCGTCGGGGGCGGTGATGGGCAGGTACTCATTGGCCGCACACGCCAGGGTCGAGTTGCCGACGGCCGTGCCGAGCATGCCGCCCACCAGGTACGTGAAGGGGGAGACGCGGTACATGAAGATCCAGAAGCGAGGCATGCTGTCGGGGCCGGCCAGGACGCCGCAGAAGATGAGGCAGAGCATGAAGAGGACGTTGGCGATCTGGGCGCCGCCCTCGGCCGTCTCGAAACCGGCAATGATGAGGGCCGAGAAGGTCGAGGTGAACAGGAGGAAGGTGAGGAGGAGGAGGAACATGAGGGCGCCGCGCTCGGTGACGTGGTCCGCGTCCGAGTTGCGGTAGAGGCCGATAGGGTAGTACCAGCAAAAGTACATGATGACCGCCATGAGGGTGTTCCACGGAAGCTCCACGACGATCTGCGATAGCATGAACACCTTCCACGAGTACACCTTGGACGGACGCTCTCGCGCCTCGTACAGGTCTCGCTGGATGACGAACTGAGGCATAGACTGCTGGACGATCTGGCCGAAGATGGTCAGCAGGTTGAATATGGCAAACATCTGGTTCTGGATGCCCTGCATCGTAGTCGGTGCGCGGAAGAAGACGAAACCGATGAACAGGGCGACGAGAGAGCACAGAGCAGTCTTGGAGTAGATGTAGACGGGCGTACGCCAGTACTGCTGGAACACGCGGATGAGGTTCTCGCGGAGCTGCACCGCGAACGGAGCGGCGAACTCGTTGTAGCCGGTCTCCTTGTCGTCGACGACGGCGGCGGCGCCGGCCCTGTCACGCTTGATGTTCTCGAGCTCGTCCTGCAGATGCTGGTACTCGGCGCTCTCGCGCCACGTCTTGTGCCAGTCAATCTCGGTGTGGGAGTTGGGGGCAGCGCCGATGACCTCGAGCATCCACTCAGCCGGGTTAGCCTCGGCGGGGCAAGGGTGGCCGCCGTTGCGCTCGAAGTAGCTAGTCATGGTCTTGGAGTTCTCGCCGATCTCGCCAAAGTAGACAGTCCTGCCACCCCTGGCGAGGAAGAGGAGACGGTCGAAGCGCTGGAAAAGCATCGCGGAAGGCTGGTGGATGGTACACAGGACGGCCTGGCCAGCCTTGGTCAGCTTCTCGAGCAGGTCGAGGATGGCCCACGACGTCTGGGAATCGAGACCCGAGGTGGGCTCGTCGACGAACAGCAGCAGAGGGGGCTTAGCGGCGAGCTCGACACCGATGGTGAGGCGCTTGCGCTGCTCGACGTTGAGACCTTCGCCGGGTACGCCGACGACGGCGTCGGCGTACTCCTGCATGTCGAGCAGCTTGATGACCTCCTCGACGTAGGCAAGCTTCTCGGCGCGGGGCACGTCGGCCGGCTGGCGGAGGATAGCACTGAAGTTGAGCGCCTCCCGGACTGTGGTGGTCTGGAGGTGAAGATCTTGCTGCTGGACGTAGCCTGTCTTGCGCTGGAAGGACTGGTCGCGGGGGAGACCGTCGACGAGCATCTCGCCGGTGATGACACCGGCCTTGGTGCGGTCGGCCAAGCAGTCTAGGAGCGTCGTCTTACCGGCGCCGGAGACACCCATGAGGGCAGTCAGGGTGCCGGGCTTGACGAAGCCGTCGACGTGGTCCAGGATGCGGCGAGTCTCGCTCTTGATCTTTACGTCGTAGCAGACGTCGTGCCACTGGAACACGGACGTCTGCTGCTGCAGGATACCGGCCTCCTTGTTGTCGCCTCGGCTCCTCTCGGCGGTGATGGCGGGACCGATGTGGGCCATGGCAGCCTCAGGGTCCGAATGCTTCTTCTCGCCAGACTCGAGGACAGCAGGCCTGTGGCCGCGGCGGTAGACGAGAACCTCACCCTTGGACTTCTTCTCGGAAACGAGCTCGGCGCCCAGCATGTAGGTACCCAGGAAGAAGAGCATGAAGCCAATCATGATCCCGAGGTTACGCCAGCGGTGGCTCCACCTGTAGCCAAACTGAGAAAGGGCGTACACGTCACCGTCGACGAAGGTCTCACCTGGGGTAGCACCGACCGAGCTGCAGACGCGGTTGACCTGATCCACGTCGGCGTAGTCGCCGGTCGCGGGAGGGGTGAACTCGTTGCAGGGGACCTTGCGGCCGTGGAACTCGTTCACGATGAGGGACTCGAAGGCGTACGCCAGGGGGTCGATGTAGTTGAGCCAGCGGCACCAGCCAAGCATGTAGCTCTTGGGGATGACGAAGCCGGTGAAGATGACGAGGTCGAGGATCAGGAGGGCGGCCGGCACGAGGGCCTGGAACAGCGTGCGCGAGGACGAGGCAATGGTCCTGAAGATCATGGACATGACCAGGACGGTGAAGAAGGAGATGAGCAGGAAGAAGAAGAAGTGACCGGCATCCTGGCGAAGCTGGGCCATGAAATAGAGGACCAAGTTGAAGGCGATGCAGTTACTAATCTTGTACGGCAGATCACATATCATGGAGGCGACAGCCTCGGCGGAGGGGTGATACAGGGCATAGCGAGCATGCTTCTCGACGATGGGACGTTGGGAGTAGAGGGTGAGGATCTGAATTCCGGTCAGCGACAACATCTCTGGAGGGAGGCTGCCCAAGGTGGGGGAAGCAGAAGGGGCAGAAGGGGTCGAGTCAACATACCTCCAGGGCACTGGAAAAGGCGTTCATGAGACAGGCGAAGAAGAGCAGAGCGCCACGCTGGAAGAAGGCGCTCGAAAGATTAGGCAGGTTGAAGAAGACGCTGCCGACGATCAAGGCAGTGACGACGTTTCCGATGAGGGCGCCCAAGGTTAGGCTGGGGTCGCCGACGAGCCTCTTCCAGCCGCGCCACAGGCAGAGCTGGACCTGCTGGGCGTAGGACAGGGTGAAGGGCGACTTGGGCCTCTGGCCCTTGGCCTGCTGGGCGTGCTTGCTGGCGCGGAAGGCCTCGGCATCGGGGCCGTTGATGGGGTGGGACTGCTTGTACTCCTCGATCTCGGCCTGGAGGGCCTTGTACTCGGCGCTCTCCTTCCAGGCGCGAGCGAACTCGTCAGGGGTGCGGGGAGCCCTGCCCTCGAAGCCGGGGCGGACGATGCGCTCGAGCGACGAGGTCATGGAGGTGAGGAAGTCGGGTGTGGTCTGACGAGCAGGGCACTCGAATCCGAGGTTGATGAAGTACTGCCTAGCCTCGTCGGCCCTGCCAAAGAAGATCTGGCGACCCTCGTACAGGACGACGGCCTTGTCGAAGAGGTCGTAGGCCGACTGGGGCGCCTGGTAGATGGAGACGCAGGCCGTGTTGTTGAAGAGCTCGGTTCCGAGGCGGAGGGTGCGGCAGAACTCGATGGCGTTGGCGGAGTCGAGGCCGCGCGTCGAATTGTCCCAGCACTGCAGGGGCGCTCCGGACAGCGAAGCCTCGGATATGGTGACGCGCTTGCGCTCACCACCGGACACGCCACGGATGTACTCGTTGCCGACCTTTGTGTTGGCCGTGTGCGAGATGCCGTACATGGCCATGACGACATCGCGGAGGTGGTCGGCAAAGGCGTTCCTGTTGAGGCCTTCGGGAAGGTGGCGGGGCTGACGGGCCCTGGCGGCGAAGGTCAGGGTGTCGCCGACGGACAGCTGAGGGAAGTGCACGTCGACTTCGGCTGTGTAGATGGCCTCTCCGCGATGGTGAGAATGCATCTCCTTGGCGGAAATGCCTAGAGAAGGTCAGCATTGAGATACGTGTGGATAGAGAACAGGAGGGCAGAGCGGTTACTCACCCTGGTAGTTGAAGTAGGCATCGTCGTCGACGTAGATACCATTCATCTCTCCAGCAATGGTCTTGAGGAAGGTAGAGCAACCGGAACCGGGCGGCCCCAGCACGACCAGCATCTCACCGTTGCGCACCAGGCCGTCAAAGTCACGCAGGATGTCGATGCGCTGACCGCGGCGGCCGCCGGAGAGGCCGTCGCGGATCATGTCGCCGAGGGAGAGCCAGACGTTGGCGACGTCCTTCTGGTAGTCGGAGCCAGCGCCGAAGCCGTGGACGTTGAGGTGCTGGAAGGCGACACCGGTAGTGCGGAAGTCGGAGCCGCTGCCCTGGACGAGCTGGACGATGGCCCGAGCCCACTTCTTGCCGTCAAAGTTGTCGGAATGAGGGTTGAGGGGGGAGTCGGGGCCGGCGAGGAACGGATTTGCGTCGCTCCCGTCGGCCGCCGAGGCGCGCGAGTAGGAGCGGGCAAGGGCCTGGACGACGGAGCTGCGACGTCTCATCTCCTCGGCCGGATCAGCATCGTCGGCGTTCTCGTCATCGTCGTCGTAGTCCTCTCGGGCTCCGCCCTTGACCAGCGTGCCGTCGCGCGAGGCGGAAGAGTTGCCGTCAGCGGTAGCGGTATAGACGGAGTCGTTATTGGTCTCGTTGGCTGTCGAGGATAGAGCGCCTCCGTGTGCAGCCTCTGCGGCCAGGCCGGCGCCGGCGTTGCCACCCAAGGGTGTCGCCATGGCCGGTATCGTCTGATTGCTTGTCAGGTTTACCTGCTCTTTCCCTGTCGTTGAGGCTATCGAAGATTTGTACCGGGATATGGAGGATTGTTGGTTGTAGATTGGGGTGGAGAGAAAGGGAGGGTGAGGGAAGGGGAGGGAGACAGGGAGACAGGGAGAGAGTGTGATAGAATAAGAGTAAAGGAGAAGTTTAGAAGAAGGAAGAAATTTTTTTTAAAATATATATAGGAAAAGAACAATCGTATTATGATGAATAAAGGAGAAGACTAGCAGCAGAAGGGGGGGGGGGGGGGGGGGGGGGGGGGAATTGATCCACGACCCTCCCGATACCTTATACTATTAGGAGCACAGGAGCCAGGAATAAAAGCGTGTCGGTCACCTGTCGCATTTTAGGAGGAATCCGACCGGCCGCCCGCCGGACATTGCAGCGGAGGGCGGCCGGGGGCCCTCTTGTCCACCTACGTTCTACTCGTACACACTCCCACTCCCCCCTCCCCCCTCAGCTCTGACTACCCAGCATGGTGCTCGTACTCGTAACTCCTCGGTATCACTAGTTATAGGCTACGGGAGGCATTTTACCACTTGCCAGCGGACATTCTGCATGTAATATGCACCTCGTCTTCGCTCTCTTGGTAAACGCAACAAACAGCCTCGACAGCTACACGCCCCCCCCCCCCCCCCCCCCCCCCCAAAAAAATAAAAAAGAAGATTCTAGGTATTACGTCTTCGTGTGAGAGAGAGGAGACAAGGGGATCCTCACCAGCAACTTGCCAGTGCAGACATGTAGAGTCTTCTGTCTTAGAACGTACGTTGCCGTTGTTCTCCCGAATGCCCAATCTCTCTGCATGCACACACCCCCCTCGTCACATCGAAGACAGCCTAGGGAGTCATTATCACGCTCTAGTACTGGTACATAGCAAAGTCCGCCAGCGTAGAGTCAGAGAGAGATGAAAGGAACCAGCTCGCTTTCCCACGGTGGCGTTGCCGTCAGCACTAGCCATCGACCGTCTGTCTATCGCTCGGGTTTCCCTCTTATCTCCTTCTCCTCCGCTGCCTTTTCTTTTTCTTTTTCTTTTTCTCACATTCGTTTACAGAGCATTACGTGTACACCGAACAAAGAAAAGAAGAGAAAAGAGAGACACTCCGTCGGGGTCTTGGAGGAACCCGACAACCCGCCCAGTCCCGAACATTGACTGACCCACCTTGTCCCTTCTGTCATTCTACGGATTCGATGGAATCTTCTTGCAGGGTGAAAATTTCTTTCGTACGCCTTCCACTCTGCTTGCCAGGACCCATAATAAGTTTATTATCTCTCGTCTGCTGGAGCCGAATAGGCAGCAGAACAAGCCAAACCGCCTTTACGGAGTAGGGACGGATGGACAAGCAGGGGGCTCTCTCCCAACTGTCGACGAATTCAGGAGTAACGTGTGCGGTATTCCGGCCTGCCTTTTGTAGATAGTAAGCGACCTCGGCAAGCACAGAAGCCACCTTGCCTCCCACATACAAGTACATGAGCTATGCTAGTCTCACCCGGTTCGGGTAGCGTTTCCATACGAAGAGAAGGGGGGGGGGGGGGGGGAGAAGAGAATCTTCTTTCGGATCTCACGAGTTATATGGTGAGACACGTTCAATCGGAACTCTCCCAGTCTACATCAGCCGTCGATCCTGCAACTCAACTTTTCAGCGTCCTCGCCTGCATGTAGCGGGTATTACCAAGCGCTGAAACGTACATGCGGCCATCTGGTACGCCGTGAGGCAGACGCGTATCTGCTGACTCTCCTGTATCCAACGGCCAATATATCAGAGACCTGTTCCTGTATAGGCATATACACCAGCAAGGATGGACCATAACTCGGGACACGATGCATCCCATCAGAGATCCATCCACCCATCCACGTCTCCCCTGTCGCGCTCAATTGCTCACCACCCCATCGATGCAAGTAGGCTGGGTCATAGCTACGAGCCAATGACCAGCCGCATACTCGTAATCGCCAACAGGCCTATCGAGCCCGTCATCTCCGGGCGGACTTGTAGAGTCACCCGCTAAGTCCGCAGCTCGCGGAGCACCGTGGGTAAAACCAGCAGCTAGTCAAGACCATGCGGAGCCGGAAGGGTGTGATGGTGGCATCCGTTCCGGGGTGGACCCACAGTGCAAGTATCCGCACGTTGGTAACTCCGTATTACTCGTACTGCTGCTATCGACCGGAGTACGAGTGCATAACATATTATTACTTCGTATGGAGTGACATTGCAATCTTGCATCGTGGATTCATCCCACAAGATTCCACGTCATACATGCACGTATTACTGAATCTTAATACTCGTACTATTGTTGTGAAAGGTTTCCGAGACCTTCCCCCCCCTACTATATTGCATGTCGTCCTGCTTGTTGTCTTGCCTGCTGTCTGGTCTTACCTGTACGGCGGCATTTGTAATCTGATCTCCTTTATGCTTCTTGATTTTAGCCTACATATACAGATAAGAGTAATAGCACCAACCTATACATGTAACGTATACGAAGCACTAAATCTGGTTCTTCTCCACCGGGAAGCAACCCTGCGAATCTGTGCGATGCGCCGCTGCCGCTGCCGCTGCACGTATTACAGGTAAAACATTGGCCTTTTCTGTTCACTTCTATGCCGTTCTTTTCTTCCTCTTTTCCCTTCCTGTGGTGAGTAATTCATCAATCTCTGTAGAGGTGAAGGTGAATGCTGTTACTTTCTTGGCAGCAATCCTCTCGCGAGCTCTCACATATCGCATGCCCGCTCCTTACATGTATCATTATACTCCCATCCCAACATAATTTGCCCCACCGAAGCTTACGCTCCGACCATTCTCTTCTTCTTAATCTAATCCCTGCGGGCCTGCGTTGCCGAGGACCAAGCAGTTGGTCAACAATACTAACTGTTGGCTTGCTCGGCGAGTACGATAAGCCCCAGGGGGATGGTGCGGGTGGAGGTCAAAAAGGGGGTGTCTGTCATCATGGGTTGCTCTATAACGGTATGGACACGATGTACCGTACCGTGCCGGAGTACTCGTCCCTGCGACATGGGCATGGAGCAATTAATAATACGGTGCTCTTGTCCCCCCGTCGGCTATCGACGCCCCAGTAATGCGACGCTATCGTGGTGATCACCTCACGTGTACGTGGACTTTGGGAACGAGCTGGTCAACCAGGTTTGCAGTGGTCGGCTGCCTGCATTGTCGGGAACAGACCTTGACAGACGGTTGATAGTAACGAGGCGAGGAGATGTAGTACGAGGACGGCCAGACGAACATTGGCAGACACCCAGAGACAATACCGAGGGAGATGGATGTATGCATGACGAGTGCGGAAGGAGATTGGATAGTGATATGCTGCTAGTACATATGGAAAGGAGGAGGCCTTATTCTCGACATCTAAGCAAGGTGAACTGCGAGGATATAGTGCTAGTAATGGATCAGGGCGATGCAAGCCGCTACAAGAAGTTGATGCCCACGCCAAACTGCAGGCCCTTGGTGCCGACCTCGCCCCTCCTCAGCACCATCGGCAGACTGAAGTTGAGCTCAAACCTCGCCACAGGATGGGCGTACACCAGTCCGAAACCCGTAGCCAGGCTGGGGAGCCCACCGCCGGCAATGTTCTCGACCGCACCGGCCACGCCCCTGGCCACCGTAGACGCGTCCATGGCCTTGCCGCCGCCGTCGCCGCCGCCGGGCTTGCGCAGCGCGACGAGCCGTCCACCGTTGGCGAATAGCTGGAACCGTAGGCCCGACTCCGGACCGCGGTAAGGGAGCGGGAGCAGGACGTTCACGCTGCCCGCCGCGAAGGCGTCTCCGCCGACCGAGTCCTGCCCGTCGTGGGGGCCCAGACCGCACAGCTGGAAGCCGCGCACGTCCGTGGGGCCGCCGAGCTGGAAGCGGTCGTTGATGCGGCTGGGGAGAGAGTTGGTGCCCGAGGAGAACCCCAGCGGCAGAGGGCACAGGAGACCCATGCGCAGACCTCCGCCGACCGAAATGCCCGTGCTGCGGGCCTCCACGCCGGGGAGCGGCAGGGGCAGGGCCCCGCCGACCTCGCACTCGGCCTTGGAGAAGGCGACGTCCCCTCCGAGCGGTCCCAGACCGGCAACCTCGAGACTCGACCGAACCATGTATCCCGTCTGGGGCAGCTGAGGGTTGTCGCGCCTGTCCCTGTAGAAGGTGGACTTGATGGCGCTCTTGATGCTGTCGCCGGCGTCGGCGCGCACCGTGGGGCTCGCCGCCGACCCGAGACCCGTCACCTGCCTCCACGACCCGGAGTACTCGACAGAGAGGCTGTCGCGCGCGGCATTCAGCCACGAGAACCGCGCCGTCGCACCCTTGACTGCCTCTTCGTGCGAGGCCCACGGCTTGTCCGCCGCAGACGCGACGCCCTCGATCGACACGCGCATGTTCGGGTCGCTCAGCACGGGAGCGCTCAGGTTGGCCGTGTACGACGACCGCGTGCGGGTGCCCGTGCGCGCGTTGAGCGAAAGCATCTCCGCTCCGCCAAAGATGTTGCGCCATAGCAGCGACCCGTACGCCGAACCTTCGCCGTTGCCGACGTCCGTGCCCGTCTGGAGCTTGAAGCGCGGCAGCTCGCGCAGGCGAATGTCGATGTCCACGTCGTGGGGGCTCGTCGACGGGTCCGTCTGCTGGGACGATACCATGAAGATTTCGGGGTTGGGCTGGAAGGATTCTGCTCATGGTCAGTCCCTGTCGGCCGCTTGTCTCTTGGATGTCCAACTCACGCAGGCCGCTCAGCTTAGCATTCGTCACCTGCAGCATGCCCATGACCTCGCCAATAGTCGACGGCGACTCCGGCTTTCCGGCAATCAGAGGGTCGATGAGGGGGCCGAGGAAGTTTCGTCGCGTATTGGAAGCACCGTGGATGCGGATCTCGTGGATCGACATGGGCGTGAACGCCTGGTCCGTCATCTGGGGGGGGGGGGCAGGAGTCAGCCAGTCGGCCATCTTCCGGCAAACACTCTTCTTCGAAACAGCCCTCCATCACTGCCACATACCGCCTGCGCTATACGGCGCTCCTTGGTCGCATCCTGGTCATCCTTCAGCTGAGCTGCGCGGTAGGCCGAGCTGGGGTCGGATCGTAGCTTGCTCAAGGGGTCGAGGTCCTGCTGGGAGAAGTAAGGCGAGCGGTCAGCGATCTGTAGTGGTCGTATGCCCTCATTCGATGACGACACTTACCCCTCCAGCTGGGGAGCCCATATTGTCTGCCATGGTTGTCTCTGTTCAGAGCTATCTGGAGCTATGGTCAAAACTTCAAGGAGGCTAAAGCTGGTGTGATGTCAAGAATCCGAAACGCCGTCCAAGGTCCGAGCGCCCTATCTGTGCTTGTGGCTGTGCACGACCCAAATGTCAGCCACACGTGCGGAATCAAAGCCACTTGGCCCTCCTTCGGGAGTCCCGCTCATGCACCCCGTTCTTTTCTTGGTCCATCCCATCCTCGGCCGCCCGCACCCTCCTCTCCTCTCTCTCCCTTCTCTCTTCTTCGATAATCTGCCCTCTGATCAAGTTCCAAGTGCCCAACCAATCTTTTTCGCTTCAACGACCCTCAACATACTCATCAGCATATCCTAGACATCTATCTCGCCCGTCTTTGACTCCTCTGCCCCGCGATTGCCGCCAGGGACGGTGGTCTCACGCGATCACCGACGGCCCACATACGCATCATCATCACGGCCCGCCATTCTGTCTCTCTCTCCCAGCCTGCTCTCCTTCCCTCCTTTCCTCACACACACAACGTCCGCCGGTGAAGTATGGCTAGCAAGGCTGCGCAGAAGCGGGTATGAAGCCCTCCTTCCCTCTCGCTTTCGATCCTGTCATGAGTAGATATCGAGACTGACTCTTCTCCCTCCCCACGTCAGTTGACCCGCGAATACAAGACGATATCGGAGAACCCGCCTCCTTATATCACCGCACACCCGTCCGAGTCCAACATTCTCGAGTACGTCCAGCTGCCTCATCCGTGTTGCTGGAGGGGAGATCGGCGACTGACAGGATCTTTCACAGGTGGCACTATATCCTGACCGGACCCGAGGAGACTCCTTACTACGGCGGTCAATACTGGGGGACCCTCATCTTCCCTCCCAACTACCCATTCGCGCCGCCCGCAATTAGAATGCACACGCCCTCGGGGCGATTCCAGCCTTCGACGCGCCTGTGTCTCTCCATCTCCGACTTCCACCCCAAGTCATTCAACCCGGCCTGGGAGGTGTCCACAATCCTGACGGGCCTCCTCTCGTTCATGACGAGCGAGGAGATGACTACCGGATCGATATCGTGCAGCTCCGTGGAGAGGCAATACCTGTCCTCGCGGACACGATGGTGGAACTCTACCGGTGGCGGGTCCCACGCCTCTGGCAGCACGGCCACCAAGGGCAACATCAAGGCTGGCGACGGCGGCGCCAAGTTTAGGCAAGAGTGGCCCGAACTCGACAAGGAGAACTGGGAGTGGATCAAGGCTAAGGAGATCGACCCGGCTACGGGCCATCGCATGGGGGGAGATAAGGAGTCGTCGCCGTGCGGACCTCACCTCGCCCGCGTTGGGCCGTCGGGCCACCAGACCCAGGCCGTCGTCGACGCAGTCGTCCAGCAGAGGGACGCCGGGCGCGGGTGGATCTCTCGGAATAGGCTTCTTGCCGCCGGCGGCATCCTGTTCCTCTACGTTCTTATTGCCAGGCTTCTCAGCGGCGACAGTCTCTCATGAAAGAGGGCCTTGAACTGCCTGCTAGCGGCGGGGCTTGTCTCCTTGGCAGTCTCATCTGTGCTTTTTAATGCCTTGCTCATGGCCATTGAGTTTTGAATATCGCACTTGTTCTCATATTGCCTCGTCTTCTTCTCTCTATCCTCCCCACCTTTTCTGCTTTCAATCCCCTGTTTATTTGCATTGGGGAGATGCGGTGAGGAAACGTATGGGTCCATGTAGGGTTCAAAATTAATCTAGATTTTCAAATGGAATGCATCACTTTTATAGCCACACCAGATTCATCATCAATTAGTCTTCCAAGTGTCAATCACGTAGTATTATATTACAATGACCATGTATGCCATTTGTAAACAGCAGGCTTGAGAGATTGATTGATAGCCATGAGACATCTCCGTATAATTGAGTATTTCTTGTCGTGGATCTACCCTAAGGCTCTGGGTTGTTTCGCTTCGCAAGACAAATAGCCACACACTTGGCTTCTCGGGTACTCTGTCTGCTTGCTTCACCGTCTATCCCTTCAAGGATCCTCGTAGGTTCTGTGACGGCTCTGGATAAGCCTGCCCCCTAGTCTCATGGTGAAAGACTATTCGTATGCATGATCCGTTTACAGAGTACTATTACTACTAGTATTACTACTACTACTATTGCTAGTTAACGCTAGATCAAGGTATAGTCCGTCCAGTGTCCAGATTCGTTTTGGTCAACAGGACGCATGACTCAGAATATCTCGAATAATCTCCCCAAAGCTATCCTCCTTGGATCACGCAGTCATTACCATACATGTACAGGACGGAGAACTACACGCGGTTCCTCTAAATCTGCAGATAATAGTACTCAACACTCATCGTACCATCGTACTAGCACTGTGGTACGGTATCGAATCCGTGCTGTCGGAAACCTGATAGAGTAAGTCTACGAAGTACCGACGTAAATGACGTTATTTTGGCGTGTTGGAATACATGCTCAGCCTTGGAGAAACAAGAGTCCAACACTGTCATTCTCTCATGAAACTTGACTTATGGATCTGGTGCATGTACATGCGAAAACGTGCACTCTCATGCTACTGTCAGGAATGTGTGTGTTTGATATACATGTGACCGGGCATTGTATACAAGATGCTCTCTGTACTCGTACGTCGTGGGACGTAAGTCGACACCGGCTGGCTTGTATCTGCGCCTCTTGGGCTACGATCAGAGGTACTGGTGCCTTTTCCGACTACGTATAACGTGTCAAGCTAATGGAACCATGAAAAGTGAATATCAAGGCATATGCGGCCGCGTGAAGTGAAAGAACCGATCGTGTCATTGGACCCTCTGTGACCCCAAGCGCTTAGTGCTCCGAGAACGACCAATCTCCACACCACGGTTGGAACCGACATTGTGAGATAGACATGATGCCACTATGCAGCTATATACTGAAGAAATTCTGTTCAGTGGCATTGTGGATGGTGGCGTCAATCCGTATACACCATGTGGCCGCAGCACAGCGATGACGGGCCGGATGGATATAGCTGTGGGAGATCGTAAACTTCCAACGTGAGACTGCGCCGTCCGAGTCGACATCAATGGCATTACCGATAGCATGGCATAGTCTGGGGTGCATCCACGGCACTTGGAATAACTTGGCATGGAACGTTGAGAGACCATGACTAGAGATGGTGAGCAGACCGGGAAAAAGTCTCTGTATAGACCGGCAGACACCGCCACAAGCTATTGAAACCAGAATGGAGATTTCTGGGATTTCTTTTTTTTATTTCCTTGAGATGAAGGGGCATATATCATTCTCCTAACGAAAGCTTGCCACCACCTTAGAAAGCCTGCCCCAAAGGGGTAGCCCGAAATTCAGATGATGTCGTCTGGGAAGAGTACATGATGTAGGCGAGCAGTTCCGGACGATGAAGGAATAGGAAAAGGGGAAGAAGCAAACAGCGGTGAAGGGGGAAGAGAAAATACATGCAAAAGACACCATCTTATTCGATGGCAATGTCGGCACAGTTGAGATAGACCTGGGGTGTCTCGTAGGAGTTCCACTTGAACCCGAGCAGGGTGTGCTCAGAGGTCATCTCGGGAAGCTTGACCTTTCCGGAGACGGTGTAGCCGCCGGCGATGGAGGTCCAGCAGGAGCCATGCTCAGCGTTGTCGATGCTCTTGCAGCCGCCGGCGTCCCTGGCGGGACAGCCCCACCAGTCGGAGTTCCTGCAGGAGTCCGCGGCGCAGTCGCCGCTGGGGTCGCAAGCGTTGCCGTCGACGTCGGAGCAGGGCAGGATGCCCTTCTCGAAGCAGTCCTCGAGCTGCTGCTTCACGTCCAGGCTGGGGATGGTGGTGGCGTCGAGGAACTTGTTGACGAGGTCCTGATCCTGGCAGATACGGTAGGAGAAGGCACCTCCGTGGTCGCCATTGTTGTCGACGCACCACTGGACGTCGATGGTGTCGCCGGACTTGTACGTCTGGACGGGGGACTTGCCCCAGGCGTCTCCGGGCTGGTTGTAGTCGACCCCGACTCGCTCGTTGTAGCCGCAGGGGCCCGTCTTGGCGACCTTGGCGGCGTTCAGGGTGGGCCACGACTCGACGGGCTCGAGGATGGTGCACTCGGGGCAGGTGTCCGCACCAGCGCCTCCCTGCCATCCCCGAGCAGAAGAAGGGGAGTATGTCAGCAGGCCACCCTTGTCTGCTCTGTATACACCTCTTACAGACGCAAAACGCGTCAAAGTTATGCAGTTGGTTCGGAACATACGTCGGCATTCAGACCAACACGGCTCATCGGGGTGATCATGTATCCGTGGGCGTTGACGGTGGCGGCAAGGGCCGCGAGCATGGCAATCTGGGACAGCATGGTAACGGATGATTTGGGGAATGCCGATCTCCTTTCCCTTCTCCTATGCGTTGATCGGAAGTTTAGGTCGGTGCTTTGTTGGCGAGGACTTTGTGCCGATGTGGGTTGGGAGTGGAACGAGATTGGAGCGAGTGGAGGGAAGTGCCCGTATTTATATACAGCATATTCCGCTCGAGAAGAGAAATCAAAGTAATAGAGGACAGAGGCCAAGACGGAGAGAGACGACGAATGGCTGTCTACAATATACCTCCCTCCGGCTTCCATTTCCCTACCCGGGCCGCAACCGACGCTAGGACGAGCTGCCGGAGACATCCGGATGGATCGTCGGTTGCTGGTAGAGACGTCACGATGGCACACGGCGGTGCACCTTGGAACCAGGAACTTCGTCCGGAGAGATGGCGTGCTACGTTCGATACAAACCTGGTAACGTCCATGCAAGCTGTCGGTCCGTATCACGGGCCGAACACATGCTCGGAGCGATTCGCCAGACCAGAAGGCAAGTACATATGGGTATGATCAATGCCACACGAAAGAGGTGTGCAGCGCCGATGCACTTGGAGTCTTGGCTCGGGGCCACTGGCTAAGAGTGCCACTTACACCATTGTGGTTGCGGGGAGCGGTTGTGGGGTTGGACACGACGGACGATTAGGAAAGATGCTTGACTCCTTTGACGGTGGAGAGCCTGCAGCCTATTACCTCTTGAACTATGCCGAATCGATTCGGGGAGAGGACCGGGGCGTAAAGGGCGTTATCAGATGCCGTCGTAGCATACGGTATATGCCCCGACTCTGGGCTGTCGCCGCCAAGCAAACAACCCACGACGCAGAGGGGATCCTCCTCGGACCGGCGAACATGGCGCTTCTCTATTTTTCACCTGTCCACTTCAAACAGCTGGGAATGCGGGACAAATCCATAAAGATGCGGAGAGGATCCATCATCGTAACTAGAGTCCCCAATCTAGAGGCCACCGACGTATTCTTACATGTCAGTGGCTGTCTACCTTCCCCTCTCCTGACCTGTCCTGCTCTGCAAGGATCGGAAGCTACGGGGGGAAACACGATGGATTCTGTTCCCTGGAACACCCGTGACTGCGGAAGTAGAGGTTCGAGGTCAGAGAAGATCGGCACTCAGTATGAGCATAGAATATTGCTACTGTGAGAGAGCACTAAGCCAACTCCAGTGTTCGTCGGACCGACGCGTGAACTTGTGTGCAACGGGCAGTCCTATCTACCATCTGGCCAGAGAAGAAGACACAGCACATTGGTACTACACATTGGTACTACGCCGTGATACGCCGTGTCCGGAGGGTTGTCGAGTGCTTGCGCGCTGATATTACGGCTCCACCTTGTTCATCGTAACCATGTTCATCGACACCTGTATGCATACATGTTTTCTTGCTTTCAAGTTCACATCCTATGCCTTGTTTCCGACTATACACCACAAAACATCATGCCGTTCATACTTGTATTCGCACGGCGAGATCCGCGAAGCTCACTCCCGTCATTCGTCTGGGTTGCTTCCATATCGCTGGTACCTGATCCCCTGATCCACATGAACACGGCCGAGACCGGCGTAAACCTATTCGCGGGGAGCCACGATCATGCGGGCGGAATCTACATCGCAACGTGTCTCTGTAACTCCCGCTGTTTCAGCAATCTATACCAGATCTTGGCCCGATGTTCTCCCCGAGAGACTCTACCTGTTCCGTACGGATATGCTACTCTACGCTATCCCATTTTCTGCGAGAGATACTTGTTCACCCGCTTGTCCTCGAAGAAGTAACATCCCCTACGTCGACCATACAGTCATGCTGTGGTAAGTAGTAGAGAATATAAATCATCTCCTAGTATGGCGGTAAGCAAGAAGCCTCCCACGGGGCATTATAGTGAGGTCTAGGAAGCCGACACCACAAACCGTCAATTCGTCAAGGACTCGATGTATATATATATATATATACCTGTAACCCTGCCGGTCCGGGGCATGTCGCACGACCTACATGTCGGACCAGGTTTCTTCACGACGTAGGAGACCCCGGGAAGCTGAAGATGTCTATGCAGGCTCTTGCGCACAGTGATAGCCGTGACTGGCCTCCTTCCTGTTAGAGTAGAGGATGTGGACATGTCAGTCGTGGACCTCTAGATGATCCCCTCCGTTCGTATAATCATCGCCAACTCCTCACCTCATTCGTTACATCCTGACGTCTGCACGGAGTGTGATACTTTCCTGTCCTGTATCTGAGCTGTCGCCGGTTAGGTTTAGGGTTTAGGGTACAGGGTTAGGTGAACTCCACGCAACGGCCTTCAGATGAGGAGATGCCTTTGAGGTCGGTCTGAGAGATTTGACGTTCTGAGAGGCAAGATGCTGCTGATGCCAGTCTCCGTGTGGGTTTTTCATGGTTTATGACATCGGCAGAAAGGTCAGCCTCGTGTCTGCTGGCTCTCGCTGGGAGCTGGTCCACCAGTCTGGCAGGCTTGCGGATGATGTGCGTGTTTCTCCATCGTTCACGGAGCAGGCCCGGTATGGTTCAGTGCTGCATCCTGCGGTCCACATTCATGAATTGCAGTGTTTGTTTGTGCGAAGCGTGGGGGCATGGTATGCGGGTATGAATATCTCGCACGTTCAAAGTTCACTGGAAGATGGTATTGCTACACACCGTACACCGTAGGCATAAATGGGCATAGATATCAGATCCCGGCTGTTATGCAGAGCGTCAATTTCAATGTCAGCGATAACTCACGAGAACCACCGATACTACCGCAGTGTAGCCATCTACACATCCTGTACATTCCTCGAATTCGCGGTGGAGAGATAGAGAAGCTTGTTCACCATGATATTCACCTACAAATAAGCAGGTGACCTCACACTGCATCGTTCTGATTGTCTCCGTCGCGGAGTGGGGGGGGGGAGGTCCTTGGGGCTGTCCGTCATCGAGTGCGGGGCAGAGAGAAGTTTCATCAGAGATCGTATTAGATGAGTGAGAGCTTAGAAATGGAGGCGCACAAAACTAATATACACACAGGGTAGTTGGACCGTTCGAGGTAGAGGCATGTGGGATTTTTGGTCGACCTACTCGGTACATGCTCTGTAATATATACACACCTAAATTACCTCTTTAGGCTTGAACTCATGTGCATGTCGGAGCTCCATCCGGTGAGAATTGGAAGGCACAGAAAGCAAGATGCACATCAGTCATGGCCACTTTTCTGCTGCAGTCACTCTGGTCCCCTCCATCGTACGAGCAGCCGCACTAGGTCTTGGCTTGGCTACAGATTCCAGCGGACAATGGTTGATTATTACAGTGAAGAAACACGCCACTTCATAGTGAGCAGATAGGGCAAGCTGTAGAGAGATATAGTGAGTGGATGCAGAGAAGGTGATGGAAAGACATCCTACAGGGCGGGAAAAAAAAAAGATGGTTCTAAAAAAAAAAGGACGTCGAGAAAATTGTGACGCAGCCCCGATTTTATTGTTCCCCCCCCCCCTGCTCTTCACTCCCAACACTCCGCTCTATGAACAATCAACCGCTATTTACCTTTGTTTTCCCTGTGTCGGTCATTTTTTCATGTTGTTTGCATCGCGGGTGATCACCAGCCAGGTGGTCTCTCTAGAAGCATCAACTATTCCATTCCTTGGTACCTCCTTTGTCTAAGACCGGAAACAAAAAGGGTTGGCCGTTCGGTGTCTGACTGCCCAACGACCCCATCCCTTCATCCGCACACACCTTGTCGAGCTTCTTCCTCACCTTTGCAGCCGCAACGGTGAGCGACTGCTCGTATACAGCACACGCACGCGCAGAAACTACGCAGACCGTCTATCGGAGAGGTTGATCCTCCCCATGACGGGACACAGGCTTCTGAAGAGGAGTTCCTAGGACCGCTCAGGTCGGATTTCGATGCAGTAGCTCTCCTGACCACTCTCAGCTTTGCCTCACCACCCCGCCGATTGCCGGAGCATCATCCTCCCCCCTTCGCGCCTCCAAGCCCTTTACGACCAGATACTGCCAAACCCACTCGCTATCCTTCTCCTATCTGTTCCGGCCGATTCGTCAAACCATGGCCGCTAAGATGCCTCCCAACATGCATCGCAAGCCGGGGTCGGGAAACGCCAAGCCCGTCAGACCTGCCATACCGCTCCCCCACGTGAAGCGCCAGGCTGCTGCCGCCGCCGCGGCGACGACGAGAGCCCCAAAGGCGCTCGAGAACACTGCTACCGAGAAGGCTTCTGCTACCCCCGAGGCTCAGTCTACGGCGCAGACCGTCGCGGAGGGGACTGGCAAGGTCACACAGCACGGTGTCAAACCTACCTCTGCCACCGCCCCGGTTGTCAACGGCAGGAGCCACGCTCGAGGTATGTCGACGCGCACAGAGCACGCCGTGGAGGAGACGCGTGCACGGGTATGCGTGCCAGCTTTTGCACCTGCTAACCGTGTTGACTGTCCAGGCAAGGCTAATAGTCAGCATGACGCCAAGGCGACGACACCGACCGCGTCCTCCGAACCAGACGAGACCAAGCCGGAGGGCCCTGCTCAGCACGATGGGCTGAACACCCGTGGACGGGGCGGCACGCCACCCGTCTCTCGGCCATCATCGATGACGCTCCGCCAGCAGATGGCCCCCCCTTTCCAGCCATCTGGTCTGCTGCCCCACCTCGCGAGTGCCCCGGAGACTATGAATGGCTTGCACGCCCAGCAACCGCCGCCGCTTCCACCGCCGCCGCACATGGTCAACGGACATTCCCACACGCACAGCTCTCACCCGAGTTTCGGTAGCACCCACTTCAGTGCCTTTCACGGATCTACCGGCTCCTCCCCAGCCCCGCCGCTCTCCGGGGGTGGCATAGCTTCGGCTCCCGGGATGCCCGTGCCCGACGCTCGCCAATCCTACATGGCCCACACACCCGCCCCCGTCGGCGGCTTCCCGCCCTCGATCCCCCCAGGTCTGGAGAATATGATGGGTGTTGACATGTACGGCCATCCTGGCATGGCCTACGCGCACCCGATGGATCCGTTCCAGCAGCAGCAGCAGCACCAATACGGCAACAACTTCCCTCTCTCTACATCCCACAGCTTTCACGATTCGCAATCCTCCGTCCGCCCGGAGGACGGTGGGCCTTATCGCCAGTACGCTACCCCGCGGAGCGACGTCCCGAGGCTCGGCGAGGATGCGAGGCACGTGCCCGCCGGCTCCATGGGGCCTCCTTCCCAGCAGGGACCGCCGTCCATGGGCCCCCCTCCCAACGGCGGCGGCGGCGACGATGCCAGCGGCTTGGTGGAGCACATCCAGCAGCAATTCGGCACGCCCGAGCTAGCCGACTGCACCTTGGAGCTGCGGCACCCCGACCCCCGCGTGCCGCCCATCCGCATTCCCGGCCACCGTATCGTGCTATCGCGCAGCCCTGTCCTGGGCGAGCTGATGCGCAAGCAGGCCCTGTCTCAGCAGCAGCCGCAGCAGCCGACGCTCTCCCTCCAGGCCCAAGACGATTGGATCCGCGCCGACACCTTCTACATGGCCTGCCAGCGGCTGTATGGGCTGCCGCTCCTGGCCGTACCGCCCCGCATGGACATGGACATGGACAATAGCACGACAACCGCAGCGGGCAACGCCCTCGACCGGTTCAACTTTGCCCTGTCGTACGCCGGTGCTGGCCACCTCCTTGGATGGGGTCCTGTGGTTCGCCGCGGCTGCGAGATTGCCGCCGAGCTCGTGTCTCTCGAGACGGCCGAGACGGCCATGGCATTTGCCCTCAGCCGCCACGAGGATCGCGGCTCGTACGAGAACCTCCGGTATGGCGACGGATCACGTGCACTTCTGGGCGCTGTCCTGGGCTTTGTGGCTAGTAAGCTGTCGCCCAGTTTCAAGCTAGACACGTCCGTCTCTACCGCCCAGCAGGGCGGCGTCGCAGGCTACTCGCGCCTCCCGTACGACACGCCGTCACCCCCCAAGCTGGTGCAGCAGCAGCAGCATCAGCAGCAGCAGCAGCAGCAGCAGCAGCAGCAGCAGTCACCCGTCATTGTCAGGGCCAACCACCCGGCTCACAAGAAGAGCCAGGCTTCCCGGTCACTCAACCAACCGCCGCCGCACATTCAGTTTGGCGACCTGTCGCTCACAAACGGTCAGCAGCAGCCGCCGTCGGCGGCAGACGCCCCTCAGGCATCGCAGCAGCACGCCACGACTGCACTGCCCACGATACTCTCGCGAATCCTCATCAACCTCCCCTTCAGCTACCTCAAGATGCTGCTCGAGTCGAGCATGCACGGGTGGGCAGGCGCGGAGACGAGGCTCTCTGTGGTACTGGACGTGGTCAGGGAGCGTGAGGCTCGCCGCGAACGTGCCATCGACGCCGTCAATGCCGGCAGGATTCCCGAGTTTCACTCTATCCAGGCGGCGCTCAGCAACACCGAGCCAGCGGCGGCTCACTCCAGCCCCTGGGCGCTCTTGGCCTGGCAGGAGGAGGTCACACGACCTAGCAGCGCTGACGGCCCCTGCCTCGGACGGCGGTGGGTGCCTCTACGGGGTCATGAACAGGTCCGCCACCGCATGAACGGAAACGCAGCAGGAGCAGCATACCCCTGAGCATGAGAGAGAAGGAAGAGGAGAAGAAGAAGAAACACAAGCTGACGACGACGACGGCGACGACGACGACAAGATACCCCCAATACCCGACAGCTTAGCCTACTGAGGCACTATACCAAATTGCTGCCGCCTGAGCACAGTGGCGAGGCGAAGACACACCACGTTGACCTAGTCTTTACTGAGCTACTCCGTTCTCCTCGATACCTGCGACTCGGAAATGGTGTGATATACTTCCGCGACTGAGAAAGGAGGAGATGGATGATGGCGTCAGGTCAGAGGGAATATTCACGGGGTCAAGTCGGCTCGCGTCACGAGAGATGGATGAGGGAAAAAAAAAACACGTTAAGGCAGAGCTAAAGCAAGGCATATCAGCAGAAAGAAAGAAGAGGGGCGCGATCGTATCCGTGCCTTTACCATTTGACTTTGATACCTGGACATTATTGAAGAAGGTGGCAAGAATAGACAGGAAGCAGGAGAGTAGATAGAGAAACCTTGTGTGGCATGTCCTGCAGCTTCCACGGCGTGATATCTGCGTCCTCGTATGACCGATCATCACCAGAGTATTAATACGACTAAGCGACGCGCGATGTCATATGTGTGTGATGCAATATTATGTAATGGCTGATTACCCCGGACGAATTGCCCTACAGGTACGATCTGTAGGCGGCCGCTGCCCACATATGGAATCGGAAGCTGCGCAGTAATGATAATAGTAGTGATACTACGGAGTAATCGCTGTTGATCTGCTGTAATGATACTCTGTAGAGTCACTCACTCCATCTCCATGGCTAAGAGTGCTAAGAGCCCCCCCCCCCGTCCATTACGTCAACACTGCAAGACGATATGGATAGCTGTCATGGGAGCTGCCGAGGTAATAGTATCAGGTACGATATAATCTGTACATCTGTACATCTGTACATATGAGCAATAATACTCGTAATACATGGTCCGGGGGTCTAGATTATACTATGTACGGATGTAAATCAGGTGGCCCCACCGGGGCAAAAGAGGACCAAATTAACTGCAATTACAGCGCTGACCCCTCCATAACTTCAGTCAGATATGATTGTCTCTCTTTCCCTCTCTTCCCTTCTCTCCCTCCTCCGTGCTCTTCCTCTCCCTTGAATCCCATCCTCTCCATCTGTACCGAGCATTCATCTCCATGACTCCGTCTCTCGTCTCTTCGTATTACATGTCTGCCGTAGCACCACCACCGTCCGTACCCTCACCCGGGAATAGCGCTGCTTGGACCAACGACCCGTGTACGGGTGATCTGTACTCGCCCATCCTTCCGGAGCTTCAGTGGGCCTCCCAAGCAACGATAGGGTGCACGTACGAGCTATTGCATACCACACCCCACGCTCGAGAGTTACGACGGCATTCCTGCGCGTCACCCGATAAACCTGTCGGGCACCGCTGCCCTTCCCTCCTTCTCTCCTCTGCCGTGACACGACCATAACAGCACCTCTCCTTCAACATCGCATCTCTGTCGGTACCGTTCGACAATCGAAAGCGCGACCAGCCATGTCCTCGTCCACGGCCGCGCCGACATCATCTGACGGGTCATCCTCGTCGGCAGCCCCGACCGCAGGGGGGAGAGCAGGAGCGCCCCCCATCGACCCCATCCTGCGCAACACCCTTCGATATACCGTCTCCGCGGGTGAGTATGCCGCCCTGCACAAGTACATCATCTCTCGATCAAGGGGCTTGCGTAAGGCGGCACCGTCGCCGGCAAGCGTCGACAAGGCTCTGCGACCGGAAAAGCCCAAGGGAGGAGGTGCAAGAGGAGGTCCTGCTGGGCAGGATGACTTCAACGCTCGTGCTGTGCGGCATGCGTTACGCGTGTTTGCCGTTACGTGGCTCGGTATGAAGGGATTCGACGCCGTCTCCAAGCGCCTCAAGAGTAGCGAGTATGTGCCTCCCTTCCCCTTCTTATCTGGCCGTGTGGGCTCTGGCGTGGAGCGTGTGCGCGTCGGACTGACGAACTCGGCTCTCCCGCAGGTCACCGTCCAAGAAACCTGCCAAGACGCGGTTTCACAAGTCCTCCGCCTTCAGGCTGTCGCTCTCGCTGTCGACGATCCTCCTCCTCTACCGCCTCCTCTTCCGCTTTCTCACCCGTCTGCGCGCGCACCTCCTCGAGTCGCAGGTCGAGCCGTTCCGCCGCCGCAACCCGCGCACCACGGCCGCCCTGACGTCGGCATACACGCCTGCCGTGGGCGCATCGCTGGCCGGCCTAGCCCTCGGCGTGTTCCCGTCGCAGCAGATGCGCGTGTCCCTCGCCATCATGACCATGTTCCGCGCGCTGGAGTTTGGGTGGAACATGTGTGAGGCCGACGGCGTCATCTGGGGCTCCGTCAGTGGCCGCAAGAGGGAGCGTCCCTGGTGGTTTGGCAGCTGGATGCTGCAGCCTCTGGCGTTCGGTCAGCTGTTCCACGCTTCCGTCCTTGACAGGGATTGTGTTCCCAAGGTATGCCGTCCCCGCCCCAGACATGGAAATCGACGCCGGCGTGTTGACGCTCGCCGTAGACGCTTAGCGACCTCTTCCTGGGCATGTCGTCGGGCTACCTGCAGCCACGGCCTGCCGACTGGCCGGTGAAACTCAAGTGGCCCGGTGCTGGTCAGATCGTCGACAACATTGCCGAGATGGCACGCCTCAACTGGCCGTACGTTGACACTGCCCTCCCCGAACCCCGCCCGATTGTGCTGCCCACCTCCCCCCTCCCTTTCTGACAAGAAGCAGTGCCTTCATCTCACCTACGCTGTTCCCGAAGAAGGAGAACGTGCTCCCGCCGACCCTGACATCCCTATCGCCGCTCACATCGCGCGCCCACCCTCTGATCAGTCCGCTGTCGTGCGCGACGCTCCACCCGTCGGATCCGTCGTGCCTGCGCACGTACCTGACCTTCTGGATCAGCTCGTTCCCGTCGTTTGCCCGCCTGCTGCTCATCGCCTACTCGGCCCTGACGCTCACCCCGCAGCTGCGCGACCTGTACCACCGCCCGCTCACCATGCTCCGCCGCATGGTCTCGCGGGCCCTGCGCACCTCGACCTTTGCCACGGGCGCCCTCTCTACGGCCTGGGCGTCCGTATGCTTCTTCCAGACCTGGCTGCCGCGCCACGTCCTGGCCACGCAGCGCCTCTTCATGGGTGGCTTCCTCGCCGGCCTGTGGGCGTGGGTCGAGCGCCGCCACGGCAGGGGCATCTTCCTGTACACGGCACGCGCTAGCGTCGACAGCCTCTGGAAGGTCGGCGTCAAGAGGCGCTGGTGGAAGGCCATGCGCGGCGGAGACGTCTGGGTGTTTGTCCTGGCCCTCATGGTGACGGGCGTCGTGTACGAGCGTGACGCCACGGCTATCCGGGAGGCGCAGTGGAGGAAGGGCATGAGCTGGGTCCGGGGCGAGGGCTGGAGGGACTGGGCCGCGGAGGATGACGACGACGACGACGAGGAGCATGTCAAGGAAGAATAATGGCGTTTTTTTTCTCTCCCTCCACCCCCGTTTCTATTTTCTTTCTTCTGTTCTTATTGTTCATCACCTTCTCTGCCTTTCAGCAAGCAACATGTCAATTTTTAAGTAATATAATAATCACACTCTCTCAAAACAACTTGCACTTTTTTCTTTTTTGTAAAAAAAGAAGAAAAAAACTGCACCATCATCCCCTTAGCAAGTGGCTGTTGACTACAACCCCATCCGGCTTCTCCCAGTGCTTGACGAGACCACCCCAGCTCTCGTTGCTATACTCCTCCTGGACCTTGCTGGAGGTTTTCAACCCCCACTCCGACACGCCGACGGCGAGGCAGGTCTCAAACATGAATGCGCAGCTCCCGGCGCCGACCTTGACGGGTGCCAACTCAGCCGCCCGCGCGGCCTCGTGCGAGGCAGCATCGGGCCCGTGGCCGGACATGACGGTGTGCAGACTCGCGCCGCCGGGGGCGAAACCACCGGCACCGCCCTTCTTGGCGTCGTAGTCGCCCGAGATCAAGCCCATGAACTCGCTCATGGTGTTGCGGTGGTAGTATGGCGGGCGGAAGGTGTCCTCGCCCACGAGCCAGCGGGGCGGGAAGATGACGAAGTCGGCGACGGCGGTCCCCGGCACGGCGGACGGGGCGGACAGCACGGTGAAGATGGACGGGTCCGGGTGGTCGTACGATATGGATCCGACGGTGTTGAAGCGTCCCAGGTCGTACTTGAACGGGTGGTAGTTGCCGTGCCAGGCCACGACGTCGAAGGGGGTGTGGTCCTGCTCCGTAGTGAAGAGGGTGTTGTTGAACTTGGCGGTGACGGTGTACGCCCTCTTCCGCCTCTTCTTCCTGCCCCCCCTCGCATCTTCAGCGTCACCGCCGTGGCGGTGGTGGCCATCGTCGTCATCGTCGTCATCGAAGGAGGCGACGGGTGACTGGAAGTCCCGGGGGTTGGCGAGGCCGCTGCTCCCCATGGGACCGAGCTCCGGCAGGCCAAAGTGTCCCTGGTACAGCTCGAGGGCGTAGCCGCGAGCGGGCTGCGCTCCCGGGAGACGGACGCGGTACCGCACCCCGCGCGGCACGACGCAGATCTCCATGGGCCGCACGAGGAGCCAGCCGTGCTCGGTGCGGATGTCGAGGTCTCCCTCCTGCGGGACGATGAGCAGATCCCCGTCGGCCGAGTAGAATGCCGAGCCGTCGGGCATGCTCCTCCCCGCGGCGTAGACGAGGATGCCGAGCCCCTGCTTGGTGCGCGGGTCTCCGGCCCCGGCTACCAGGCGCATACCCGATATGAAGTCGTGGCGGCCGGAGGTGTCGTGGTCAAACGGGTCCCATCGCAGCTGGTTGGGTATGTAGTGTAGCCTCTCTCCCTCGGCCCACCGGTCCCGGTCTCGGCCTCCCCCGTCTCCGGATGACGATGAAGTCCGGCTGAGTGGCTGATATGGCGGGTGAGAGCAGGATGGGAGGATGCGGTACATCCACGTCTGCTTGTTCTCGCGTCGGGGAGCGGTGAATGCCGTTCCCGAGAGCTTCTCGGCGTACAAGCCGTACGGTGGCTTCTGGGGTGAGTTCTGGCCCAACGGGAGGGCACCATCTACAGCTTCGGATCTGGAAATTCAGGGGGAGGGCGTTGGCTGTCTTTCATACACACACACACGCGCGCGCACACACACACACACACATACACAGAGAAAACAAACGGTCTCTGCAATAAGGGGAGGAAGAGGGAGAGAAGAAGAGGAGCTGCACTTACTCTAGATGGTTATCAAAGCCATTCTGGTACCTGTACTTTTCTTCGGTGGTAAACTGCGTGACAGGCATACTGGACAGCAACTGAGATAGAATGGAGATTTCGAATAGAGAGACCATGGGAGAGCACGGTCGGCTTCGGCTGTGGTATAAATAGTATTGTTACCGACAGCAGAGACCGCGTACCTCTCTACACCAACCGCGTAAGACGGCCAGAGACCTTATCCAGGCATGTCAGAACCCCAACGTCTCCCGAGTCCTGACTGGTGGGACAAGGCGTATGGCCTCTCCCCCCATCACCGAGAGTAGCCGCCGAGAGTAGCCGTACGGGGCCGCATCGGCAAAGATTCCGCACATCATCATCACATTATAATTACCGGGGTTGGCAAAGCGTCGAACGGCAACTAACGCTTGTATTCGCGGGTGGGAGAGCGGGTTTGGATGTGCAGGGGAAGTAGGACCAATGGGTCTGTAATAATGATACCACATCCGTCTATTGCTTGCTAGTAGGTAGGTATTAGTATATATATATCCCTTGCATTGGAAAACGGCGTCGAGGTGGCTGGCTACATGTGGATTGATACAAGAAAATACTCCGTAACGTCCGTTTTTTATATTTTTATTTTTATGATCTTTTAGAAAAAGAAAGGAAAAAAAGGAGTGATCGATTTTTCCGCGGGGAATTGCGCTACCAGGGTTTTCTGTCTGGTTTATTGGTTTATTTATCCTCTTCGCCACGCGTGGTCACACCACCCCCCCCCACCTTTAGACCACACCGATGAATCCCGTGATTGCCGTATTACCGTAGTAGGAATAATCAATATCCGGTTCTGAATCAGGCACGTGGTGATATTTTCCCCCTTCCAGTCGAAATAGTCATTTTATCATCCCGATGGGAACTATGAGAGACAAGCTGAAATGTACACGTTGGGTTCGGGGTGGGGGAGCCAAACTTTCTAACCGTCCCCCGTACCAGGACCTGTGATAATCTTACAACACGGTCTGTTCTCCAAGACACC